TCGAGGGCGCCGCGCGGTGGCTGGCGGTGGGTTGTGAGGCGAGTGCAGTGCGCTCCCCGTCTTTGTCTTTCAGAAAGCTCCGGCCGAGCTCTGGACTCCTTCAAGACGGGGAGCCCGCTCGGAGTCGGGAAGCTCTCGCGACTAGAATCCACACGCGGCCGCGGTCGCTTCTGGTTTCGTTCTTCAGGGGAAGAGGATCCATCTCCCCAACGAAGTGAAGCCGCTGCGGGCCTTGTCGGTGAGGGGTCGAAATTGTGCGAATTTGATCAACCTGAGGCATGTCCGTCCGCCATTTTGAAGACACTTAGAGACGGCCCCAAACTGCCGCAAGGACATAAAAAAAAACCATAACGGGCGCCGGACTGCTTTGGGACCGCGGGCCCCCTCGACCCGCCCCGAGAACTTTGCGGCAGCCCGGTCGAGGCTCATGGGCGAGCCTCCTCCAAGCTTCTCGAAAAGCCTGGGAGGCCGGGGCAGAGCCCGCGGGAGCCGCCTCGCAAAGCCTCCGGCAGGCTCGCAAGAGGCCGCCGCCGAAGCCTTGCGCGGGGGTGCATTCTTCACCGCGTGGCCAAAGCGTAACGATTAGAATGATGCGCAGATATGTGGCTACATCTAGACTGTGGAGGAGTCTAGACACAGAGCGGACGCCGACGCTGTGCGGCGTCGCGGTTCTGATGTTAGAGCAGGTGGCCGCGGGGTCCTCTCAATGTCAAGAAGTCGGCTAGTTTGCTTCGTTTTGGGCTCGGCCTGCTTCTGGTCTGATATTGGTAGGCCGCAGGGCTTACCTGCTTCCAATTTTTGAACGCCGGGCGGGGGAGGTTCTTCCCATCGTTTGAGAAAGAGTTCGGCGTGTCTCCAAACTGATCCAAAAGTCTCTAGGAATTGCAAACACTTACGCCGTTGCAAAACTGCGCTGCAAATCTTTTCACGCAAAAAAGAAAAAGCTGGCGAGAGGAATCGCGAGTAGGTTCATTTTTTTCGCCGTGCAGCAGCCCCAGGACTTTAACAAAAACCTGAGGACACGCGCCGGCTTTTCGAACATCCGTGCCCTGTCGTAAGCGGCAAAAGACCAAGCCAAAACACTAAGGGGCTGCGGTGAGGGGTGTAGGGTGGGCCTGTGGGGGTCTACTGTTAGGAAGTGCGGCACACTTCGGAAGTTTTTTTTTTAGAAAACACGCCCCTGCTTTTCCGAAATCCGCAAGCGGCAAGAAATGTTACCAAAGCAGTGCGTGGCTGGGGTGGGGGAAAGCCCTGAGACCCCGGGCCCCCCCCCCCCAGAAGCCTTAAAGCCCTCGGGCGTTGGCCTTACACCCTAGGCCCACCGGAGCAGGCAACCGACCTCAAAAGCGTAAAACCCAAGACCACACGAACAAAGAGCCTAGATATAAAGCCTAAACTCGAAAACCACGAGAACAGAAAACCGACCGGAAAGCCATAAACCCCAAGACCACCCAAACAGCGGCCCGATACGAAAGCGCTTAAACACTAAGGCCGCCGAAACAGGGAACCGATTTGAAAGCGCTAAACCTTGGGACCACACGGACGGGGAACCGATGAACAAAAACCCGGAAGCCCGAGGGCCTCATGGGCAGAGACCCTACCCAAAAAGCCGCAAACCCCAAGCCGCGCGGACGGAAAACCTACCCAAAAGCCATCGACCCAAAGCCAAACGAACAGGAAACCCACCCAGAAACCGCAAGCCCCAAACTGCGCGAACAGAAAGCCCACCCAAAAGCCAAAAGCCTGGAGCCGCGCAAGCAGAAAACCGGCCCCAAAAGCGCAAAAAACCTTAAGCCGCGCGAACAGAAAACCGGCGCGGGCTGCGCTCTTGGGTAAAATGGCCGCAGCCCAAAGGGCTCGGAAGTGGGGAGCGTTAACCATTCAGCAATCTGGCGGATCTCCTTAAACGCCCGACATTTGCCAGGTAATTCCCTCGGGCTTTTTGTTTAGGGTTGGACCGATGCCCCAGGGGAGAGACCGCTGGGAGGGGCGTGCGGTGTGAGGCGGGGGCGCGTTGCTTGGCGGTCCCGCCTCCCCCCGCCGCCGCGTGTGGTCTTCTGAGGTGGGTAGCATCTCCCAGAAGACCCCGCCCGGCTCCCGTTTTTCGTGTCGTGTTTCTGTTGTGTTCTTTGGATTTTTTCGCGCCTTGACTCTACCAGCCGTGTGGCTCTCGGGTTTAAGGGAAACGCCCTAGGGCTTAGCGCTTGCTTGGGGGGCAGGGGGTCTCAGGGCTTGCCCGCACTCTTCGCTACAAGCTGCTGCCGTAGCCTCCATCCCCTTGATGCTCGGAAAAGGTGGCGGGTATTTTCCGAAAAAAACTTCCGAAAAGCTCAGCCTTATCCAATAATAGACACCCGGAGGCCCATACTGCATCCTTCAGCCCATCCCCCCGCGTTTTGCGTTCGTCTTTTGTCATGCGGATTTTGGAAGATTTGGCGCACATTTTGGAAAGCTTTTCTCCACCCCGCTCTTGCACAACCGAGAGACAGACCGCCCAAGGCCAGCAATGGCCCCTCAGATGAACGGCCAGGAACTGTTTCGCCTTTTTCTGGCTTTTTATTCTTACAGTTTTCTTTTTTTTTTTAAGTTTGCGACTTGAGAAATTTACTGCAAAAAGAGAGCAAAGGAGTGGCGGGCACTCGCGCGAAAGTTTGGGGCACCTAGCAGCTAGGCGCAGCGAGGTTTCATGGGTGTTTGTAAATTTTAGGAGGGGCTGCTGTCTTCTGGATTTTTTTGGTCCGGCTTCGTTTGTGCCTCTCCCCGTTTTAGAGAAGGGCGCCCTCTCGTCACGTTCCAAAGGTTTGCCAAAGTGTCGAGCCTGTCTAAAGCAATCAAAGAGCTACTATATATTGAAAAAAAGTTATTTATATTTTGTTGAAAAGGTTGCCAGGCGCCGCACCGTCACCACTTTGAAAAAACACCGAGAGGAACCGCGTCGGCCTCAATTGTTTTCGCCGGATTTCGCTGCCGCCTTCTCTACCTAAAAAACTAACACAGTTGCGGAGTTTCCTGTTTTTTTAGCTATAAAGATAGGACACGCAAAAAAAGGAACCGTGCTGCAGCTACTCTCTGGAAGTTTTTTCCATTTTTCTGAATCTCTCTGCTACAGACTGAGAGATCCCTACGAGGCTGGCACCCAACTGAAGTGGCGAGAGATGGCCGTGCGTGGTTCGGCGTGGAATTGTGAGGAGTGAGGAGGAAGAAGCCTGAAGGACGAGGTCGCCCTCTATAGGGCCCTGGGGGAAACTATTGCAGAGAAGGCTCTGCCCCTTTGCAAGTCTGAAACTGTCAGGGCTTAAAAAGCTCCCAGGTTTTTAAACTCTAAAACTTTCAGACTCGGCCTTGAGAAGACCCGTCACCGGCGGCGATGTTCTTTCCATCGGGGCCATCCGTTCCCTTTCCCTTCTGTAGGTCTGACATTATCAGGGTAGAAAAGCCGCACGCTTTTGACGGCCAAGGACAACGCGGGCGCACAGTCACCAACTGCCCCCAAAGTCCCGCCTTTCTCGCTAAAAGTGTCTGATAGAAGCGAGAAAGCCGCAACGCCGTGAGAAACTAATGGGGAGACTGGCTTACCACCTTTCTCCATCAGTTTCCCGCAAGACCTTATAGAGGGCGATCTAAACCAAACAGGAGGAACCCCGAGACGGGTAGAAGGAATGGGGGGATCTCATGGAGATTCTGAGGACGTCTGAGCGATGGACGTGGGCATGGACCTTCCGTGGCATCTCACTGAGAGGACCAAAGGAGGCCATTCATTGAAGGTTGAGAAGATGGGCGCAAAATGGTTATCGTCTTATCATAGATTGATGGCTTTAGTTTGGTGGGCCGGTACTTACTGTGATGCGTACTTGTCTGGTGTAGAAGAGGGAGCGCTGCGACAGCCAGAAAGCCATGGCCCTTCTTGTGGCTCTCCCTACGAAGTGCCCCAAAGCCCCCTCCTTTCGCCATGCCGTGCGGCTGCTCGCTATTCACTAGCGACCGAGGCCGGCTTTTGGTCCCGTAGGCCATAGAGGGCCACGCCGCCCCCGCCGGGGGACCCGAGCCCGGACGCAGGGTCCCGGCGTCGGGCCTGGTGCTCCGAGCCTGGCAGCCGGTCCGCGTGAAACTGAAAGTCGATGCCGCGCGGCCCGCCTTCGCCGGGCCTCTGTCCAAATGCCGTTGAATTTTGGCGAGTTTTGGGCCCGCACTCAAATGAAACCGGGAAAAAGCCAGCGCCGGAGCAAAGGACCACGAGCCGGCACACACGCGCCCGGTTTTGGGCCTGATCCTCCGCGCCTGGCAGCCGGTCCGCGATAGGTCGAGAGGTAGCGGGCTGGCCCAATAAAAAAGCCGACTTTTGGCGAGTTTGGGGTTATATCTAGGGGGGGCGAAGGTACCCCGGTGAGAGCCCTTTATAGTCTTCCGAAGCGTGGCAGCCAGACTGGATTTGGCGGTTTTCGATAGCGACGGGTTCAGTGGACTAATTCTGATTTTCATATGTCTGCATGGACAGCCTCTTGCCCCACAATGGATTTTGCCCGCCGCTGTTGCAGTCTCTCTACGAGCTTACACTTGGCCCACTGCCGAGAGAAGCAACTTCTTCAAAAATCTCTCTAGGCCCCCTCAACATTTTGTTCAGCGTATAATTTTTTATTGCGGAAGAGGAGAGGTTATGGTAGCTGCGATCTTACTTGCCGTTGCTGCCACGATAGTCGTTGCCGACCCGTTGAAACGATTTCTGTTATGGCTGACTCTTCTGCAAAGGCTTTATTGGATAGCTGTGTATCATATAAGTCGTCATTGAAGAAGTTAGCGACAAGCAGAAGTACGGACTCACCCCACCGCGAATGTCATACGCAGTAGGCCGACGCAGCCTCCAACAATTTCTTGTGAGAGAGACGAGACATTAGAGCTACTAGGTGCTCCGATTATCCTTATAGAGAATCTCTCCCGCAGGTTTGTGCCGTCGTAGGTACGCTAAGTCCTTCTTGACACAGATCGTAGTACTTAGCCTGCCCAACGAAGTGACGCAACACTGAGGAGAAAAAGTTGATCGAAAGAATCCGTGAGAACAGATCCCGAATCGAGTATGACTCAGATCGCGCAGAAATTAAAACAGATCACGCACGAAAGAAAAAAGTAGACCGACCGTTGTGCAGGCTTTTTTTCGTCGATTATATTAGTTCGTCTCCATGTCCATGATCTGCTGTAGACGAATGTTTACTTGTTTGCGTAGGGAATTACCCATGAGATTTATGTTTGTGTGGGGATGACTCTCTCATAGTGAATTAGTGCGTTCCTCTCCCAAGCAGAGCGTCAGCAATGGTTTCGATGAGCATTTATCCGTATATTATAACTCGATTTTTTTCGTGCTTCATGTGCTTTTCGCACGCCTGTGAAAGTAAGTAGTTGTAGAACATATTGAAACCCATTAGTTGACTTTCTTCGTCCATGTTCCACTTAAGCTCTACAACAACTCGTCGAACTGCTCCTGTCGTTTGTTTGGATTTACTGGTAGTGTACTGCAAAAGAAATGGCACGAAAAGCGCGGGATCGTAGTGGGGGCCTCTCACTACTGCAAGCCGACCTGTTCAAAGCGTGTTCGGATAATAACGCGCTCTTCGTTGCGCGCATTCTGGCGGATCTCTACAAGCATGGTGGAAGGGATAGAAGCCAAGATCATGGCTCCTCGCAGGAAACAAATTTGAAGCTCCAGCCCGACAATGTTAAAAAAGAAAAGAGGCAATCCGTTCTTGAGTCAGCCAGCACCAACAAGGAAGCAAATAACGAGACCGATGAAGATCAAGTTGTTCCAATGGACATCAAAACGCAAGACGAGGTTGAGATTGGAAAAGACGTTGGTCAGACTAACAACGGAGGAGCCTCAGACAGCGGAGCGTCTTCTACTAAACAAGAAAATACGTCGTTGGACAATGAGGGGGACGAAGCTTCTTGCGGTGAAGATGGTAATACGGAGATCATCACACGAAGTGAAAGCACTGCGCGTGGTCGTGCGGGAGCTGCAGAAGACGAAGCACGAGTACAAGAGGAAGCTACTACAACGGGTACGCAAAATCAAGGACACAGACAACTACTACCTGACGTGTCCGAACGCGTCGCAACGATCGTTTCGGCGCGGAATATGCAAAGTGACGTGGACCAGCTGGGAAAAGGTTTTACCTGTTTGCATGTAGCCGCGATGAAAGGGCACGTGGAGATCGTTCGCTTGCTCGCTCGTGCTGGCTGTGACCTGCACGCGCGCACGACCCGCGGACTCACTGCGGCTCACGTGGCCGCAAAAAAAGGACAGCTGACTTGTGTTCAGTACTTGAGCAAACAAATCGCGAAGCAACGAAGGATGCCAACGCAAAATAAGACTGCCTCCACTTCTGCGATGCAGGTGGTCAAAAACAGCAACAGCAACGGAACACAAACCAATACGCAAAAGAGACAAGGAGCCTTCCCCGGCCCGACTGGTGGCGGACGTATAATTGACATTCCCTCGTGTCCCGGACAAGATGCACCACCAAACTTCATGCACCGGTTTGAAGAAGTCGTGGGGGACTGCGTTGCAAGCACGAGTAAGCGACGGAAGATGGAAAAAGCGTTGGAAAGCATTTCATAAGCAAGACTTCTCAGAAGATAAAAATACTTACTTATTTCATGCCCCATGACCAAGGCTTTCGCTCTATGTGATTTTCTTCTTGTATTTCCCTTCCCTGTACTTTGCGTAGACTATCCATCTATTTCCAACAGCGACGTTTAAAAGAACAAGCGATCTCGTATTCGTGAGTCGAGTGTGATCTCGATGCTTATGGAGCGGCCGTCTTTTACAAAGAATAAGATTAGGGCACGGTTGGTGTGTTCAGCTGATCATGTTGTCAGAAGTAGACATCTATTTTGTAATGTATGTATGAGGCCACGACTTGCAGCGACGGAGCCGAGGCTTTCACTGAACCGGGAATTGAAGATGCGATTTGTAGCGAATGCGTTGAAAATGAGACCACCGTGTGCGATGTAAGAAGAAGACTTCATGAGCATCTCTGTCTGTGGCAAAAGAAAAGGTCACATCAATCGAGTGTAATATAACAAACAGCTAGAACAAGGGGAAGAGCGATTGTGATATCTTTAGCGGAGCAACTTTGCGTTTATTAGGTATGCGCTTTGCATCCCAAGCACATTTGTTTATGTAGAAACCCGGGAAATCTATTAATCATCAGGATTTGCTATGTTCAAACATCACTCAATATTTTGCTACTGTGTTTTCGTATTACCGTCTTTCCATTTCGCGTAACAACGAACGGTTATCTCTAGGGGCCGCGGCTGGGGGCAAGAACATATTAATTGAGCGCCAAAAAATATACTGCGGATGGATATTGGCGTGCCGTCTCTGCACACCCTCCGGACGACGACTAGAGAGTCTCGCTCTGCTAATTGGATTTCGTTCCGGTCCGATGGAAGCTTTGCGTCCCCACGAGTAGTGAGAATGCGTTGAGGGAAGAGCTTGCAGGCTTTTGGTCCAATCTCCCGCTACACGTGCTGTTGTTCAGTGCCGTATCTCGACAATGAGTCTCAGAACGATCAGAAGAAGACGGGTTGCTGTATTGTCTTGTTGCGATCGAGGGCGTGGAGGTGCTCCCAGTTTTTTCCTCTGCCTCTGCAGCTCGTAAGTCGCAGCGGAAGATGGCAGCGTAGGCGGATGCATAGTAGATGAGGAGGTCGACGCGTGTGCTCACTTCTAATAGCGTTTTGTGAATTCAGATTCACTAGGGCGATTGCCATAGTACTCGAGTTTGGTTGAAGAGCTTTTCACGGACGACGCAAGTTTCCGGCACTGGCGAAGCAGGCGGACGACTACTTACTTGCGCAAGAGAGACAACTCTTCGAAGACAGCGTTTATTGAAAATAGCGATCACGATATTCCCTAGCGCTGATTTTCAACATCACTGTAACCACTCCGGGGTAAGGTCGTCGCTAGAACTACCACTCGGTTGGTCAAATAGCGATGTCTTCGCCAGAACGAAATTGATTTGGTGCGAATCAGACGCAAGACTGCTGTATCATCATTCGTACGCTTGACGACACAGACCGGTGCCTACCACACTAAGGCAGGATGGCTCCACCGCCTCTGAAACCCAACCCAGTGGGGTGCGATGGGTTCGAAAAGAACCCGTTTAAGGGCGAGTACTGTAAGAAGTGCGGCAAGTCCTTTCTCGAGCACGAGGGCGTCATTGAGGATGCAGGGCTTTCCGAGGCAACGCGCCTTTACGAGGCGCGCATGCGGAAAGAGGAGGAAAGTAATTTTGTTTTTGTTATTTCCATGTGATGTAGATTCTGATTTCTGATGAGAAAACAAGGTTTCGTAAGTTAGTCCCTTAAGTGATGACGGGTTCGTCCCTTAACGGTTTCCGCCCTTAACGGTTTCCGCCCTTAACGGTTTCCGCCCTTAACGGTTTCACCCCCTAACGGTTTCGGCCCCTAACGGTTTCGGCCCTTAACGGTTTCGGCCCTTAACGGTTTCAGCCCCTGACGGTTTCGGCCCTTAACGGTTTCGGCCCTTAACGGTTTCGGCCCTTAACGGTTTCGGCCCTTAGCGGTTTCGGCCCTTAGCGGCTTCGGCCCGTAACGGTTTCGGCCCTTGGCGGTTTCGGCCCTTGACGGTTGCGGCCCCCAGTTGCGGCAGCTGAGTTTTCCTGCCCATAGGCGTTTCGGCCCTCAAGGGCTTCGCCTTTCCAGTGCCCTGGCCCCATAAGTGCTCTGGCCCCTTAAGTGCCCTGGCCCCATAAGTGCTCTGGCGCCTTGAGTGCCCTGGCCCCATAAGTGCTCTGGCTCCTTAAGAGCCCTGGCCCCTTAAGTGCTCTGGCCCCTCAAGTGCTTCGCCCCTCAAGTGCTCCGGCCCCCTAAGTGCTTCGGCTCCTGAAGTGCTTCGGCTCCTGAAGTGCTTCGGCCCTCAAGTGTTTCGCCCCTCAAGTGCTCTGGCCCCTCAAGTGCTCTGGCCCCTCAAGTGCTCTGGCCCCTTAAGCGCTGCGGCCCCCTAATTGTTTCGGCCCTTGGGTGCTTCGCTCCTCAAGTACTCCGGCCCCTTGAGTGCTTCGGCCCCTAAAGTGCTTCGGCCCCGTAAGTGTTTCGCCCCCTGTGCCACGTACTCGGACACACCGCCACGCACCTCCGGAGAGCCGCTTTCTGTAGCAGGGCTTAGAAGGTTCACCAAATTGCGTTGACGCGCCATCGCCATCGCGGTTCTGACCCTTCAGAAAAATCCGCGAAAGCGACGCTGGAACAAAAAAAGAGCTTCGAAGCCCGGCTGGAGAAGATGAAAGAGGAGAAGGCAAAGGAGCAAGAGGACGATTGGTTTTTCGAAGAGACTCAGACGGCAAAGCCCTCCACGTTGCTGGCCAGTATGGGCAGCAACGTTTCGACTGGGAGTCCCGATGACTTCAAAATGATCAGTGCCGAGGAGCTGAAAAAAGCTAATGAAGCTCAGAAAGCTGCTCAAGCAAAGCCTGTGCAGATAAAGAACCTTATCGATTTCGACGAGGCAGAGGAGGAGGCAAAGGTTTTTTTTCTCGGTTCATTTATACATTGTCTGCACAAGCAGTTCAACAACTCAATGCTGGTGTATTGTTCAGTGTTCCACATGTAACCCCTATTTAGCAACACGTTAAATATTTGCGTGGTTCGAAATATGGACCATACAAATACCTACCAAAATATATGCACAGGAGCACCTTGCGGCATCAAGATCTTTACCTTCTCTGCATGGTGGTTCCCCCGCCCGCGAGAAGTCTTCCCCAAGTTCTCCGGCTGTGCCGCAGTCTCACACATTGCCCGCCCAAAGCGCAGCACCGTCCAAGGAGAAATTCGATATCTCGAAGGATTTTGGAGCACGTCCTGGCGGCGGAGGAGAGACGGTGGATGAATTGAAGGCCGAACTACAAATGTTGCAGGAAGAACGCAGCATCCAAATTGCTATCCTGAAAGACGAATACGAGGCGACAATAGTAATCTTTATTGCAGCATAATCTTTCTCGTTTGTTTATGTTCAGTGCTCCTTACGACTACGAGTTATCGTGTATCATTCACCAAATGATCAATTTTTTCTGCCAATGAGCAATGTCATCACAGACTCCGACAGAAATTATCTCGGTGATTGAAGATTTATTTTTCTCGAGTCTTTCAGAATCAGACGTAACAATATTGATCTTCTTTATCCTCGTGAAAGGACTCGCTGAGGCAGAAACTGCAAGTAGGAGGGTCGATGCCGTCAAAACCGAGTCGGGAACAAGACCTAGAAGCAGAGCTGGAGGCAAAGGCACAGGCAGCAACCGTCGCCCAAACGCGCGTGACAGAATTGACACAAGAGCTTGCGACCTTACGCGAACAACAGGAGAAAGGAACATTATGGCATTCGTTGTTGAAGGCGTGTTGATGTAAATCAAAGAAAGTATCTATACAACAGGTGGTTGTGGCGGGGATGATCATTTTAAGATAGTCTGTTGTTTGGTTCAAAAAATTTCGTAAGCACGAGAGGATTGCATTAGCTTCACTTCCCCTTGGACATGACTGCACCATCTGGACATGAAGTACGTGAATGTCTGTTCTTCTAAACAAGAGTGAGTCTGAAAGTGTGGCGACCACACTGCAGGTGCAAATTACGGAGCTTAGTGGAGAGCGAGATGCCTTGCGTGCCGAGACCGAGAAATTACGTTCCGAAGCGCTAGCTGCCGCAGAAGGCGCGAAGGAAGCGCGCGCTTCGACCTCCAAGGCCGAGGCAGATGTACTGGCGCTTAGGAGCGAGCTCCGAGAGCAAAAAGAAAAGGTAGACTCGGCCGAGCGGGAAGCTCGCAACAGCGTACAAGAGAAAGACACAGCAGCTCAAGACCTACGGAATAAAATTCAGAGTCTTGAGGCTCAAATAGCTGCTGGTCGAGCGGAAGAACAGTCTCAGCTTGCGGAAATGCAGAAACGAGTGCTCGACACAGAAAAGCAACTAGCGGAAGCCGAGAAAGTAAGTCATTAGACCCTTCTTGTGGTAAAACAAAATCGAAGACCATTGACGAGACCACGAGCAAAAGGAAAAATTTCTCTCTTAGCAGCATGTAATCAAAACTCTGATCAGTGTTGACCATTAGCCACAACCACTCATGTTGATGTTGCATTCTTCTATCTTTGATTTTCTCCACTTTTTTCTTCCTGCAGGCTCGCGACGCAAATCTGCATGAGGCGGACGGGGTTCGAGACGATTTCGCGCAGTACAAGGGAGAAGAGCAGAAGCGGATGGACGCGTATGGTGAGAAGGTGCGCGCAGAAAACGAGGTTGCAGTTACTGAGCTTCAGGCTGCGCACGAAGCAGCTGCAAAAAGCCAAGAGCAGCGGCACGTGGCCGAAAGAACGAGCATGCGCGAGGATCACTTGCGAGAATTAGAAGAAAAAGCTGCCCAAATGAAACAGGATGCGGATGGTAGAGTCAATGTGCTTTCAGTGTTGAAGTTTGATGGACGTGTTCGTATAATTTGAGGGCGAATTAAGATACAGATTTGTGCATTCCACCTATTGCACTGTCGCAGATGATCATTTGTGTTTCCACTGAACACGACACCCACTGTCGCCATTTTCACAATACTACCTTCAACAGCCCAATCTGCCGCTCTCGCGGAGGAGAAGGATGCTGTCATAAACGAGTTGCGTGCCGACCTCTCGAAAGTGGAAGCCGAAGTAGTGGCACAAAAAGAGACAATGGAGCGGAAGGACGCAGAATTAGTAGAGCTTCCTGATTTGAGGACGACAATGGATAAACAGAAGGAAATCGCGGAGGAGCTGTTGAAACAATTGACCGATCAGAAAGAAGCGGCGAAAACGTTGGAAAGAGAAAAAGCTGAAGTCGAACAAAAGCTTGCCGCCAAGCAAACCGCGCTCGATATGCAAGGGGAGACTGTCCAGGTTAGCTCTAGTCGTGCCTCTGCTACTCACCTGTTTTCGCTATTGAAGTATAGTTTTTCATGGTTCTGAGAAGTGATGAAGTAAAACGATGATCCTTTCCTGCTGCTCCACACGCCACAACATCTCTTCCCCACACGTCGTTCACAACGCAGGATCTCCAGCAAAAGCTTCTAGCAGCTGAAGGAGCATTGTCAAACATGACCAAGGAACTCGATCAACAAGAGCATCATCTAGAGGAAATCCACGCGAGGGACAAAGAAAAACTAGGGAAAAAAGCCGCAGACTTGGAAGAGAAACTTCATGCTCTTGTAACAGACGTTATGGACGATGACAACTGTCATGAATATAAAAATTGAGAGGAAATACTTGGTCGAGCCTGCACCATTGATGCGGCCTTTTCATCTTTATTTTATCTTAGTGCCTGTACACACACACTCCTCCAAAGAAAATTCAAAAATAATTCAACCTCTTACGCTCTAAGCCATCTTCGAAGCTGGGTGCGCAAAATACTGCTTTCCAGCGCGAGGTGGACGATTTAAAGGCGCAATTAGACGCTGCCAACGCGGAGAAGAACCATCTCGCCGAAGGCCATGCCGCAGACAGAGCCCGCTTACAAGAGGAAGTCTTAGAAGCTACGGACAGGGCTGTAGAACTTTCGAAAGGTCTGGCACCAGAGACTCTCAAGGCCCAGGAAGCGTTGAAAAAAGCGGAGCAAGAGGTGGTGGATTTGAGAGCGCAAGTGAGCCGACTGCACTCTCAAGACGCGGCATTCAAGGAAGCGAAGATGCAAAACGATATGCTGCTTCAGGCACGCAGTGTGGGAGGAGACCTCGGAAAAGAAGTTGTTGATTATGGACTTCGATTTTGTTTTATATTTTCAGGAATCGACTCTTCCAGAAGGTGACTCATGTCGCATGACAAAGAAAAGCTCCTGTTTCGGAGCAGGCCCTGAATTGCGATTCCTCGAGCGAAGTATTTTTAGACCATTGTTCTAAGAGTCCCGCTATTTGGGTGAGCAGAGGACGATCTATACGAAAATGCTAGAGCAGAAGGACGCGATTATTGCGAAGTATCAGGCGCGTGCACAAACCGGTTCCGCAAGCCCTCTTGCAACGCGCAATCGTCCACCAAACGAATTGCTCAATGGCGCAGACATTTCTCCAGAGGACTCCAAGTCGGGAAGCAAGCGGCGCGCCGACATGCAGCCACCCTCAGTTGTATCCGTGCCGCCCGGCGGAGCGGAGGAGAGCAAAGGGGAAACGAAAGAAGGCAGTGATCCTCTAGGGGGATCGAAAAGTGCATCCGGAGAGGGAGGCGCATCGGACAAGGAGATGGCGGCGCTGCGATCCGAGATCATACGACTGCGCGACCAAATGGCGAGACAGAGAATAGAACAGAAAAAACTAGTGGAGGAAGCGGGAAGGAAAGCCGCGCAGCAAGCGGCAAAAGCCTTCCGCGACGTTCGTCTGAACGCAGAAAAGCAGTTTGGATGGCTCTTTGCGAGGGTGCCCGGGGAAGTCAATTCCTAGCTGTTTAAGGATACATCATACGGATTCCGATTTCTGATTTCAAAGAGACCTAAACAAGGTTGTGTGAACGTGACAGAATTAATTCTCATTGCTACTTGCTTCTCAAGATAACTTCGTGAAAAAACGAAAATATACTGAACTATTTAGAATGTTGCTGTTGCTGAATGATTTTTCAAACTCAAGAAAGCCGAACCTAAAAGAACTGATTGTATGCATGATGATTTTATGATGTTGTACTTTTTTTGTTGTTTCCTGCCTATGTAGCAACGATTTTCGTGGTGCTGTTTATTGAACATAGTATTCAGTTTTAGACGAGGAACTTCTTGTAAACACATTTCAGCTGATAGCAAGAATAGATGTCAAGCAAGCGCAATTTGACGATTTACAATATTCGCTACAAAGAGATGGGCCTCATCGTGTAAAATTTCGTTGCTTCAGCTCTAGAAGTGGGTTTTGGATGGGAGTGGCATGGGGCAAAACATACATGCGCTCCTTTTTGATGAGGAGTCTCATGAAGAAACGCAAAGCGAGTGAGTGGAACGCACTAGAGAGGTGGCTGCAGTCAAAGCTACTCAGGCACGATTCTTAGAACATAAACATTGTACTAGACAATTGCAATCAATATTGAGGTAGAAGAAGGTGTTCCGTGTTACACGCAATCTGTGTCTTGCGAGGGCGCACACGCAACTATGCAAGATTGCGGAACCCTGTTTCTAGACCTGTTTGTCCGCTAGACACAAGGAAGTGACAGGGAGCGTCTTTTTTTTCAACAAGAATGTTGACCGAGCGGCTATCCATACCTTCTGATGGCTCTTGTGCTGATTGCGGTTCCGTCACACGTTTGTGAGACAACCTAAGAACTACTGCTTCTAACGTATCGGTGCTGCTCTTGTGTGTCTAATTTAGGCACTATAATGACCGCACCACAATGCGAGATATCATTGATTTCCAACAATCCTCTATCCTTATGTACCTGGTGCTGGTTCGATTGTGATGTCTATGATAATTTACTCGAAGAAAAAGTAGAGAAAAGACTAGTCGTATTCTTTCATTTAGTATATAAGTGAGTACTAGAAGGTCTCTTGACCTTGTCACCAAGAAAAGATGGCGGATCCGGTTCTCTGTCACCCAAACAACTACCTCTACGCGTCATTGGGCGCATCAGCAGCAATTGTATTCGCAAATCTCGGCGCTAGCTATGGCACGGCAAAGGCGGGAGTAAATTTATGATTTAAGAAGAGGTTGTTTTTTGTTTTGCACCATCGTCCTTACCACTCAGACTCTGCAGTTATTCAAATCAAGTGATGAAAAGTATTTCAGTGTATCATGTTCTGGGTGGTTTTGCAGAAGAAAGTGCAAGGGATAGTTGATGTTGGTTGACGTATCCCATCGGTATTGCAGCAGCTAGTCGTATCTGACACTTCTAGTACCGTTTTTCCTACACAATTTTTTTTTCAGATCGGAATTGGCGGTATGGGAGTCATGCGAGGCGACCTAGTTATGCGAAGTCTTATTCCAGTAGTCATGGCGGGTGTGCTTGGTACTATGTATGGTTTTTACAGCATAAGCTTACGACGTTCACAACAATGACTTGATGATGAAAATGATGAGGCATATTATGCTATCGACGATATACAATTTTCTGCTTATCATAATCCCTGCTTAAGCAAGTTGCCGAATAGATTCAAATCATCATTCTCATCCGTTCTCCGCCGAATTCCCTTCTCCACTTTCACCTCATTCGACACAGGTATCTACGGTCTCATCAGCGCAGTTATTATCACAGGGAAGCTTTCAAAGCCATCGGAGATCTCAACGTTTCAGGGGTACTCTCTTTCTCTCTCTTTTGTATCTACACTGATTTTGTCAATTACATTTTTGTTCCACTACGACTTTGTTTTCTTTTCAGTGTCGTTCTTCTTATGACCAAATCCTACAAGTACCTTCAGATATTGTTTCATTTCTTCTACAACTTTTTACATCTTAGGTACTCTCTTCTCGGCGCAGGGGTAACAGTAGGCATGAGCTCAGTAGCAGCCGGCTATGCAATCGGCATCGTCGGTGACGCAGGCGTCAGATGCAACGCTTTGGCGAACGGTATAGAGTTACAGCGGAGATTTCAGTAAAATCACCTTCATGTCATAGGCACATCACCCTCACAGTATTGTCGTTGCGCAGGACACATTGAAAATATTACAACTTCATTGAGATATGACTCGTTCTGCAGAACAACAGAATCGTTTGTTTATAGACTGCTCCTACTTGTTGATCAGGGCGGCTCTTCGTCGGCATGATTTTGATTTTGATTTTCGCAGAAGCTTTAGGCCTCTATGGTTTGATTGTCGGCCTTGTTGTGGCTTCGGGGAGCGACAAGGCGGGCTTGTGCAAACCATACTAGAAGATGTCTTTAACGGTTCTAGGAATTCTTCTTCGCAAAGACTAGCTGTGGAACAAGATTAGACTCCCTGGACAAACAAGTTCCGCATTATCGTGTGGTAGTACAACAGCATCCGGAACCTCAGGAAGAACAAGAACCGCATTAAACTCGAAATGAAGAACAGTAGAAGACGTCATCTACTTCATGATACTTTTAGTAGACATCTAACATCCAATTTTACACCAAGACTCAAGACTCCGTCAATTAGAACATCCGTCAACGACTTTCTTTTACCATAGTACTAGCAGTATGGAAGAGTTGTAGAAGGGCAGACTCATCACAGCAGCAGGGCAAATTTTTTTATCGGTGAGCGGGCTCACGACGTAGCAACCACCCGCGATTCTCGTAGTCTGGTCGGTAGCGCGGTTTCTCACTTTGGGCTTCCTTTCAATGTGCAGACATAATGCAGTGGCCACTTCCGTTGTTAGCCTTTCAAGGATGATTACGAGCCGGAGAAGGCGGTCGATGGCCGACATTTGACGCGTTGTGATCGTCGGCGTTGTGTAGTCATGTCAACATCTTACCCTTTATATTGTTGAAAGAGGACAACGACACGCCATTTTTTTAGAAGATACATAGCATTGCAAGCCCTGATGAGACGCCGCAACTACCAACAAGGCTACTTGACCGGTGCTTTAAACACGACGAGTTCTTTCCCCTGTGTGACTTTAGCTGCTGAGATCTTACCGAAGTATCAAGAAGCTACAAAACGAATAGCTAAACAAGGCTCCTCTGATGGCGGGTGTTGAAGCTCCAGAGAGGGGTGTCAGGCAGATATCGTATCTACTGATTTCCAGTAAGCACGGAATCGTTGTTCGAGCATCATGCAGCACCTGCTGTTGAAGATAGATGAAAGTGACAGAAGAGGCGCTTTCCGACAAAAGGTGTCGACCGGTTTCTAAGTAGATGAGATGGCAAGAAAAGAGCACCAATGTGTCGAAAAAAGATTTAGCATCAGGCGGACTCTAACGATGCTAGTAGTATTACGACGTGTGACGTGCAAATCCATCAATTCATCATGATCTAAGATCGAGTGAGTTTGTTACATTGAATTGCGACAAACTCCCATATCTATCAAGATAATAGACCCCCAAAATGGATGCTTCTTCTAGCGTGGCAACCGCAGCCGCGGATCGGCTCTCTCAGCCTGCGAAGCAGACTTTGCGGGAAGTTGAGGATGAGATTAGTGCGAAGCTTCGATTAAGGCTACTGTTCTTGAAACATCCCCCCGCACTAGTAGAGACCTCGATGCGTTGAATACGAAGAGGATTGGTGCTCTTCACCTCCAAATCCCTTGGTTCTGCTTTTTCGACTTGAAAAAGAAGCCTTCTCCACGGATACAATTACTCTCAATCTCAAAGAGGGAGATGCGAACGCGATAGCTCTAATTAGAGAGATAGAGGCACTGGAGAGCGAACTTCTTGTGCGCGACGACGAAATACGACGATCCAAGCAGACGACAAAGCAGACTGAGGATGCAACGAGTCAGTCTTTACTCAGTGTAGGACCGGAAAGGGAGGTGCCGGGCATACGGAGGGTATGATGAATATCCATGATTCGTCTCTGTTCGTAGTGCTGTGAGTTCGTTGATTGCAATACTAACTACAGTTTCATACTTCAAGTAGTTTTTAAATTTGACCCCGTAGCGCTAGGTGTTGTCGAGATCTCCATTCACTTCAGCTTCGTCGGCGACCTGAGGATCCTCGGTGGAAGCACTTGCAGACGGCGCCAGATCCGCACGAGCATGCGCGAGCCCTGTTGATGGAGTCTATACTTCCTAAGCCGGCTCCTCACGAGTCTACCTTTCCTAAGATGCCGATGCATAGCCTCGATGAGCCACCAGCACTCTCTCACGACCCATTGGAGTGGAGACTCTCTAGAATGTTTTGATGAAATGAAATTCAAAATGTTCTTGTAGGCTTGGGATGAAATACGATAATGTTTTCGCACACCGAGTCTACTTTCCGTACATGGATCAGGGTCTTCCTTCGACCGAGGTGGGAGTTCGATTGGCTGCACGGTTAACAGACTGGAATGCATCATATTCAGATTCTCCGGCTTGAGGATGTTTTGGTCATTGGCGATCTTTCTTCTTCCACGATCCCGATCTTCATTGATTTTCCTTTTAAATAGAGGTGGTTATTGCCTCCAAGGATTCTTGTTTTCATTTTTGTTCAGGTGGGGTAGAAATAAAAGTGCTATGAAAAAAACCAAGTACTTATGAAGATTTTCAGCTTTGACCGACGTTTCTCTGCTCCCGGTGATAAAGGTTTTTTCATTGAATTTTTTTGTGGCCCCACAAGAGTTCCTATTTGTTTACACTTTACTGCGTTATTCAATTTCGTTTTCGTTGTCGCTAGTTTCCTGACAGAAATGAAATCGGCGTCCGCGGAATCTGCTGCTCCTCTTGGGGAGGATGGAACTGAACTCACCTTCGAGTGCTCATCGCGCGATGTAGGACGAATCATAGGGACCAAGGGTACTAACATTCGTGGTTTGGAGCATGGTGCTCATCCTTGCCGCATCAAGACACCAGCCAAGAATGAGCAAAGCGGTGGCGATCAGAATGGTGGCGCGTTGATGGTTGTATTATGATGACATGCATTGTATACCTGTCCTGTGAATTAAGTATTTTTAACAAGAAGTTTAAGTTTTCGTTATAAATGTTGGAACTGCTTCGTCTTGCTGGTAGACTAGTAGAGCTGCGTGAGACGTCGACATGATGAGAATTCACGACGAAGCATTATCCGCCCCCTTTCTTTTCTAACCACTGTCCGCATCACGGGTGGCACTCGCGAATTGCGTCAGCGCTGCAAAGAGGCGATAGATGCAGTACTGATGGGTTCTGACCCAAGCGACGTTTACGCGGAGATGGACGGTGCAGCCGTGATGCGCAATCTCGATCCTGTTGTCCTAAATTTTCTCGGAAAGCGCAAGAAAGACTTGGAGAGAAAACATAAAGTGCGTTTAGAACTAGAAGCGAAGTCGCTGCGCATATGGAGTACAGGCCAAGGTGGAGGAGGGAGCAGCAGCAGTAGCAGCAAAAGGGGAGCAGATCGAGCGGGAGATCCTTATGAGAGTCCGTCCAGTTGTTGTTCTTGAAAGTTGCTCCTCCTGAAGTAAGTGTCTCGAAGATCGGTCCTCAAAATCGTTTGACTATTTATCTTCATTAGTTCTAAAGGTTTTGTCTACCAAGGTTCGCTACTGCTCGACCCACTTTATTTCCTCGACTTCGTAATCACGTGGCATTCATCAAACTACTGTTAATTTCTTGCAAAGCTTTAATACCGAAAATCCGTGATGTCCGAAGAGGTCGAGGCGGCAAAAGCCGCGATAGAGCATGAAATTGACGAGCTCCAGACGTCCGATACCATTGTAGTACGAGTACCGGCCGACCGCGTGGGAAGTATCATCAACCACACCTCACTACGACAGCTCCAGGACAGTAGCCACATCCAGTGCATGGTCACGAAAGATGATCAGGGCACAGGCATACGGCTGGTAGGCTTGAAGGGCGCGATTGAGGAAGGTACTGACTCTTCGGGATAGTGGTGACTCCTCATAGATGGTCCTGATGGGACGGATTCAACAAAGCAGGTTCTTTAGGTTGAGTAGTCGAGGATAAAATTTGTGGTGGTACTTCTTCCTTGTGTATTTACACGTGTGTTATATGAGTACAGTGCTACTAGAAGAGCTCGGGCAGAAGTTTAACCCCTCTACCGACAACAACAAGGTCGCAGTTGTATCGAGAAGTTGATGGGCGGAGAAGGTGCCGACTTTTTGTCCTTTTTTCCTGGCTTATTGTCGAAGATGTCCAAGCAGGCGGACGGGGACTTTAGACGTGATGTGCGTAGCATGGCTGAATGGTGCCAAGTAGCAGTAGACATTGAGCCGTCGAGATTAACGTTTGCCGGTAGCTCCGAGAATGTAGACTACGCAAAGCGAGAGGGCATGAAAATACTGGGTTACTACTTTTATGGGATGCAAAAAACAACAAAAATGTTCACAGTATTTTAGCTTGTAGGTACTCGTATTTTTTATTGCAGCGAGCAAGTACTAGAGTGATACAGCTAGAACCATAACCGTCTGTCATCTTTCTCCTGTCTGATTTCTAAGTTTGTCCGCAAAATTGTTGCCGAGTGGATTTAGAGTACGATAGTGTCGACTACATAGCCGGTGAAGACGACCGGAATTTGATGAGGCTGCAGCAGATGGGCGCATCTGTCGCCTTAGACCGCACGGCCTGTTATGTCTGGGTAACCGCATTACTACCCAGAAATGTCGATGCAGTACGAAAACGTGTAGAGGACTTGCAAACAGCATGGGGAGAACTGTTTCAGGTACCACAAAAACGGTGTACTGAGTATATATAGAAGATGAGTCTCGTTAAATGCTGTATGCGAGCTTGTGCCACTGATGCCAGTCGGTTAATTAGCGTGTCGAGTATCACCAAAGCCAAACGAATAAATGGGTTTTGCACGTCCGACACCTACAACGTATCTCAATATACTAGGTTGTCACTGTACGCGATCGGGGTGACATTTCGAAGATCCTTGGCAACCAGGGTGCAATCGCCAGGCAAATCCAAGATGAAACTGGTGCAAAGCTTGAGGTGGATAGGCGCGAGCTGAAAATCAGAATAACTGGCAACACGAAAGAGTCTGTGCAAAAGGCGAGAAGTCAAGTTTTGGCGAAGCTAGGCGCTGGAGGTGGAGGTAGACGCCGTGGCGCTGATAATGTTATGAATCGTTCGAAATTTTTGGTAGACAAATACAAAATTCTCGTGAAGATTCTGTTTCATTCTTCACATTCTTTCACCTAGAAGATTACTATGGTCGATTCTAATATCCATGCTTCTTGGGGAGGTGCCTGGCCGACGGAAGGTGCGACGTCTTTAAAGCCCGACGATGATGATGACGGATGGGGAGCGGGACCGCCAAAGAATCAGACGCTCAGTAACATAAAGCGTGGTAAGAAAGGACCATCGGCTTGGGGATGATGCGAGCAGTCTGATTAGTTGTATCTTCATCTGGTCGTTACAGACTTTGAATTTTGAAATAGCGCTTTTTGCCGTCTCCCACAGAGAAAAGACGTACTGACCCCGACCCACAGAGGATGCAGCGGCGCCTGCTGTAGACCAGAAATATGTTTGTCATCCGCGAGAAGTCGTTTTTCAATTCCACGCAAAAGAAGATGATTTTTCTAGACTCTGGCAAGAGCCTCTGACGAACATTTTCGGGCTCTTGAGTGGCTTCCTGTCGATTGTCCGATCCCTTTTTCCCCTCAACCAATTGCTAAGAGGGAGCGATCCGAATTGGGTAATCGGTTTGTCACGATCATCGTCATGATTACCATGTTGTGTGGCTACCTCCGCCTCTACTCTGGTTGTCAAGATGAATGGGAACGAAGATATGTTGTACTTGGCTGCTCACATGATGGCTGGCGCCCTCATCCTGAGGAGGCTTATCTACTCTTAAGAGATCTTTGTACTGAGTTCATCTGCTAATCGAATGGCCTTAGCTACTTTATTGGGGACTTTATCACTTTCGACAACGGCTGCAAACGGATGTTGTTATTTTTCTGTACAAAAAAAAATCGGCAGGAAGAAATGTAGGGTCTGATGCAGGAAATTTTGTATACCTAATGATTCATTTACTGTAGGAGCAAAACAAATGTCGCTTTTGAGTTTTTGTACATCTAAATCACTTGCATGCTCTTTTGGAATGAGTTTCCTAAGTACTCAAACAACTATGCAATTAAGTAGAGGAGAAGTGTCACTACATTATGTAAAGACTTGTTGATCATGCATACTTTACACTAAGAACAACGACTGAAGCAAAAAAATATGAAGTAACGGAATGCGTCTGGTGCTTCACGAAACAGACAACATGAAGTAGGAGAACAACAGTGGACTCATATGGACTGCAGCAATGTCGAACAGTGTCGAAGTCACAAGAAGAGTGCGGAACTGCCGTGGCCTCTTGCCTCTAGATGTGGAGTGGTCGTATTTCAAGTCTTCTTGATATGTTCTTCGGTTCTGAAATGGACCGTTGTCGCTTAGATAGTTGTTTTGGAATGTTTTCTGTTGTCGCTTACAAAAAATGTTGTGTACAGGTATCAGGACAAGCGGTTTGCTCAGGAGATTGCGCCGCGCGTCTACTTGGGACCTTACTCTGCCGCCTGTCAAGAGGACCATCTACGCGAACTCGGTATCACGCATGTGATAATTTTTCGAGCGCCCGAGGAGGAACGGATCGTCCGGCCTCGTTTTGAGTCATGGATTCGATACGAAATCATAGAAGCTCGCGACACGGTGAATCAAAGCTTGATACCGCTGTTTCCGAAGGTGCGCGAAGCCGTAGACACCGTGCTCGCTGCAGATCCAGGGAATCGAATTCTACTCCAAGGCACAGTGGGCATGTCGCGGTCAGCCGCGTTTGCGATAGCATATGTACTTACTACTACAACTTGCTCATGTGAGAACGCTTAGAAAATTAGTACATGAAAACACGACTTTGCTTTTTGAGACATCTTTGTATTGATGAGCTCTAGAAGACCTGATCGTGATGATTCATTTGTTGTGTATACGCTTTTACAGGTGATGGAGAAGTTTGCGCTTGACTGGGAAGCAGCCATTTACTACGTGTCCCAGCGGCGGCACTGCGTAGCGCTCAATGAGAACTTCAGGTGGCAATTGCGAGAGTATGACCTGATATGGAAGACGAGGCAGCGTGCTTCTAACGTTGGCATAGGAAGTGGGGGAATGTCACGCAAGCGCCCACTAGAGGATGATACCCACGAATACGAAAGGAATCATGCGCCTGCGCCAGTACTCGCACGAAATAACGCTGCACCCTACGCGGGTGATGCATGTAATGGCGACGTCGCCATGGACAACGGCTGAAGTAGTTCCTTTGTAAAGAGCACGCGAGAAAATACGAATTCAGGTCTGCATGCCCTACACACTACATACACATCCTTTTCTAGAATTCAGCAACATATAGTCCCGGTTAGGTACGCTCCCCCTACTCTACGCAATTTGTCATAGTGTTTTTTGTCAACCCCCCTATTTTTTCTAGGATCCAGCCCAATGTTTCGCCCTTATGTTATTCATAGAAGCACGCCACCAGTAGCCAGCCTTGCGCACAAAGTTCTTGTATCGTTTTCTTCACAGTTCTACTTCTAAAAAAAACACCGCAAAGTCACCACCTGTATGGTGAAAGGGAGTCAAACAGAAGACGATGCCACGTCTGTAACACGTCGATTGATACTAGAACTCCGAAAGCAAGATACGTTTGTGTTGTTTTTTTTGCCTTCTATCTGAACTCCAAAGTGCCTGAGAGATTCGGAGTGAACTCTACTGCGAGAGAAAATCGCGCGATCAAATACGGGGGCACAAAGAGGTGATCAAAAACGTCACGCACAAAAACTAACTTGGCAACTTTGCAGCTTTCAAAATGCAATGAGAAAGGAGTCAAAAGAAACGGGTGCTTGTTGTGCGATAAGATAATGATGTTGAAGAAGCCGCACCCAGACGAGAAAACATAATTGAATATCTATTATCACCTCGGCAGGAAATGTATCGTCTTGCCGGTGGTTCGATATGATCACTTGAGACGCACTGATGATGATTCTCCTTGCCGCTTCGAGGGGCCCTTCTCAAAATAATTTCTCAAAATAGGAAAATGGTCGTAACAGAGCCGGCAGCGGATGGCGATGGTGAAGGTGGGACTTCCTGTGAAGCCACTCGGACGCAGCGGCGAGCAGAGCGCACTCGTAAGCGCGTGCCAGCTGCATTTGACGCCGCTGCTGACGCGGGTCTATCGCAAAGATTTCTTGTTTTGCAGCGACTTGGTCCGACGACTTTCCTGCTGCAGGAGGCCGAGAACATCGTAATAGGAGGTGGGGGTAGTGCCACTAGCGTTAGCGGAGAAGGAGATGATAGTGGAGATATCGCAGGAGAGGACGACGAAGAAGGTCGTGTGGTTTGGGACAGTCGCGCAGCATCGAATTCGGGGGAAATCTTCGATCCGCGATGTTTTCCTTGCGCTGACGGCACCAGTGGCTGCACTGTCGAGACTGGTGCATCGCAGATTTCTAACACGACCAAGAAAAGTGCAAGCTCTTCTAAAGGGGACGAGCGAGGCCAACAGCGTCGCAGCAAAGCTGGTTCCACGAAGAAATTCAAGGTTTCGCTCGGTTCGCCTTTTCACCATTGCTCTTGTAACACTGGAGAATCAACAACCACAATAGAGAAGGATAGCACGAGATGGTGTGTGCACATCTGCTTCGTTTTGCTAAAAGTCCTGCGGGTCGAGCGGGATTTTCCTGTGGTTCATCGTGGCCGCATCACGGAAGCCGACCTGGATCAATTGCTGACTTATCGAGAACGCCTAAAAGAGAGGCAGTGGGCAGCCGAGCAGCGCGCAAAACGGCGCGAGGAAGCAGCGGCGCGGCTTCATGCACGAGGTGGCGGCGATAGAGATGGCGTATGGCTATACCAGATAATGAGCAGTAACGTGCTGTCACAGATTAACTGATTTCAGAAAGTCGGTCGCGTAGTTTGCAAAAGAGGGGGTCGTGGGACGGTTGTTCCACGACTACAAAAGTATAGAGACTGGGCGTTTTGCGTAGTTCCTTCTAAACTTTGCCGGAGGAGGAGACGGCAACTTAGCAGGTGGCAAACACGGCAGCTCCAAATATCGGCCACCGGCAGAAGACGAGCAATGCCCCATCTGTTTCGATGATTTACTTGGCGACGGCGACTCGCGGTCGAATCCTTATGCTTTGATATACTGCGAAGAGGGGTGCAAACGAGCTATCCACACGTCGTGCATGCTGAAGTGGTGCGAACATCATAGCTCTTCCGGTGCAACGTGTCCTTTGTGTCGCGTGCCGTGGTCAGGGGAGCAGGTTCAAACACTGCAAAAACGACAGCTGAAAAACGTGCGCGCACAACGCAAGGACGCTCATACGGGATTATCATGCAGGTTTTGTCGTGTACGCCCAATACGAGGTCCCATGTACGCTTGCTTGAACAGCAACGGTCTTCCTTCTGCTGGTGGAACGAATCCTCGCAAGCTTACAGAGGTCGATGCTATCCAACTACGTGGAGCACCAGCCTCTTCATCGTCGGGACTAGCTTCGCGTCCATTGCGCCATGGGGCCCTCGGGATCCTGGCGAACCAGGGACCGCGACCGTCGAATAACGGCCCGTCCTCAAACAAGACTAGCGATGTTCTACTAGACTCGGCGTTTATTCTCGTGACTTACTGCGAAGAATGTTTCTACAATCCGGCAGCTCGAGTCTACAGTTCTCACGCAGATGGTAGCGTCGTTGCGCGACTCTTTGTGCGGAAGCAGGCAGCGGACAGCGCAGAACTGGAGTTTGTGCCGAATCCTTCGCAGGTTCCAACAGACCCTGCTAGGGTTATGCAGGAACAACAGTTTCACTTCGAATTTGGCTCTCGGGGTTATGCCGCAAGTGTTCGAGAGCAACAGGCGGCGCTGGCTAATGTTTTGTCTTCGAACACAGCCTACCAAGATGTGAACGATTTACCGTTGAGCGTACTGCTTTCGCTCGGAAGCGATGTTGCTCAAGAACTAGGAGGCTTTCGGCCCTTGAACCCTGGACCAACTAGCAGCGGTACTATAAGTGACGGCTTGGTTCCTGGGAATGGCATTGGTGGTGATTCCACTAGCAGCAATAGCTCCGCTTTGGCGGAGTTCGGCACAAAAGTTGATACGGTCCATGAAGCTATTGCAGCTGTACTTCAAGTTATGTGCTCGGCTGCGGATCAGCGAGAGCAGACTAGACTCAAGGCTCGCAGCGGAATGCAAATCCAAGGCAACAAGGCAGCTATTGGCAGAAACGGGGCCATTGGTTCTCAGACAACAGAGGCGTGCGAGAAGCTTTGCGTGGTTTGTAATGCGCCAGGTAATTTGGAAGATTCTTCCCACGCAGAGACCTCTTCCTCGTCTACAAAAGCGTCGTCTGCGTCATTGCTTCGACTTTTCTGTGGACATGCGTGCCACGCAGCTTGTTTGCGAGCATGCTCGTCGTACAAATGTCCTGCTTGTGGTACTTACCTTTTGCCAGCGTTGCAAGTTTTGATGGACGGAAAGAAATCAAAACCTGATCCCGGGATCGCTGGTGCCCTGGATAATGGATTAGCAGATGGATCTTCAGCTCCGTGTGATGCGCTCGGAGGCTTAGTCGCAATCGGCACGTCCGCAGGCAATGCAGCACCGTCGCATGAACAAGTCAGAAACGCCTTATTGCCTCACCAGCCTTTCATATCGGACCGAAGAAGTGGGCAACCAGCTACTGCATTAGAAGACAGCTTGAGTGCAACTGGAATCAGCGTGGGCGTAAGAAATGAATGTGCCAGAAACGATGCTATGCCTAACCAATCCAGTGTCGGCGCATCTAGACCTCCCGTCGCGAGGAGGACTCGCGAGGAGAATCACCGGGTTCGGAGACTGGCGTCCCAAGATGCACCAAGTAGGAGCAGAGCAACGACAAACACTGAAGATTCAACTACAGTGGCGCCTTTGCCTGACTTCAGCACTGTGTCTGTGAGCGGTTCGAATTTCAGTGGGTTGCATACTGAGCCGGAGCCTATGGATTTGTATCCATCCTTGCCGGATGAGAAGGTCGTCATGTCCTGTCACAGTAGCAAGTCGAAGATAGCTGCAACTGGGACTAGGCGCTCTTCGTTTTCTGCGAATACAAATCGTCGAAAATCATCTTTTCCAGCAATTTCATCTGGTACTATCGCGAAGCCACCCAGTGACGACATGTCTGGTGACCTCAGTGTCGGTGGCATGCGACTGGACACCGAAGACGCGGAGCTGGGATGCAACACTAGCGCTGAAAATGTCGAAATTATGGGATCGAAATTTGGTTCTAAGCGTGTCCCACGGAGGATACGAGGGTCAAGCAGTGTCAATACTGAAACACAGAGGGATCCCTTGCCCGCGGCACCTTCTACGATATCCTCATCATCTATTTCCAACCGTACTACAGCTGGCGACAACTCCTTGACTGTGTCCTCCGTCGGCATGACTGGGTTATGTTCGTCTTCGAAAACACCTTCCAGCACGGGTGCAGCGGCCAACCCACGAGGAGAAAAGAGATTGGCTCCGTCTCGACTGCGCACAAGACCGCGTGTAGGGACATCTGAAACAGCTATGCTGGACAAAGACCACTTGGCGAGTCTTGCGTTAATTGGCGGACCAGTGTTCAATGGCCCGTGATAAGTGAGCGTCCTTTTTGCTCGCGGATTTGGTGGAGTGGATGCAGACACTCAAAGACGTTAACAGCTTTTCACCGCGTTTGATCGCAGGGCGACTACAACGCGTAAGGGCGTGTACGCTGCAGAACCGGCTGCCTGCCAACTGGTAAGGCCAAACGATACGAAACGGCGTGTGCCAGCAGCCGCCATCCTATGCACACGAGCATGGATCGTTTCTTGCTTGAAACAAAACGCCTTCTAGACGGCCATCGAGCACCACAGCGGTGCGATAGTGCAAATATGGCTACGACTCATCTTTTGCAGACACGACCGCGCAACAGAGGCGAAAACCGAAATATGGTCCGAATAGCAGCTGCTTCGCCACGTGAGTCTGCGATGAGCGCGCGCCTTCTGAAGCGCGAGCTTCGCCCCGGCGCGTTTTCTGACTTCCCAGGCTCAAGTTTTCGATGCTCGTAGACTTTATAATTGAATTTTCTGGCCCACGACCGTCGTCGAACAGGTCGACAAGAAAGAGATGAATCAGCGTGATAACAGATGATGCACAGTAGAACATGTTTTTGTCGCCAAGCGATAGGTTACAAGATTGGCAGTGGTTGAGATGAGACTATTCCACTTACACGGCACAATACCATTCTAGGCGATCACGACTGTCCGTTGACGAACATGCGAGTGCGATAGAGTGAAAAAAAATGCGTTGCACCAAAAAAGTCAAAGATACAAGCTGTGTTTGGAGCACCGCATGCCACGCTAAAAATCGTAGACAGAAACATCGTTTTTCAAAGAGGCCAAATATAGGCTTAAAAAAGTTCTCTTTGTGATCCTTAACAAGCACTTACCTCGATTAGATACTAGTGCTAGTACTTAGCTGAACAAGGGAGTTGGACTTGCTACAACTACTAAAAAGCATGAATCCATGAATCCATCCCATCTTGCGGTTGTAGTTGTTTCTGTACTACTTAGCTAGATGTAGCGCTTAGTAGGAGTTGGGTGGATTTCAAGGAAGGTCTTGACCAACCACGCTGGTGCTATTGAGAGATTGGTAATTCTTGCGTGCAGTTATCATTCCGACTACTCATCTACGGATTTTTTTAGCAACACTCCGACGAGGGAAGATAGGCAAGATGGTGATTGGAAGTGATTTAACCGCGCCACCGCGGACCATGTCTACCGTTCCACGTGTTGGCGCGAAATCTACAGCCCCTGGTCCAGCGCGACCGGTGAGCAAGAATGTCTCAGGGCCGGCCGCGGCACGAAGCGGCCCCCCAGGATCTTCCGTGGCGCGTGGTGGTTCATTATCCTCTAGTACTGCCACCTCTGCTGGTGTTACTCCTGTAAATACTACAACAGGAGTTGTTTCTAGACCGAAACCTAAGTCCAAGACGATGACATCTTCTAAGGATGGACTAACTGCTTCGTCATCCACAGTTTCCGGTGTGAAGCCGAAGACTCCTGGTACAGCGACGAGTCAGGTCATTTCCAAGGATCCTAGAGCTAAACCGACTACGGGAACAGTATCGGCGCAAATGAAGGGAGCGGTTGGTGCTGCGGCAAAAGAGGAAACATCCGACCCACTGCAGAAGGCAGCTAAGCAGAAGTGGTGCTACGAGCGCGTAAATGAGTTGAACAAGCGACGAGATCAGCTAAAAATGCGAATAGAGCAACGGGCAGAAGAGCTTCGAGATATTACTGCGAAAGTGGCTGCTGAGAGTGGACAAACAACTCTTATGATGAGAAATGGTGGATATGCTTCTTGATAGCTGCTGGCACCTGTTCCTCTTTTGCTACTGAGGTGGCGCCAACAGGTTGATGAAATAGTAATGTCCGCTAATCACGATAATAGCTCGCAACAAGCAGCAACCAAGCAGACGATGGACACGCAGACGAGCAGCGGTGTGGAACCCCAATATGTCGAGCAAGTAGGTAGCGACCACAGCGTCAACAACGCCAACAGCTCCTCTACACAACCACCGAGTCTTTTTGCACCCCCCGAGCGTGCTCCCCGAGAGAGGCTGAGGATCCTCACTCGCGAACGCGCGGCACGTCGTGCGGAGTTTGATAAATGTACAGCGGAAACCGCGAAATTTGAGGCTGAAACGCGAGAGCTAGAGCGGGACTGTGCCAATCTCGCCCGCAGTTTGGAAAAATGGAGTTCGAACGAGGAAACTTCGCGTTCATCTACGAAAGAGTATCTCGCGAAAAAGCGGGAGCTCGAAGCCGGAAAAGACATAGATTCGCAACGTATCATTCGTTTGAAAGTAACTTGGCACGAACTAAGCTCTGGATTAGACTGTGTGGGCTGTGCTTCAGAGGATACTTTTTAGAAGATGGCATTACGTCACAGTTACTTCTAAAGAACAATCGAGGTATTCAAGTCATGTGTCCTCAAGAAGGACCTCCTGTAAGCACCCAATCGAATTTTTTTACTTCAGGTCGCCAATCCCTGGAGGCAGGTCTGTCCGACGGCATCGCGGTTCGAGAACGTCTGAAGATGGAGGTGGCGCAGGAGCGTGAAAAGCTAAAATTACTGGAGTCTGCATGGGTTGAGAAAGAAGCAAGTATGCGATTAGAAAAAATGAGAACGCAAAATTATGACTTGATACTGAACTCTGAGAACTGGTGGGCATTGATTACATCATTCGGCTTCACCTTGAACAGTTGAATGAGTTGTAGGTATCTTTATGACATCTTGGCATGACTGCTTGTATCATTCGAGACTCGAGGGATGTCGACTCTAAATACCGCAACTGGACGTTGTGTCGCAGGAGGAAAGGGCTTTAGCATCGCAAACAGAGATTGTACTCGCGCAGCTGGACGCCTTCAGACTGCAGGGCGACTACCGCCGAACCAAAGAACGCTTCCGCCAGTACTGCGACCTTTTATCCTGGATGAGTTAGAGTTGTGTTTTTGAAACGATCTAGAACGATTCTGGTACGTACACACGGAATTTGTGGAAGAGCATCTCATTTCCTTTCCAGTTTTTCTAGTCTGATTGTAGTGTCTGTGTCATTCATAAATCACTCAACATCCTTCCAGGATGGAGGAGTTAGCCGCAGTACGCCTACAGGAAAAAAATGGCATGTTCGAGCAGCTTCGGAATTTGCAGGAAGTTCATCAAACAAAAAAAGCGGAATATGTTATGATTTGTTTCACTAGACTGGTCCAAGAAACAAGAACAAAGATAGAAACAAGATCCTTCAGGAACAGGCCAGTATTTATAATGTCATACGTCAATGATGCACGACATTTTCTTCAGTTGATGCCAGATACTGTCCACTACCCATGGTGTCGAGTCCCGCCAGTGACTTGGTAGATGACACATTGGACACGTGACATAACTCTACCCATGATCATTCGACCGTATTCTAATCCAAAGCAGTACGAACGGAAAGTTGCGAGCCTGCAGAGGGAGGTCTTGGAAAAGCAGAGTGACTGGCGACTGCAACATTTGAAAACACTCGATGAACGCATTTGTAATCGTCGGAAGCTGCTTGGCGGTGATCGCACTTACGTACCGGTTCGTACTGGTGTCTCAATGACCCTGAATACGATGGAACAAGTGTCGCAGGTGTGAGGACGACTACTGTTTTATGAGGACGACCACTGTGTTTCATCTCACCAATGATTGACGCTATTCATTTGAGGTGCACACGCGACATTTTACGAGGACGAATCCCACGAACACGACGGAGGACTTCACGGTTTGAGTGGGGCGTCGCTGTTAAGCGGCTTTAAGTGGACTTGTTTCTTACTCATTTTATTAGGAGGAACATTGGATGGCGTGAAGGTGAAGTTGCGCTTCCTTTTGCTAAAAAAGCGTGTAATAATTCAAATTCTTTTAACAGAGCATGAGTACTTGACATCTATGTATAAAGCTGCTTTCGATTTCCTTTGGATGAAACGTGATTGCTTAATTAGGTTCATGCATGCAAGCTATTTTCTTTTCTCGCGAATTATCAAGGTCGTAAGTTCTTTGTTTTTTCCACGCTATTATGTACGGATGTAGCTCTTACATTAAACGACGTGATATAAAAAAGGTAAGTAAATGCTGGTCCGAAGTCGCAGTGCTTATGTAATACCAGTCATTCGTGTGGGAACATTCATTTCTTTTTACATCGGTTCTATGAAAAATTGTTGAGATTTTAGAAGCCAGGCTGATCGAACCGAAACTTGGAAGTCTAGTCTTCAGTTGCTGAGTTCATTAGTAGTGGTAGACTATAATGGGCGAGTACGAAAAATCCAATTCTGAGGTACAAGATGAATGGGCATGAGACTGGGAGAACAAAATGAGTCAACCAAGCCAATCCAAATCCAATGATGTTTGTGTGATGATCCTCTTCCGAAAGTGTTTGAGTGAATTGTCGGTCCATCCATGCTTCTGAAATACAAATCCAACTGGCTTCAAATGATCGGGTGCAGGACGTTTTCAACACCATGTTTTCATTTGTAGTAGGAGATCAGCGCCAGATGATTTTGGACGTGGAGTCTCTTGAAGTTGTACTTCCACATTAAGATGAGTATAATCAATTCTAGTTTACAACATTTTGTAGTAAGTCTTCAATGATGATCATTCGCTGATGTTTGGAAATGCAGTTTTTAGATCCCCATTCTGCCTGCCCACAATGCTTTCTCCCCACAGGAATTTGAGTTTTACGTACCTAGATTTCTTGCTCTCATGCTGGTGTCGTCTTACCAACATGAATGTAACTAATTCGTGACTATAGAAGTATGTAGTGGGAAGAATAAATCGTGGTCCCAGTTTACTAGCTGACTAACCACGAATCTCCATGATTCTGTGAACAACTAGTTTGGCTTTCGATAAAGTCTTAGAATAACTACCTGTATCAAACTGAGTCGGCTGATGCGCTTAACGCATGAACAAGTAAGTACCATGGATTAACGCTTCTTCGCGACTGTGCTTTCCACATTTTGTACTAAATGCGTACTAACTTTGTTTGAGATAACGCAAGAATGACGACGCGACGCTCAGGTCCCCAACTATCTACTTGGTGACAGCGTACATGACACAGCTCCTAGTGGCTCTCTCGAGGTCGGATCACTCACGCATGTTTCCTCGTGTGTTTATGAACGGGAGCATCCAATTACGATGGCAAACAGCGACGACGAGGATGAGCGGCTGGCTGCCGTGCTAGGCCAGTCCATAGACACCCAGGTGGATGGAGCTGCAGCACCTGGAACGGCATTACATGCGGCGAATCCGTTACTACGGTATTCCGGTGGAGCGAAAGGGGCTAAGGTACGACCCTGCGCTAGTATTTGTCTACTTACTCAAGATTAAGACGATCGTCGAAAAATTATATTCTCGATGAATTTGTGCGCAAAGATGCGCGTCTAGAGTAATTTTCTACTGAGCGCTGTGTGAAATTGTCCTATTCGGAAGTTTGCCGTCCATAAGGAAGTCGGCACTAGTTCATTTTTCGATGTGTCCCTTCGTCCGTTGTAATTAATCATCAAATACACTAGATCATTTTTCGAATAAGCGAAAGTATTTCTATCAACAGGGCAAGGGCAAAAAAGGAAGTAAAGGGGATGGCGCAAAAGATCGACAGGAGGTTGGGCAAAATTACATCTGTCCGGTCTGCGGTAAGAAGGGAGAACACTGGCTACAGGACTGTCCGACAAGGCTAGCGAATTTATGGTTCAAGACTTCCAGTACTTTTTACATGACAGGATTTTTCAGAGGAGAGAAAGCAATCTTCATCATAAGCGCAATATACTAAGTAATGAGCCTAACGTTAGGGTTGTTTCGATCTTCTTATCTAATTTTTTTTGGTGTTTCGCTAGAAGAGGATGGAGAGGGCGGCTTGGATTACGAAGCTTGGTCATTGGAGGTGGAAAAACGTAAGGCGGGCAGCAAAATACGGTTTGCACGTGGTATTCCCATGAACTATCTGCAAGAGTGCCCAACATTCGAAGCTGCCTGTGAGCGGTCGGTAGATGGCGTGTGCTACTTAAGGCGTGAAAAGCCCGGCAAGTATTTTGCGTACGTGCACGACGTGAGCAGCACCTTATTTTTGGGAAAGCACATGCAGAAGTTGCAGACACCAGTGAGCGAAAAACTCTTCTACGCGTATGGCCAGGGCCTGCACAACGCGCTCCAATATTTATGCTGTACCGTGTGCGGCAATCTGCTGAACTACCCAGAAATCGTGCCTTGCTGCGGAACCTGCTTTTGCAGAGACTGTATCGTGGAGCGACGGAACTGCCCAGCGTGCAAGAAAGAAGTCCTTTCGCATAGGCTAAAGCCACACATTGTCGCGAAAAAGATCACAGACAAAATTCGTGCGGGTACTGTCACTGATATTAATTTAAAAAGTGTTAAGTAGAAAAAGAATCATAAGGCCGATATTGATTTCATTATCATGAAGCTGTCCGTTGAGAGGAGGTTTTATATCGGAATTCATTCGGTAAATGGGATTTGACGTTAGAATTTTTGCCTCAACTCTCTACAGCCAAAGTCCACGAACTACGTCGGCGCGAGGAGAACGAGACGCGTCGCCGAGAAGCATGGCGTGCAAAGCAAGCGCTAGTGGAGGAGGGTCTGGTGGAGGAAGAAAGACAGAAGCGTGCGGAGGAACAGCGCAAGGCCTTGCACATGCTGCACAAAAAGATGCTCGAGGACAAACTCGGGAAGCTCGAACGCAAGATCGTGAAAAAGCGCACGAAGATTCTCGACGACATGCTCGGAGAAGCGACTGGGACCTCCTTTTCGTCGAGTCAAAAGAAAGAGGAGGGTGAAGGTGCTGTTGATGGCGTGACTGCAGTTGTGGAGGGCGAGGCGCAGCAACAGGAGCCTGCAGACAAAACAGCAGCCGAAGAATCTGCTCCGGCAACCGCTAAAGCAAAAGATGACGCTGCACCCTTAGAAAAGGACAGTGGAGTAGACGGGAAGCGCGCTAAGGAAGAGGAACGGTTGCGATTCGATGACGAAGAGGGTCCACCAGAAATCCGAAATCCTGCCGAGTTTGATCTTTTCAAGCTAATCCTGAAAAAGCGAGCTCTTGGATCAGAACTCGAAGAGTTCGATCGTGCAGAGGAAGAAGCGCATCCGACAAAAGGAAAACGTCGCGATTCTCGGGAAGACAGCCTGCTGCAACAGCAGGGCGGCTCTCTTCTCATCCCTGCACCCATCAGTGGAGGCATCTTGTCGCCACCGCACTTCCTTGCACCACCAGTTAGAAAAAACGTTGAAGCCATTGCGCCTGCGGTTGTTGTTCCAGGTACGAGTTTAGGACAACAAAATCACCCTATGAATCAGCAAGTACTAGTGCCACCAGCTCCCAACGTGCAACAGCCACCTTCGGCAAGTGGTGTGTATATCCGCACACTAGGAGCAGAAATCACCACAACTGTGGCTTCTGCCACTTCGAGCACCAGTGTACAGCATCTTCCTACAACGGAGACGGAAGTTTCTCTCGCGCCATCATCTGCGATGCCTGTCCTGACAAGTGTGAGGAGAACAAACAGCAGCGCTACGGATATGACGGAAGAGGAACCAGATATCTATGACTTAAAAGAGCCGGGGCCTTTTGGTGGGGTTCAACAGCAGGAGATGCCGAGGATGGGAACAGCAGTACCCATTTATCAACAGGAGACATCATCCAGTGTTGTACCACCAGCGACTGCATCTTCAAATCCCGCGTTCATTCCATCCTCATCGTCTTCTTCGTCATCGGCGCCAGTCTTTCCTGGAAATATCGTCAACGGCGCGAATCCTGTTGCACAGAGTAGCAGTGCGAGTAGTTCCTCATCCTCAGCTCGGGTGATCACCTTGCCCTCGGTACTAGCAGATGCTCCTGTGGCCACCACTATTGCCCCACATATAATCTCAATCACTGCTTCTAGTACAACAAGACAATCCTCCCTAGATCCTGCAGGACCTGGATCTGTGATGTCACCCGAGGACGGACCCGCCGAGGGAACACCGATAGAAGCGGACGCAGCTGCGCCCGGCAGCGAGAAAAAGAAGAAGAAGCGGAAGAAAATGACCCCCGAAGAATTTTTCGCTTGGCAAGAACAGATGCGGAAAGCTGCTGAAGAAGGAAAACCGCCACCAATTAGTCCACTTGCTTCAGACACGTGAATGAAGTTGAAGACTTCCCTTAACGTTAACCACCCTAAGTTTGATCTCCATACACATCTCCATCAACAACCCCACATTTTAAGTCGCGCGGCGACGATTTTGATTTCATAAGGTTGACACGTCAGAAGGGTCTTTTCCACGAGTCGTTCGCTTTCAATGTAGTGTTCGTGTGCGTAGGAATGTCTGAGACACATGCTGTTCATCGGTATTGCACTAAATGTGGAGATCGGACGGGGTCTTCCAGAATTTGACAGGAACGGATCAAGACTGCAAACTGAGCGATCCAGTGTGTTGGACGAGGGCGAAACCCACTAGGCCCAAGCTCAAGGATTACCTGATGAGATGATGATGTCCGCTTGAGAGCAAAGAGATAGATGATAATTGTACGTCGTGCCTTTCCTCTGCAGTTACATCGAGCAGTTAGACCTGAATTTAAGTATATGATTTTATTACTATGACAACTGCACTGAACTACCTGCTTGAAATCGAAATGTCCGTGTTGTCGGGACGGAACGTGGATTGCGGTTACATTGCCCCTAGAAGTTGGGTGGAAGACAGAAAGTTCGATCATGTACTTCGGCCACTCAGATTGCAGACTCTAGAAGGCAAGAAGAAGGATGACGAGCCCCGATCAGCCTGGTCGACTGTCCTCATCCAGCATTGGCCACGACGAGCACGCGGGAGAAGGGCGCGCGCCTGTCTTTCACGGATATCTGTGCGAGGGCGTCGGAGGAGGAGAGAATGTTTTCGACTGGTCGGCTCCGAAGCGAATATTTGAGAGCAGCGCGCTGGCACGGCCTGGGTACGACGAGACCATCGCCGCCCACGAATATGAAGACTCTGATGAAGTTTTGCGCGACAAAGCTTTTTTGCTGTTAGGCATGCTCACGCACGCTGCCACGCAAGGAAAAAATTGCGTGGCGTACACGGGTGCAGGCATTTCTACGTCGGCCGGCGTCGATGACTACGCGTCAGGAGAAGGCAGCTCGGCACTCGACACTTGTCCGAAGCAGCTACAAGGGTGGCCGTCGGCGTCTCAAGACGTCAACAAAATGAAGTCTTTCTACTTGGCGCAACCGACATTCTGCCATGAAGTGTTAGCCGCATGCTATCGAAAGGGTCTACTGCATTACTGGGTCCAACAAAATCACGACGGTTTGCCGCAGAAAGCTGGTATACATATGGATGCTACAATTACACCGTATCCGTGTAAAAACATCGTTAGAGGTTGTAACTGTATCATTAGTAGTCCCTGAATCTTCTCAATCTTATTGATGACGTTTTTCCTTATTTTAGTTCCAAGAATGAAGACAAATTGTTGTTTAATAACTAGGTGTGCCACAATGCGCTTTGAACGAGATTCATGGCTCTTGGTATGATTGCAGCAACCCCGTCGTGCCTATGTCTGGGCAGCTCCGATCGGATCTGTTTCGCGATTTCGAGGAGTGCCGAGAGAAGGCGGACATCGTTCTCGCCTTTGGCACTAGTTTAGCAGGTATGAACGCGGACAGCCTGTGCCAAGCCACGGCTTTACGATGCATCCAGCAAGATGCGGACGAAATAGCACAGCAAGCAGGGCGTCCTGATAGTGGAGAAACTTCGGCACAACGTGAGGATGGTGACACGACTGAAGCGTCCAAGGAGGCACTTCTGGACCATCGCATGCGGTTCGGCGGGTTGGTCATTTGCAGCTTGCAGAAAACGTCCTACGACAAGCTGGCAGCTTTACGCATCTTCGCGAAGCTCGACCGGCTGGGAGAAATGATAGTTGAGGTAGAAAGTCGGTTGAGGACGAGGAAGATGGCCTCATCTTTTACGCCACCGGTTGACGATTGCACCCAGAGTCTCGCGAGCATGCTAGAGAGTGGTTGCTTTTCGGAGACAATCCGTGCCGAGGTGGACGACGTGGACCCTGTGACGGGAAAGGAAATGGCCGTCGAGACCGAGCGCATCGTGTACCCGCCAAGGATTTTGTCGGAGCCTCACCTTGCGCAGCGCAACTTAGAGGAAGACGTTTTTCTCATCCCCTACGATGCGGAGACGGGGCGCCGTTTTTCGGAGTTGGACCACGTTCTTGGGACGATTGGCGGAGCGTTATTTGAAGAGCTGCAAGCGGAACAGCACCAGCCCTCTTCGTCTACGAAAATGACCGTGATGAGGCGCGGCTCTCAGCGAGCCCGCGACGTTCTCGCGCGCGCGGTCGCGGCGCTCGATCCCGCCAAGCTTACGAAGCTGGACTTGCGAGAGGACGCGTCGGTGCGGCTCTGCATCGGTCCGCATATCGGAGACGACGGGGAGGTCGTCGGCAAACAGAGAGAAGGGCACTACAAGATTCGATTCAAGCACGCGTTGAAACCTGGAGCAAAACTGAAGGCGCCCTTCGAAAGAATTCTGGGGACATGGTGGATTGAGGCCCTCATGAAGGGTGAGGTGGAAGTGGCTCCTATACTCAATGTTTCGTAGTATGTATGATTGCTAATTTTAGCACTCACTGAAGAGCTAATTGCTTCTATCAACCGGATACGTTCCCTCGTCGTATTCCTCTCATCCGAAGGATTTGGCTTTTAGAACTTCGTGATGATTAACAAATTATAGGCCGCTAGCGGATGAAACAAGACGAAAACATAACTTCCGTTGAAGTGTGATTCCAGCGTTCTACTCCTTGGTCATTTTTGTGTTTATTCTGCAGATCAATCTCTGAGAATGTGCAGTCCCGTCAACGCGTCCAGAGAGTGTTGCTACGGACCATATTTGTCCTAGGACCTTACTAGAGGACCAGGAAAAGATGATCATTTCTGAGGAAGCAGTACATGGTCAATTTGATGTGTGACAAATCTCAATATGTGATAAGGTGCGGTGCGGCATCACTAGACGACTTGGAATTGTAGTAGGTCGACGGGATAAACGCTCTGAGAGAAAGGACGAGAGCGTCGGACATCTGATATAGTTCGTTTCTGAGCAGCACCAGTTTTGGACCCCGTTGCCTATATTCACGAAGGCTTTTGTTGTCGTCGCGCTTTGGAACCAGCTAAGGATCTTGGTCCGTCGTCTTCGTGCTTGCTTGAGTTGCACTCCTCTTGTGTTTGACGGGCTTGTTAAGTGTGTGAGCAGCCGCGTTGGTTCCCGCTACTCCACACCTTCGACAATGCAGGCTGCCGCATCTGCGATCGGCAACGCGCCAAAAACAGATGCGAGGTCATCAAGTAGAACGTTGTCATCGACGCAACGCAGCACTTCGGGAGCAAGGATAGGTGAGCTTCCGGCGGAAGCATGTCAGCCTGTGCGTTCAGAATCATCGTCGAGAACATCCGCAGGATCGGCATTCTCCTGTGGTCTTTCAGATGAGGCGGCAGCAAGCCTGAAACTATTAGATATCTCGCACACCTCTTCATCATCATCAACGAACAAACACCAGAATAGAGGATGGAATTATAAGTCGTTGAAAAGCATGCTTGGAGCCGCTCTGCTGGGTGGCTGGAGTGCGCTTTTGCCTTTGGTTCACGCAGCAGTTGATGAATACGGCAATGTCGTGGATGGCGGTGAAATGAAGATCATGATGCCACCGACGCCAGAGGGTTTCAATGCATCCGAACCCGATCCTGAACCGCCAAATCAGGAACGCATTCTCAATTATGATCTTCACGATAGCTTCTAACTGTAGAAGAATCTTCATCACATCGTGTGTATTCAGTCCTTTACTTTTATCATCAACACGCACTTCTTTGATGTTCTAAGTTTCGCTGCTGATGTACGAATTGGGCCAGTACAACAGTTTCAAGATTCCGAGGTTCGTGAACTTCTATGAATACGAGGACTTCATGGACAAGGACTGCCCGCAAAAGCTCGTACATATGACGAAGGAGTTTCAAGAAATGAGCGAAACTGTTACGCAGTGGCATTACAATTTTACAGGTACTTGAGGTTGGTTTTCTCATACGTTGGTAATTGGGCTCGTTCATGGAATACATGAGAATGTTGTATCTGCGAGTGTACATAATTTTGAGGCAACAAGTTTCGTTTTTTGGTGGTTTGATCTCTCCTCTCTATTTACCGTCATTCAGGAACGGCCGGTCTCTTTTACCTTGTGCAGGATAAGAATGCGCCTGGTATCGATATCTCGTGGCTCTGGATGGCCCAGCATTTTCAACACAGAATCTGGGCGCTCATAAACCGCTTCATCGCTTGGATTCAGGTAACAATTCTTAGTTTGCTTTGGTAGTTTTTGAGATATTACATACTTCGTTGATTTCAAAAGCAAAGAGCAGCGTCTTGTAATCCAAAAATCGAGCTGCAGGTATTTTCCCTTTCGACGTCGTCGCACGATCCTGGCTGTCTCTATTTTGCGCCCGGCGTCCGCAAGATCGTGGTGGAGCTACTCACGCACATGAAAAGGCTGCAAACCGATAATTTGGCTCTGTTGTTATGGTCCGTGATAATTGCTTCATTCGTTCTCACAGAAAACAGTTTTTTAACGTCTCAGATTCCTGGAGAAAACTAGGAGTGTGTGACTACACACACTTTGCTTTTTAGGAGAATAATAGCGATTCTCCAGCATAGGAGCTCCTCTAACCTTCTGGAATGGAGCAGCCTTTGGCATGCTAGGTGATGTTACAAGGGACGACTTCGAAGAATGGGAGCTCACCGAAGAGGAAAAGGTAGAGTTTGGTGTCGCAAACAAAACAAGGGAGCAAATACTCGAGGACAGGAAAAAACCGAAATCAAGGTATAATCATCTTCTTGATTCTGGTGCGACCAACTCGTTTTCCAGTAATCGTTATCTTTTTGTTTTTGATTCTCCGAACGACTTGATCGTCTTTATCTTTCTGCCTCTCAGAACGCCTCTGCCTTTAGACACGGAGTCGGGCCTAGTCGTGTGGACGCATCGGCATTTTTAATGTCGATTCTTGTTACCTGATTATATGCAATAAGCAATTACGCTCACCCCCGAACCTAGGTTTTCGCAGAATCTCATCTTTGCTAATATGTTCACGGGTGGAGTAAGCCAATGGGCCAGTTTTTACGCATACAAACTGACTGAGGAAGTCCAGAAAATTTTGATGAAATGGGATCTAGTGAAGGAGGAGATTCAAATCGAAGCTCAAGGTACTCTTTGTCTTTATAAGGCCGCTTTGAGAACTACTTTTATGAGGATGTGAATCTATTCGGCAGTCTACCTAAGATTGCCCTGACGACTTAGAGAACTATTTTTATATCCGCTTGATAATTTTTGCTGGACAGGTCGCGTTGATCCTTTTCTGATGCGAAATTCTCAATTTTTATCATCTTCTAAGTACTATCGTTGAATATTTTTTTATCTTTTACTCGCTTTTGTCAGCTCACGATAAAGTGAAGAGCCATCACCAGAACGAGCACGGAATGTTCCTTCCGTACGAATTATGGCGGAGGGAAGTTTTCAAACAGTGGGCCGTCGATAAAGGTCTGCTGCGAGGCATTCTCAAGCACGTAGTTGATGATTTGTATGCCGGTCGAGCCATTGCCGACTTCGGCGCTGGCGGCGGTCACTACGCACGCTGGATCAATGACACAGGACTCCTAACAGCATATGCATACGATGGGATACAAGGTGCTTCTGCAATGTGATCATCCCGAACTCATTCTTGTGATGTCTCGCTTCTCCTTTTAAGTATCACCAAATATCACGAACGTCGTGAGTCAGCGTGTTGCATTTACTCACAGAAATGGATCGAGTTCCCTCGTCTGTCAATTCACTCACACATTGTTCATTGATCAGTACTCCTTTGTACTAGTTTACAAGCTTCAAACACTGATATCCTGTTCCTCATTTTTAGTCAGCTGTTCCTGATTCAGGTGTCACCGACGTAACCAAGGGTGCCGTCCAGTACTGGAACTTAGTTGAGGAGCAGGACGGCCATTGGCGCGAGTACGACTACGGAATGTGCCTGGAAGTCCTTGAGCACATCCCGAAGGAGTTCAGCGCTAGTGTGCTCACAACAATCTCGAAATACGTCAGTTATGAATCATGGGAAATTATTAGATGTTGCACATTCAAAGTGACTGAGTCACATATTGTACAAAAGTGACTTTTGGATGTTCTACAATGGGGGAGTCTTGTAGATCATGTATAATGTGGAAGACTTTCAGATGTTGCACAAGAAAGGTGACTAGCTGAGGAGTATGTGAAGATGTTGGATGTCTTTGTTCTATCCCCTCTCCAACAACAAGGATGCTTACGTTCTCATAACTTGATGTGGATATTTATAATTGGCTGTAGTCGTCATTGTCGAGACCAACTGAACTTCTCTTAGACTTCGTCCACTAGCACCTCCATTGTTTCGCTAATCTTGGAATCGCCTGATCATGTCGTGGTCTTCGGACCGGGAAGGGATCGGCCACGTCAACTGCAAGACTGAGGACCAGTGGAACCCGATAGTGGAGACGTTTGGGTGGAAAGTGAACAAAGAATTGACGCAAACACTACGCGAGATGGCCTCTGTGGAATACATTTCACACTCTGTCACCGTCTTCGATAAGGTAGTGGCGTAAGAAAATACGAGGAAGAGAAGGATGGGGAAAAATGGATGCAGCGCTTATTTAAGGCGAGATCAGAATAGCAGTATGAGAGTACCGAAGCTAGCGCATCGTGGTTTATTGGAGGAGTCAGGGATGACTGTGCACAATGAACAGGTGGGGAGGTGTCCTGACCGTCGAATCTCCGGCACCTCGCCGCCATGATATGACAGGGACAGGTGGCGACTCTAATGCCTGATACTTCTTACAACATCTAATGACTTGAATCTTCGGGTATTACAATTTGTGTTGTTGAGGCGGAGCTTCACGTTAATGCGAAGCAATGACTTCGCCCTATTAGTTTTAGATCTCATGTGATTGTAGTTCTAGGTATATCTATGTAAATGCGTCAGAGATGAACACCAGATATGAACATAGAGGTATATCATCATCAGCATAGAGGAATATTAGGCATTGCCGGATTCTAGCCTGCCTCAGCAGGACGGTGTATAGTCCTATCAAGCATGAAAAGGAGGAGTTGTGTAAAATATTTGACACTTACTGTAGGATGTAGCATCAAAATGACTACTGTTCTTGTGTTATTTGGAATGACGTCGCCATCTTGGATACTTATGTTGTGTCAAATATGTGTCTTTTGAGAATACAGCTGATGAATTCCAAAACTTCCGACAAGTCTAGAGGAGGCTCGCCAGTCACACAGAGAGACGCTGGAAGTATTGTTCAGCAGTGTGTTGGCAGTTAGCGAGGAGCCAGCAACGGACAAGTGTGTGGAGAACTCGTCTGATCGGGAGCTTAGACAACAAGTGACATGTAGGGTGAAGGATGAGGTTTGACATTGTAGGAGTAACATCCAACAAGTAATCTACTTCGAGACGATTGAACTACGCCACCTGGACCAAGAACTATATCGAAAAATATGTCAACAATGTGGAAAAGGTTCATCTCGTCCTCCAGAGGGTGCGCCTCTTGTGCCGATTGCGATGGCCACGAATCCGGGATTACAAAATCGATAATGCAAAACTCGGTTGAATGACTCCACGTCAAAAGTCATGAATCGGGTTATCGGTACCCCCGGACCACGTCCTGGAGGCGGCGGCGAGCGCGCTAACCAACCTCGGCAATCCGCGAGGAGACGCTGCTCCGAGGTCTTCTTGCGCCTCCGAGCTTTCCCTGCGATGAACTTGAAGACTGCTGCTGGGATCTTGATTTTAGTCATCTGGCTCCCGTGGGTGAGCCATTTTTTCGTGCCACACCTAAGCACGAAGCTGAACAAGTGGCTCCACAATGTCGGACACTGGCGTGAATCCCACGAAGCAGCTTCTGGCATCAAAGCAAACGGAAAAAGTGCAGGGCGAGAAGCGCTATCCCGTGATCTCACAACCACGAAAAGCAATTCGTACCCGGGGAACGCGAAGACAAAAACAGATGCTCCGCAAGAACTACATGGTCTGGCTGTAGATGCCAAAGTTAAGGCCTCACGTCAAAGTCGAAGTAGAAGCTCACCTACTTATTTCCATACAGATCAACGTGATCATCTTTAACTTTTTGCTCATCTTTCAAGTCTGAACCTGTTCAAGTAGGATGGAACGAGACGCGAGGTGGTGGAGCTGACTCTAATAGAGGAGACGTCTCCACTGAAGTAACGATCACGGCCGATGGTCAAATAGCGGCTTCGTCGGCCACTGGTCCGCCGGCTTCGGTCAGTCCTGAAGTTGTTGGATCTAGGAATTATCGACCTGGCAGCGATTCTTCAAACGAGCACATCAAAGGGAATAACGGCCATCCCCAAGAACAGACAACAGGAGCGTCCTTGTCTCCCGAAGATGAAGAATTGAACTTGTCCAGCGCAAAAGGCGCTTTCCTATATGAAATAGACGCGCCTTCTACCATCATTTCGAATGGGATGAAAAACGACAAGCAACTGCGAGACCCAAAAAGCAAAAAGCACTCAACTTCCGCAAGAGCCAAGAGGGACAAATTTTTAATCCCCGACTCATGGATGGACGTAGGTACAAGTACTAGCACTTCTGTCGATGAGGGTCTTGAAGATAGTGAGCAGGTGCAGGTGGTGCCCGGACTTGTAAAGCTGCACGACCCAAAGGGCCACGCGAAAGGCATGAAAGGTGCTAGCAGGAACGCAGCGCTACAGAACAGCACAACACATCATGAGCACAGAACTACGGAACGGGACAGCACAGCACAACGTGAGCACAGCGCAGTACAGCGCAGTACAGCACAGTACAGCACAGTACAGCACAGTGCAGCACAGGACAGCACAGCACAGCACAGCACAGCACAGCACAGCACAGCACAGCACAGCACAGCACAGCACAGCACAGCACAGCACAGCACAGTACAGTACAGTACAGTACAGCACAGTACAGCACAGTACAGCACAGTACAGCACAGTACAGCACAGTACAGCACAGTACAGCATAGTACAGCGCAGTACAGCGCAGTACAGCACAGTACAGCACAGTACAGCACAGTACAGCACAGTACAGCACAGTACAGCACAGTACAGCACAGTACAGCACAGTACCACATCAGTCGACTCCGGTACAGGACGTATCCTTGAAGCAGGACGAGCAGGCCGGAACTCGAGTGTTCGCACAGCAAGCAACGGGGACGAGGACGGGGAAGACCCTGACTCTGATAACGAAGTCGACGAGAACAAGCCTGCCGCCTCTTCATTCATCGACGCGACGAATGCTAGGAGGACAAGCGAAGCCGTGGGTCCGGTCACTTGTGGCTGCAGTTGGGTACGTACGCGCTCCGCCCGAGGATCTTCGAGGGGGGGGTTTTGCCTTGTTTGTTGGGTTCCGCCGTGTCGCTCCGAGATCCCGTCTAGCTAGAGGCGAGAACCGGGGGCAACATTGCCGTGAAGGGGGGGCAGGTTCAGAGATATCCTGAAGAGGCGGCCGGGCTTTGGCTTGGGATTCTCGCTTCTGGCTGCCCGGGGACATGAATCTGGAAGCGGGTTCCCCTCCTCTCTGAATGGTGGGCAAGATCGCGATATCCATCGGCCGCTCCGACGCTTTTCCCGAGGTCCGGGCTGGGGCCTGGCTCCTCGTCGTCGTCAGCGCTGAGTGTGCTCGTGAGAGCCTGCAGCAACTCCGGCGAGACCGTCGAGCCCCGCATTTCGCTGAGGCTCTCAGATAGCGGGCGGCGATGGTCCCAGCGCCCGGCTGAAGCAAGGATCGGAAGCCGCGCCCGAGAGGTCGCGGGTGCGGCGCCAGAGTCACACGTGTGCCAGTCGAAATCTCACGAATCTGGGGCCAAAATTCTTGCCCCCGCTCAGCCAGGGCCGAGAATTCCATGAGCCACGGCTCGCATTCAAACGTGGGGCGAGCCGCTTCGGGGGTCGGCCTGGTCTCGTCGGGCCAGGCCCGTTTTCCCGGCCCAAGAGACGGCGACGCTCGTGGGGGCAGCCGGGGTCGCCGGCGTCTCTTCGCTGAGTGGATGGTCGCTGCGCGCGGGCGCGCGGCCCCGATCGCGGGCACCCCCTTCCCCTTGTCGCCATCAGAGTGCCGGGCCCACCTTTCCTCACCGGTGTCTATTTGGTTGGGCGTGCGCTGTTTTTGACAGGTCCATGTGGGATTACACCCGCTTCGTTGGGTCTGGCCGTGTCGTCTTGTTGATGTTCGTTGCAAGTGATCGGCCCCGCAGCTTCGAGCGGTTCCTCCTTCATCCTTCCTAAAGCAATAGATGGGTTTAAACAGTGCTTGGCGTTGAAAGGGAGACGAGCTTCAGCACAACAGTTTTCACGTGGAGGTGATGCAATTACTTTTGCCTCTCCTTGCGACTTGGTTAAAGCCGAGAATATATGCGCGATGTTGCATTTCTCCAAGTATCAGCCAGAAGAGTACCGTCGGTTTGACGATGCGCGTCAGCATAGGGAGAAAGACAACATTTTCTCCTACAAGGCTTTCGTGGAGGCCCCTGGAGCTCCTCGTACAGCGTACAATATTGACTTTGACGCAGGGATGGCCCGCCTTTTTGATGCTGCGCGTACAGACCTCACAAGTTCGCGCATTTCTGTCGAGAGGGCACTCCGCTCGGGCCTCGGCGGTTCTTGTGGCGTCGCCTCTTCGGGTTCTCTAGCAGCGGGCACTCGGGTGGCTTCGGCCAGTGTTGTCCAGGGGCCTTTCGGTAATTGCTACGCCTACGCAGCTTTGCAGAGTTTTGCTTCCTTGGGCTGGTTAGAGGAGATCGAGCCTGCGACAGACGGACTCGGCAGACTCTACAGAGTTCGCCTTTTTGTTTATGGTGTGTGGAGGGATGTTATCGTTGATGACCGGATTCCGTACCCCTTTTTCGAAGAGGTGTGCGGCTGTTTGTATGACGGGCCCTCCTACAGCTCGGTTACGGTGATGCTACTGATCAAAGCCTTAGCGAAGTTGATTGGCGACTATTCGATGCTGCCAGGTGGAATTATGCCAAGCACCGCGTCCCTCTACGTCGGTTGGACAGAGCCGAGCGCCGTCTTCGTCTCCGTTTGGCGGTGGGACTCAATGCCATTGTTACGGCCAGGAGAACATCAAAACTAGATAATTCATAAGGTAGCCCAATGGCTACGGATTTGGATGATGTGCTTCATCATCCTCAGCGGTGTCGCCCTTGTCCTGTTACTAGTGCTAATCTGCACAAGCACAGGATAAATCTGAGAAGGCGAAGCATTTGGTTTTTGTTGTATTTAAGTATGAAGGTCCCTGAGGCTTAGTGCCTTTCATCTGCCTAAGCTAACTAGATCCCGATCCACTATCTTACTTCTCAGCTTGTTGCTTTCCTGCACACGCTTAAGGCCTTAGGACTTTGATCCTGTTGCTGTCGATGATGATGCTGGTGATCTTGATGTTGTTGGTCTTCGCGCTGCTGTCGTTATGATTATCTTGCTCTGGTTGTTTCCTTGATCATGATGTTCGTAAATCTTTAAGTTGTTGACTTCTGTACTGGTGGGGTAATCTTTATGCTCATGCTTGAGGTGATTCATAATGTGGGGATCAACATCCATGGCAGCACTTTATCAGCGGGAATGGCCCGAGCGTGCGCTTCGTTAAATATTCTGCCGCGCCTGCGTCGCAAACGGATCAGGCGATAGCACCAAAAGAAAAGCCCACTCATGCTTTCTTGGATCTTCCGAAAAGCCGCCCGGAGTGGCAGCTTTGGGACCCCCGCCAGTGCCGCCTATGGGTCTCACCAGAGGAGCAGGTGTTATGGCTTGCACTCAAGCATCTGCGGCAACGTTGGCAAAGGACGTATGGGAAGACGCTTCTGTGGCAACCAATTGATGAGAAAAAAGCTGGCGATTTTTTTGCAGGTGTCGAGGACGACCCCTCCTGTGATTTTTTCGATCCAGCGACGCGGTTGGCGATTGGAGTTGCGCTACCCGAGGCTGGCAACGGGCCAGAGCTCGTCGCAGTACGTGTGGTATTGGGCGACTGCAATAGGCGTCTTACGACCCCCGTGCCGCTGGGCCTGCTGCTTTTGCTACTGTTGGAGCGGCGTTTCGATCCGAGGTCGATAACATATGGGGTAAAAATGGACGCAACCGAACTCCTGAGGAGGGCTCACTCGAATTCCCCCTACGACGGGCGAGGCGCCTTTCGTCTCAGTCTCCTCGAAGGGTCGAAGATTACCGCGAAGCACCAAAGCACCTCGGGAGAACCACGCAAGTGCGCTTTTTTTCGTATGCGCTCCCGGTTAGAGCGATTGGACAAGAAGAGCGGACTCGAACAGCGAGGGTCGTACTCGAGTTGGGACAAGGTCAGGCAGGAATCCCAGTTCAAAGCCAGTCGCGCAGTCTCTTTCACCATCATCTCTCGTCTTCGATCTAGCCCTATCCTCGCCGGGATGCTCTCCTTCCATGCCTATAGTCTCTTGGCATTCGAGGTTTTCGCAGTGCCGTTAATAGCGTCTTTGCAGCACCAGAGAGCGCATGAAAGGCCGAGGCGCAAGTTTTTATTGATCTATTCCGCGAAGATGCGAAATCCGCACCACAGCGTGTTGGAAGGACGCTGGAACGCCTTCGCCTGGCCCGAGGGAGTCACGGAATCGCCTCCAAAACGTGAGCCGCGTATGTCTGACGTTCTCCTGGACGGAAGCCTCAACGTTAGGGTGAGTTTTCCATGCTTAACCTGGTTCGCTTCCGAGGCGGGTGGAGCTGCGTCGAACTATCAGTGTTCAACTGGTGACGTCATTTTGCACTCATTGAACTCGCCTTATTCGGATATGCTGGCCGAGTCGGAGAGGGAACGCGCGCCGCGGTTTTATGACGAGGAGTCGATGGCCTTGCGTGACGTATTAGTTGACGCTAACAGCGAACTAGGCCTTTACCATGTGCGCATGGACTGCGATGCGCGTTTATCCGAGATGCCACAAGCCCCGCAGGAGGTAACAGTCTCTGACGGCAAATCAATTTGCGTTGAGATGCAAGGTGCTTTTGGCCCCCGCTCGGTGCCTGGTGCTGCGAAAGGAAGTGACTTTCTGGAGTGCAATGAAGGAGATATTTTACTCGTCGTCCGGGAGGCGGGACGTTGGTCGATGGCAGAGCACTTGCAGGGACCCCTAAAATACGCTCAGGGATGGATTCCGCGTAACTTCTACAACGAACTTCCTGATTAAGGACACTACTAGTAGTTGTAGGGTACTAATCTTACTGGTCGAGAAGTATTTCTGTGATAGGTAATATTATCTAGTGGTTGTTCAGGATCATTTCCCTCGTTTTTTTAGCGCATGTCTCACCTGCTCAACGTAATAGTTATTTGATTTCTTACTGGCTGTTCGATGTTAAGGAGATCTGTGCGCGAGTTGTTACTGTGCTATGTGAAGATGATATCAAGGACAACATTGTCGGAGCACTTTCATGATGATAGCGAGTGTATGGAGCGACGCAAGGGTCCGGGAGCTTTTTTTGATCTCCAAATTGTCGAGTTGGCCAAAAATGAGGAGGAACACTGCCTCGAGCGCTATGACAAAGCGGCGAATCGAAAAGACCAAGAGAGCAAATACTTCTGGATTCCCTGGCGAGCATTCTTAGAAATAGGAGGAAAAAACAGAAACAAGGCCGAAGCGAAAGTCACGGAGCTTCGACTTCCGTCGTTTGAGGAGGTCAAAAAACAAGAGGCACTCAAGCCGATTCCAGTGTCAGCCAGCGAAGTTGCCAGCGGAGTTTTCAGCACAGTTGCCAGCAAAGGTTCCAGCTAAGATGCTGGATGATGCCAGCGGGGACAGCGAGGAGAGCGTCATATTTTTCAAAGAAGAATGATCTGACTTAATCCCGACTTTGTGCAGTAAATGAAGGGGCGTTTAGATCTGGCGCGAATAATTATCAGAAAGCATTGATGAATTGAGAAAAAGAACAGGAATAATGGGTTCCCCAGTGCAGTCCTTTCTCGATTTCAATGAATAGTGCGATTATCATTTCAAGGAGCCCAGATGGGTCTGCGGAGGCAGGCAGACGCTGGAAGTAATGTTCAGCAGTGCGTTTGCAGTTAGCGTGGAGCCAGCAACGGAAAAGTGTATAGCCAACTCGTCTGATCGAGAATTTGAGCTGTAATAAGTAATACGATGGAGAAGTGACGTGTACTAGCAGAAGAATTCATTTGGCTGCTAATAACTTGTTCATTATATAGAAGTACCTGCGTAGCAAGGTGTACAACTGGAGGTGTCGCGAGTTGCAGCAGGTGGTTAACTGATTTTGTGGCCATGTAGTGGATCTACCGCTGTTGTAAACCATGTCGTCTTTGAGAAGGAGACGCTTCAGCTGCGGGGTACATCGCGAGCACCGTCGTCACTTCGAAACTACGAATCGCGCACATTGATTCGAAAGGATGAAGCAAATGTCGTGGCTTGTGGCGAAGGCTGCAGCGCTCTGCTTCGTGGAAGCGGGGCACGTTTTGGTCCTGGGCGAAGGGGGTGATTCCTTCTCCTTCTCACGCTACACTGCGGATCCGATGGGCTACAGGGCTATCGCCACCGCCGCAGCGGAAAAAGAGCGCACTGAGCCGCAATTGCCCCTCCTCAGTTGTTCATATGACGCCGAGATGAGCGATTTTCGAAACCTGATCAACGAAGAGAATTTCAAGGATGCGTACGCGCGCTTCGACGAGAAGCTGTATTCAATGGCAGACTACCTCGTCGGCAAACGGTTCCCCGCTTTCATGCAGTTCAAGCAGAGCAAGAGTAACGAGTTTTTCTTCGACTGCTCGAGACCGGAAATTCGCGGCGAGGTGTGCTACTACGGCATGGTCGCCGCCTTCCTCACGCAATTCCGTTACCTCGGAATCAAAAACTTCGTCACTACCGTTTTCGGAATCAAGGAAAGTCCGGAAGCCAAAATTCACGCGGAGGTGCGCTCGTTTCTGCAGTTGCTGGTCATGAACAAGAACAATTGTCTAGACTTTTTGGACAGTAGTGGCTGGAAACTGAACCTTCTCGCGCTGGCAGAAGAGGTGCGTCATCCCGACTGGGTGCCGATCGAGCGAGAACAGCCGAACTTAACCGCAAAAACGCTAGCGGGTGAATTTTTCTTTCACAGAGACTTTCACAGCGCGCGTGATGCGTCCTTTCAGATGCGAGAGACGCGCAGTCTAAAATTGCAAGAAATTGTGCTGTATGCGACAGGGACACACTCCAGTCTGGCGCAAGAGCCGATGACCATGCTTTCCGACTATGTCGACTTACCGGGATTTCAGATACGCCCATTCTATGAGGTAATAGACTCCACACATTGCCAGTTCTTTTCCGATTATCAAGACTGCGCACAGGCTGGTAGAAGTGCTAGGAAAGGGGGCACACACAGCACGAGGGGTCGTACCAGCAGGAGTCCTAATGGCCCCCGTCGTGGTAGTTCATCTTCGGGTGATTTCGATTTTGTCGGTTTCCAAGAGGTATCGGAGAAGTACTTCGCGTCCACTTGGGGAAATCTGCTGATCCACGACTATCCACAATTCGAAGCGGAAATGAGAACGCGATTTCAGGAGCACGCATTGTCAGAGGAAGCGGATGTGATTTTATGCTCGTCACCCGCTGTAATGTGTAGTGTTTTTGATACCTTCCGGCACATAGCGTTGCTGGCCTACATCGGAGAGCCGCTTTTGTTAGCGGTTCACTCCGACATTCACGATTGGTGGTTCTCAAAATTCCGTTCAATGGTCCGCGAGCGTCCCCGCACCGTCGTCGCGGTATACAACCCCTACCTGAAGCACATGATACGGTATCAAACTGGCGCCGATTTACCAGTGATACGCGTGACCGGGAAGTACACGCAGATGAGTTACAGTTATCGATGGACGCCAGAAGTAGATGCAACAGGTCGTACCGCTAGAACTGGAACTGAGCTGAGCAGGAACGGGAAGCCACACGACATCGAGCGTTGTGAACGTGAAGAGAACCACAATCAAGCTCACACCAAGGAGGAAGAGGACCTGAAGCCACAAGTTGTGTATGATCTTTTGGTTGCGAAAGGACCGAACATCTGCGTAGACACCATCTGCATTCTGCGTAGAATGAACGACGAGATGAGAAAAATTAGAGTGCTTCAAATTCGCGACAGATTGGACTGTAGCTCTCCCACAACGACCACCTCCGAAGGAGTAGACCCTACAGGGAACCCTACTTCTTCCTCTGTCGAAGTTTCTCGTAGAGGTGGCCCTTCAACTGAAGAAGGTGTCTCCATCCTTCAGAGGTATCAGAGCGAATTACTGACTTTGCTGTGTGACGTCGATGCAGACGAAAAACAGAGCGGCACTGGAGGACGTGGGCACCAGGAGGTGATTAATCTGGCGATTAATGTAGTGTCTAGGGTTGAACTGCTCGTGGATCAGGTGCGATCGGTTATTGCAAATTACGAGACGGCGGGGAATGGTAGTCGTCTGCACGACAGAAAAGGGGGTGATGTGTTACGGGATAACCCGGTCGCTTTTGAAACAACGGGCGATCGACCTACAATTAATGAGCACGCTTCAGAAATGGGGCTGCAACAAGCTTCGCCGGGCGCTGACGAACGTGGTGTAGAGAGTGCATTAGGGGGCGCCTGGAACGAGGGAGTACGCAAGCTTCTTCATGCGATTGGCAGTCAGCCGGAAAGTTCCGCAACAGCTAGTAGCTTTAGAGGCTTCCCTCGAAAGTATAGGTTTTTTGGCCTGGACGAGTTCGGGCCTCAGCATGGGTCTAAATCCCTGTCGCATCAGGACATGGCGTCACGCTTCCTCGCGGTTGTGATGTATCCCTACGACGTCTCTCTGATGCTATTCTACGAGTTGTACAATGCAGGGGTGCCGCTAGTCGTGCCGGCTCGAGAATATATACACTTTTTTGTGTTTCGGGGATTGCATTCCTACAAGTCGCATCATCATTTGCGAGATGTAGCGGCCGGCCTCTCGGAGAAGGAGCGTATCGAGCTGTCCACCAATGACTACCCTGTGTCCCCGTTTCTAGGGTCCCTGGAAGCACGTGCCTGGTACCGAGGAGCCGAGTGGTGGGCCAAGTTCACGGACTTCTATCAGTTTCCCCACCTTCTAAGGTTTTCCACCGTTGCGCAGCTTTTCGAGGAACTCAATTCCCTCATTGCAGTGAAAGAGCCTGAAGGGGAGTTGTATGCGTACCAGGTGTCTCGTCGGATGCGCAAATTCGGGGACCAAACTTTCGCCCGTTCACTCCGACAATGGGGTGACATTTTTCGTGGAAATTTCGGTTTCAAAGGTGCTCCAGAATCAAGACCATAATGATCGGGAATGAAAGACCTGAATGATGATCTGGGATGGGCGGATGCGTTGTCATGACAGAAGCCTGAGAAGCGTATGGCTTGCGGACACTGCGGAAATTGTTGATTCTCTGATTCTAACGGATCGTCATCAAACTCGAAATTATCGCAGGTTTGCGCTGGACGCAATTCTCACAGACCAAATCATCGGTGTCACGCAGCAGAGAGTAATGCATATTAATCACAATGGACCTCCTGTATGTTTATGTTGTTGATCGATCGCCGCTGGCTGGTGTTCGAGAAGTTGGCGATGTGAATGCAATTAACGACCACATCCTCGAAAATATATCTTTAGTTGAATCAATCTGTAGAGAGTGACCGTGGCTTTGTCAATCTGTGAGCTGAATCAATGTTGTGTATGTCGTCGCTAGAGTCTCTCGACTCGAAAGAGCAGTGAAAAAATCTGTTAAGAGCAGTGAGAAAAGCCAACTCTGTCAAGAGCGGTGCCTAGAGACATCTGTATTGTTGAGCGGTGTTGTCTATCTCATAGAGGTGATTATAAAGAGTGACGTGGAGGGTTCTTTCTGTTATCTTTCGGACCTGTGGTCCCTTCACCCTTCAACTGGGTGAGGGTGGCGATCCTAACTCGTTACAATTGTAGTGCTCACAACGACCCCGTTCACGTAGCCTAAAAACCTTTGCGGTTTTCATTTGCACCAGGCTTGTATTTTTACAAGGTCGTTCTTCTTTCCCTCACCATCCTGCTTTTTTCCTAAAGGAATCTGTATCCCAAAGAAGATTTCTTTGATCTGCTTCCTGTGTTGGATAGTTCATATTCAATATATTATTTGCTTAGTACTGGTGCAGGAACTGCGATTCCGCAACCGAGTCCATCCACTAGGTACTACTGAGTACTTTTCAATATATTGATCTTTCTATACTTAGTTGTATTTATATTTCATCTAGTAGCGCGTTGTGAAGAAAAAAAATGTCGCAGAATCCTAGTAAGAACAACGAGCTGGATCAGGACGAGATCTCCACCGTCGCGGACTCACGAGTTGGCGGTGCGCGGGCTCAGTCAAACTTGGGTATGTACGTTGCCGAGAGTATCCGGGATGGCGCGAACCAGTTCGCCAATGGAGTCGAAGCCGGCTATGGTAAGATAGGCGTACGTTGAGAACTGTGAACATTTTTACACCTACATCTGTAGAAGAAAGTTCGAGCAGAGTGCAAGCTGTTAGTCAATGCCATTGGTCCGACTTGTTGTATCATCCGCTTCTAACACAGATCATTCTTTTATTTGTTCGATCCAACACTCGTAGGGACCTTACCACAAAAATGTCGACCAAGCAGAAAACCGCCTCTCTGTCCTGTGATCAGGATTTTTTTCATCTCAAGTGGAATACGTTTTTTTGACTGTCTAAGGTTTACAAGCTTACTTCGGAGTCATCTCTCTTGATCATGCAGATAGATTGTTTTTATCGCAAACGTGAATACATAATCAGGCTCACTCGCGGGCGACCAGAGGCGAGGAGGGACTAGTCACTCTGAGGCAGAGCAGTCAGATGGGAGTAGGACAGGAGGATTCACCAGCGATTTTTACAATCCGCATCCCCGAGCTGATATGTCGGACAGCAGCTCCGATAATATCGAAAATGGGAAATACCAACCGCAACAAAACAGCTCATTCCGTGACTGCGGTCGCGTTTTCGTCTTCATCTGCTTGATCGTATTATCTTCAATATGAATATTCTGTTTTTATTGTCGCATTCTTTTCGTCCACTTGGTAGGTAGATAAGCCACCATCAGTTCATACTCTCCGCTTTCATTGTTCCTTCAGTCATTTTTATCATTACCGGTTATTTTCCTTTGATTATAATCCCTTCTAGCAAATTATCATTATGGTCGGAGCGACACGGTAGATTATACTGAAGAAAAATGAAGCAAATTGCAACTACTCGCCGAATGAATCCATTCTTCTCCTACCCTATCCTATCCTAAAATCTGTACTTGATCAGCTCGTGATGCTTGCGCCATGTATCTGCATGGGTACCGGAATCTTTTGCCTCGTCTGCCGAAACGAAAACTCCAAGAACATCGGGTATTCGGTTCTATACTCCTTGAAACGATGGATTCTAGACTGGTGTCTGTTTAGTAAAGCTACGGATCCTATGTCTGCTGTCTGAAGCGATGATGTTTTTTCTTCATCCAGTTTCTCATCCAGCCATTTCGTACAAAGTAGTGAAGAATTGTCCTCTAACTCGTGCAAAGAAACACGACTCGATTTCCCATTCCTACTACGAAGGTACCGATGCGACAAGGGACGACCCACGATGACGGTGTTTGGCTACGTTCTGATCTCCTTGGGCGTCGTTCTTATCTCTGCCTACTGCTTCGTTTGCTGCTGCCGAAGAACACAGGATCAGTACCTTATCGAGCAAGACGAGGACGAATACGAGCAGGACCAGGTTCCCGCCGTCAAGTAAAAAGTACTTAAAAACGACTGATGAAATTGGAGGAAAGACATGGTGAATTACGTGATTTTCTTTGTACGAAAATCTATCAGTCGCGAAGCGGGAAAATGGCGTTCTTTAGACGTCAATACATCAAAAGTCTGGGCATGAAATTTTGAAATGACGTCTCGTCTGCCGATGGTCGAGAAAATCAGGATCAGCAGTAAGACAAGCGGAGTAGGAAAATTTTCGGTCTACAGGAGGAGCCAAGAATGCAGACCGTGCCAACGGTAGAGGAGGGGTGCGGGCTGAAGTTAATAGGTAGACAAAGAGCAACGTGGTGGAGAGCGATGCTTTGTCTACACATCTTCAGATATACACTTTCTCCCTGCAGTAGATAAGATAGATTTTTCCAAGTATTTACGTGTTTCCTGGTTCGTCAAAAGTAGGGAGGCGTTTTCTAGAATTAACGAGAAATTCAAGGATCAGATAATGCGGGATTTTAAATTTCTTAACAAAGAGGTGAATTTTTACAACAAGGTAGTAAAGCTACTTGTGGACGAGGTGGTGGTGGATCTACAAAGTAGAGGGCGATAGCGGTGATCTACCAAGTAGTTTCACGGGGAGAAGGCTTTCGAGATGGAGGTTGCCACAGGTCTCGAAAATACAACTAAGTAGACGCAAAAGCCATACACATAAAGGTAATGACAGCATGACTTGATCGCGACGAAGCCATGACATATTGATGCAAACTATCGTTCGACATTCTGCTACAACTGCATACTTCACAATAGATACCACTAGTCGTTTCTGCAGGGTCAGTATTAAGAACAATATAGGAAATTAACAATACGTGTTTAGACATTCATTCATTCATTTACTCATTTTACAGTTACTTACATCATATTAATCACAAGGTTTTGCTCCTAGCTACATAGGTAAAGCATAAAGAGGTTAATCACAAGGTATTACAACAATTTCTGCGTACCTAGTACATAGGTAGGATAGAGTTGTTACGTATTTGAAATTAGCTTACAGACATAGACGAGGTCAAGCGGCATTTTCTCGGGCACCGTGTTGCGCATCATGAACTGACATTCAACATAGGTAGTACATACAACATACTGATTAGCATGTTGAACAAGGTAGTCCTACTCGTGGAAAACAGCACTCAGCGGCGTGATATTTGTATCAACGTCCTTCGAATTCTCTTGCATATATGCTCTGACATGAGCATGACCATCAAGCCACGTGAAGACATCAAGACTGACTTCTTAGTCTCGCCACTCCGCTGAGGCTGAATAACACTACTTTTAATATGCATGACGGTGGAGCAGTCGCGAGTCAGCGCTCTTCGTACAAGTAATTTGGTCGAGTAGATGCACTTCTTAGAGAAATAGAATCGGAAAAAAATGTACTGTTTTGCAAACCCCAACACCATGTTAGCCAACTATCTTGATGTAGAAGTGATGTGGCGAAAGCATAAAGATTATGATACGAGAAAAACAAATTTTCTTTCTTGATGGATGGATTCTGAAGATGTCATCCTAACATCTAGAGCTTCCTTGCCGTCGACTTCTCTGTTATTTTTTCATGATCTACAACTGTTTGTTCTTAGTTATCAAGAAATGTGCTATCTACAAAAGATAGAGGTTTAAGGTGATGGTCGGGATTTGTACATAATATGAATGAGCTATTGGGACAAAAGTGAATCCATAATGGGTCTGTGTAGTTGCAGCACTCACTTGCGCGCAGTCGGCCGATCTACGACCTCTGAGGCTCACGCGACGACGACAAAAATACTCTGGTATCTATTTGATGGTTTGGTGGAGAATCCATGAGTCGCGCAAAATTCATACTCCTGAAACGAAAATATATCGTGAGCATCAGGCAGCGTGCGTGTGTGGTCGATTATGAACAATCCGCACTTCTAGAATCCTGGTATGAAAAGAATGGACGAGACCACACTATCCCTGGCATTTTTTTCCTGCTGAGTAAAAGATGAACACTCAGTGGAAAAGCTTTAGTGATGACGATGCTGCATATGAATAGTGGTGATCTCGAGAGAGAATAAGATCGAAACTACGAGCACGCCAAAGGGTCTTGAATCGCAGGTTCTTGATCATAGGCGAGTCTGAAAGACGCCGTGTAATACGTGTTCCCCAAGGCCGGAAACTACACGCTGATCTCAGGATTTTTATGATTTGAACGAGAATCTTGATGGAGAAGCAGGAAGCTCTTGAGAAAAGGTTCCTTGAAATTATGATACAGACAGGAAAGAGAAACGAGCAGGAAAGTAGAGTTTCATTTCCCTTACGACCACCGGCTTGAGGAAGATTTGTTCGTGACAATTGGATCTGAAACGGATGAATACAGATCTTCCAAGATTCTCTCGGCTTCGTCTTGATAACATCGAAATAGTGCTTACTCACTGTGTTAGGATCAAGAACACCTTCTCCAAGACAGCCCGGGAGTGTCTTTTCTTTCACACCCCGCTACTGGGTACACATATTGATGTACACACCGAACATGCAATTTTGTTCAGCTTCCCTTACCTTCACTTTCTCACCCAGGTTTGCGCGAGACGGTGCGCCGCCAACCCGCTTTTTATTCCCGTCATTCACAAGTTCCCCTCTTTTCGACTGCCGCATGATGTGCATGCTAGATTCTTCTCGTTGTGCCTCCGAGTTTTTTGTCGTTCATTGTCTTTCTCTTTCTCCTTGATTGTTCACTGACTTTCTTCGCTGCAAAAAAATCATAACAAAAACGAGATGGCTTCGGGCGGGCGCTGGGGCGGCTACTACAATGAAAAGGGGAAGTTCATTTACGGTCAGGTGCCGGCGCACGTCGTGCAAAAAGAACAGTACCAGCTCGCCAAGCATGCAGCAGCGGCAGCACAAAGGAATGATCCTTTTATGAATTTCGAACAAGATGATGAGGCAGCGGCGGCTGACGCCTTGCCCTCAGACGACCGGGGTGGTGGACCCACAGAGGCGTGTCTCCTGGACCCTGGCTTAGCCTCGGCATCGAGCGGAGCACTAGCTTCAGGTAGTAGTGCCGCGAACGGCGGGAGTTCCAGTTCTTCGTCTTCCACATCAGGTACCTCATGAATACTATATAAATTATAAGTTGTTGGACATCGACATGAAGAAAGAGAAACGCAATGAATATGCAGATTCATATTGCTTGTTTTTTTGTGAAGTTGCAAATTTTTTGTGAAGATCAGTAGGTGTAGGGAGGATCCATCTTAGTTATCTTTCTGCCAACCAACCTGCAGTTCGCAAAATAAATTTGAATTGCCAAAATACAAAGTAGCAAAAGCGACTACACCACAGCGCCAAAACAAGCCGACTTACCGCCGCCGCCGTCAGACTCAGAAGATGAGGAACCTGATGCGGAGACAAAAGAGAGGATGAATGACGTATTCGCAAGCTTTATGTCCGAAGTTAATACTATTGGAAGCCGTCGGCAAAAAGCGAACACTAAGAAATTCGGATCAGCAGCGGAGCTCATCGAGAGAATCCTCGATAAAGCAAGAAGTACTACTATTTCTTTTTGACGATTGGGAGTCTTATTCAGCCTATGAACCTTTCCATTGACAGTTACTTAGTTCAATTAGGATTGGTATGAAGATGTTTCACTTGATGTACGAACGTAGTCATGATCATTTTCGACTTCGTTCCATTTTCTCATAAACTCCTAACATACTGCTTGCTACCTTGTAATTGTATTACTTGAGACCCTCGTACAATTCCTAGGTCCGTTCGAGATTCTTGGTGTGACACCGGATGCGGCGGTGTCAGAGATTACGAAGACGTATCGTAATATCTCTCGTATTATCCATCCGGATAAATGTCGCATTGAGCGCGCCCACGACGCATTTCAGAAGCTGCTCGAGGCATACAGCGAACTGAAGGACGGCAAGGGCAAAGAGCGCTATGCCGAAATCTGGGAAGAAGTAAAGACGACGCTGTTGAGGCAGCGAGAGGAGATCAACGCTGAGAAATTGAAGAAGGGCGAAGACGACTTGCTCCCAACCGAAGGCCAGGAATTCGACGAAGCGGTTATCGCTGCCTGTGAGGACCGTCTAGAAAACAAGGTGGAGGAAGAAGACTATGCGTCCAAGGTACTATAATTTTTGATCATCAACATGATTTCCTACTTAATATAACGGACAGTGATGTAATCCACATCAAACGCGAACCATGACTATAATTTTTCTAGTAGATGTTGAAACAGATATACTCACTGGATCTGGACATTATCGTTTGTGTTAATGGCGTGCTTTTTTTTTATTCATTGTTGCTTTGATCTTTACAGGTTCGTAAAGCGAACGAAGAGCGAATAAAGGAGCGGGAGGAGAAGGAAAGAGAGGAGAAACGAAAGCAGGCGAATATGGAAAAAAGTTTTAAGAAAAACATGGATAAACGAGTTGCCGGCTGGCAGTCTTTTAACGCGAACATCGCGAGTAAGCGATTCAAATCAAATGCTTGGGGTATGGTCGGTGTGGTCGGAGCAGCCGACAGGCATCATAAGCGCGAGGAGAAAACTGAGTTACAGCGGGAGCAGGAAAATCGAAACATTGCTGAGGGAGGGCAAAAGCGAAAAGCAGCTGGGGTCGATGACGAATTCAAAACCAAGTGGAGATAGGATTGTTCTTGGTTGCTGTTTTTTATTGAAGCAAAAAACTTACATGTAGTGTACGACACCCACGACGACTGATCGATCCTCATTTTTGTATTTCATGCTCCGGCTGACGGCTCAATATTTTCCCTTGTCCGTCAAACTCCCTGTGTGTGCTACCAAGTAGCCCCCTAGTCCTCACTACATTATCACTCCCTCATCCTCGTCCAATGAATCAATATGCGGAACAATTTGGAGCAATTCGAATAAGAGCCTGAACAGCGTCAGAGGACTGATTGCTCATAGTATTTATCCGTGACAAATGGATCATTATATGAGAAGTAAGATTTCACTCACCAGAACCATTTTTCAGTACGCCTGGCGCATGCTTGGATAAAATGCTGTGTGGTCCTCGTGTTCGGCTCTTAGTTACGGCCTAAAAGCCGCAAAAAACAAGGAGACACAGAAAAGCGCAAACGAGAATCACTCGGAAAAAACGCGATAGCGTAAAAAAAGAGAAAATGCCAGAGACTTCGAGTAACACAAAAAAGGGCGTAAATAAGAAAACGGCATTATTCACATAAAATCAAAATGCAGCACCACTACCTTCTGCATATTTTTGACGAAAACAAAAATGCAGTACTAGCCTCTTTCTGGTGTTTCTGGCATTCCTCTTGTGGTTTGCTTCTTGGCGTATACTGGTATGATTTGCCCAAAGTGCGGTCATATTCAGTAGTATTTTCCATGCCAGGTCTGTAGTGTTGGATTATGCTCTCCCCGGCTTAGTACGTTGCTGCTACACTCTTTGGAACGGTTTCGACTTAGTTCCCTAGGGTCTGGTCTCAAGGTTGATTGAGCAGGTGAAATCGGAGACAAATGACATGACAGCCTTCGTTTTCGAGCGAAGTCGTACTTCAGGCGGTTCCGATGGAACTGATCCTTCCTGAAGATAATTCGTGGATTTCATACGGGATAGATAGATAATGACGTGACATAACATCATACTCATGGATATCAAGATGCCATCACCCCGTTCTTTCAGTGGTGCCACATTCTTTACGGGCCTACAACTGATTTTCGTGGTCGTTTTGCGAAGAGACGCCGCCTGCGCGCGTGCGGCAGAAGAATCTCAACATCATACAGGCGGGAATCAAAAGATCATATCAGCCTATGGGAGTGTTCTTGAAGTTCCAGACGCCAATGCCCGCGAGAGACGAAATCAACGCTCTGCTTTGCGGGCAGAGGGAGATGGGGAGCTTGAAGAGGGCCGCCGAGTAGAAGATGACTACGTTCAGGAGAAGGATTGTACTCAACAAACAACTAGTAGTGCCATCTTTACGGCGGATGCTAGAAGGGCGACTTACACGACAGAAGGAAAAGACACTGCTGAAGGAGGGGAAGACAAGACAGCCAGCAGGCTGCCCCGAAAAGTCGACGCAACCGATCAAGTGCGGCAAGAGAAGCTGGAGGAGGAGGAAAATGCGGAAAACGATGAAGAAGAGTATGCGAAAGACAATGTTACACAGCGTGCGAGGAGCTTCACAGCAGAAGACGAACAGGGCTTCACTGTTACATCAAGTAGAGTAAACGTGCGTAGTCCTTGGACTCCAGATCCCGTTGAAATCTCGACAAGCGACTACATTGAGAACGTGTGGGTCAGCTCCACGAGCCACTCACAGATTGCCGTGAACCGTCGTCGTTGCTCCGGTGCCGATTTTTATGGCAGGAATGTTTCGTTCTGTGTCTGATATTGCTACAACGTACACAGGGTTTCTATCATATTGAGGGACATCATGAGCCAGGTGTGGTAACACTTTGTCCATCTTATGCTAGACGCGTTGACACCACGGTCTAGCATGATGAAATTGTCGATGAATTGTCGATGTTGTCGAGTATTATAGATATATGCCTTTGTGGTTGATAAAGTTCAAGCGATGAGTGTGCTACTTTGTTGAAGAGGATGAAATGTTGTGATCATGTAGGTCTCTTTCCCCAAAGACGTAATAAGAAAGAAAACAACTACTTGTTATCATGATTGAGGACGCGAGAACTAGACTTTTCTAAGACAGAGAAGTCGATGATCTGGTAGTTGGTGGAGGTGGGGAGATGCTATACGATTACAATGATTTTTCGGTAGCTACTTGCGAAGGGCCTCGCAAGGAGCTCACCTTTTGGCAGGCGAATGTGCCCAAAGTCGGTGGGGACGACAAGCATCCTACCGTGCAAATAGTTTTCAATTTATGACGATTAGGCGTAAATTACCCGATCAAATTCCCTCGTCTTACTGCCTTCATCACGATCTATGATTTATTATGAGCTTCAACTCAAGAAGTAGATTAATGACCTACTAATGAAAGCGCCTACAATCTAAACAATTCATCACTCTTCTTATTATAAGCGTAATTCGTACTTGGGTGCTGGTACAATAGGCCTACCTCGAGCATTCCTCCGACGTGTGGCGAGATAATTGCTTTGATACTGAGACTGTAACAGAAAATACTCTGGTTGTCGCTGTGTGTACAGCTTGGAGCAATGTCGCTCATGGCTCGTAGTATAGAAGCCCGGGTGGCACCTTCTACCACCCACGATCTTTTGTCTGCTTGACAGACAGGCGAACGATCCGGGAGTGCATACCCCCAGCAGAGCACTTAACCTTCGAAATCTCCAGGAGATGGCTGTCACGGAGGTCCGTATTCGACCTGCAGTTGATTTGAGTCGTTTAATGCATTCTCCTTTTACTACTAGATACATTGTCATCATCAGCCTCAAGCCGAAAGGAAACGTTATTCAGATGAGACGTCTAGTACTCTAATTTTTGTGCTTATGCAGATGCGACACAAGAACATTTGGATACCACCGGAGATCAGTTGCTGGGCATCGGACGGCGATCGTGGTGCAGGGATGCATTCGAACGGTCGTGCTACCGCGAAGATACTGGCTTCACGTATCCTGAACTCAAGTATGTCGCCACTCTAAATCTCATTGCACTGTAAAGAAGCCGAGTACCTGGGATTGTGACACATGAAATTGGATGACGATCATCATACTTGAAAAAACTAAGTACAACTAAGGATATGGACGAGTAAGCCTACTTTGCTTGGTATGATTAAGAGCGACGGGGGTAATAAAAAGCACGAGCGAGAGAAAATACTTTCCAATCCATATACGGGACTATTTGGGTAGCCACAGACATATGTATGAAGTTGAAGAGCGAGGGGGCAGGAACGAGACCTCTTTACTACCTAAAGTCGTCTTGTTTTATGTGTTTTGATGTGTGTTAAAGAGAAGTATTTTCTAAGTTCGTGATAACAAGTTTCGGAACGTGAATGCCCAGTTTTGGCGTGGACAGGATGCAGGCACGCGGGCGCACGCGGTGATCTTTAAGGCTCTCAATGCTTTCGCTTAATTGTAACACTTCTAGTCTCCTTCTAAGATGGACATGCTTATTGTTCCACCCCTGAAGGGTATGCCATCCAGCTAGTACTTGGAATACTCCGTCTCCGGAGGATAGGCTTTTCAGGGATGAGGGACAAGCAGCGCTAATGGCTATTGCAACCCGAATAAGGTGAAAGGCAAGACCTTGGTAATTGAGTACCCGTGGTGGGGCGTTAGGGACAACATGTACTTCGCTCTTCTTGATGTCTATGTTCGTGGCTACGGAACTGGATGGACGAGCACCACGACGTCTCCTACGACGACGACTATTACGACGACGGACCACGGACGACGTCTACTACGACGACGACGAAAACCACGACGAGCACGATGACGACTACAAGCAGCACAAGCATTATGCTACAACTTGTCGTAGCCCATTACATGGTGTGGCCGGAGTAACTCAGGGGGTAGTATCATGGGCTCGGGGATTCATCCCGAGTTGGATCCCTTATCAATTGCAACGGGGATTTACCTCATTGAATCCATTGTCCAGCCTCTTCCATCATTACGAAAGCAACTCGACCTGAGAAGTCTCTCCAATAGCTCAAGAAGACTCTAATGCCTCCACCGGAACAAGGACATTGACTTCAGCGACAACGACAACGACAACGACGACCACAGCGATGACGTTACGGCTTCCATGATTGTAAAAGCATAGATTCTCATCCGCAACCTGACAAGCTTTCTATAAGAAAATATATTATAGGATGTTCCTTGTACTAAAAGCATACTGTAGAAGTCGAGCCATACTGAACGTCGGCTCTTATCAGAGGAGCCGAAAAGAATATCAAGTTGAGGAAAATGAGAACTTCTACACGAGTTCGCAGGGTTTCCAGAAGTTGAGAACACGGACAAGATCGACTCAGAATTCTGTCAGGCAGGAGCGAAGGTCTAACTTTGATAGCGGAAAAAGACTTCAAGATTTATGGCTCAGGATAATTTACCCAAACATGCTTCTTCGTTCACGTATTTTAGATCACTTGCCGAGAAAATCTTGAGAAGATGTTCTGAGGTATCTGAGCTTCTCTAGTTTTCCCGATAAGACTGGTGCTGAGAAGAGACGAATCTAGGAACCCACAGCGGTCGCGTCCTCAGGCTACCTACTTGATAAATCCTAATAATGATAAAGGTGTCCTCAATCTAGGAGCTCTAAAATATGTCTATGGCAGCTTTCGGAGCGGTTGCACTCGTTGTAGGTGGGGGCATCTACATGTACATCTCCGAAAGCGCAAACCAAGAAGTTGATGATCTTTAGATTAACGCGAGATCGACTCGAAAATCTGAAGTAAAAACAGATAGCGTGAATAAAGTCTTGGGAGTACTGGATAAGAGTTGTGAGTAAAAGCTTGATAGACTAGTCTTCCTTACCAGATATCAGAGACGATATCCTACTGCTTTTCGTCGGCAAGTAAATATGATACAGGAAGACATATTGATCGCAATAGTCCTAGAGTAGCTTTATTATAGTTCTAAGTTGTCGCACTTATGGGTAAGTAAAAGTGGCTAGAGCAACGCACTCTCTTAGGCTCTACTCGTTACTCACTTACCGACTTTCTGTCTTCAACCTTCGACTTCAAATCTTTCTCCTCAACACACCAAACAACTCGTAGATCGATCATTTCACGCACAGTTCAATTCGGATTTGTCGAATGATCGATCTCGAGCGTCTCGATTTTCGAATTCAAATTTATAGATCGTGGAATTCTTGGCTTCTCGTTTCTCTACCACACCAACAGACATAGGACCCTTCCAGAGTGTGTCGCCTATCTCATACAATTGACCACTTACCCTAACCAAGAACAGACACAGCAGCACTTCACTTCGAGGAGAAGCGATCGATTTGTCGCCAACAGGAATCTGGCTAACAGTGAAGATCATCTTAATTTCACTTGATAAAGGCAGATATCGCTTCCACGTACTGGGAGTGACAATTTCATTACTTAGGAGTAACAAGTATATTCGAAGATACGACCACAAGGTGTTAGAGCAGCAGGTGGCTTCACTAGTTACATATTTACAAGTCAGAAGGTAAATCTGACAATCTGCTTTCTTTGCCAAGTTAGATCTTTACATCAAGTTTCAACCACGGGATAGAGGACCTACAGATCCATGCATTGGAAGCCTAACATTTTTGCATGTTGTGATGAGGCAGAATGAAATACAAAAAGTGCATGGAAGAGGCGATGAATATTGTTACCTCTTAGGCCTTGACAGGCTCTCTTCACCTTCAGACTCCAAACTAATCAAAGTGTCGTACATACCCCACGATTGGGTACACTACTACTACTACTACTACTACTACTGGGCATTTCCATTTCAAAGTGTTGAGAGTCTCTGCCTCTAAGAGCTTTAGAAGGCTTTGGAATGTTGTGATTAGGGCTTACGGTTCTCCAGAGCGTTTTGTGTTTAGCCCCCTAGACCCGCCCTAGAGTGTGCACACATTCATCTACCACTCTTGTTTTTTTTTCTAGGAGTGCAGAAAGAGGGAACGAGGCGAGAGCCGCAAGTGAGATATCTTGACTAATTCGAGTACTTGGTAGAAGATAGTACAGAATAAAAGTTTGTGATTCGGCCGGGAGCGAGCCAAACGGTGAGCAGTCATCTTAGTGCTTGTCGGAAATAATGCTATATATTGAAACAACATTACCAAACTTAGTCGGAGTCGAGTAAGTGCCGGCGGAGCGCGATGTGAAGGCTCCATAACCTAACCAGACGAAACTTAAAGAAATTAATTAGATCTTGTAAATCAAGAACGGCACTGTTTTACCCTCGCCAGCAATTTCATGCTGTTTAAGGCTATCAAGAAGAACGAACCACGTAATGATATCACGTCGAATAAGATTCTGAGCAAATACTAATGGCCTGCATGCCGCCCAGTCCTAGTGGTCACGATTGAAGATCTTCGACCAATCGATTCCAAAATTCAATGATGTCTAGTACTTACCCGTCTCAGTCGTGGCTCGACATGTCTCTAGGTCAGCGATGGTGCAATCTGATAGGAGTTGCAGCGCTGTGCTTCACTTTAGGGAGGTTCAGCTCGCGCCAAATGCATTTTCGAGTCTCTAATCTGGATCCTGCGGCCGATGCATTTTCATCTCGCAGGCTGGTATTGGGGCAGCATGCTGGCCTCGATTCTGCCATGGTGAGAAAAAACGAAGCACTAAGGAACAGAAAAAAAGCGTTGTGGTCGAAAGGAAACGGGAATAAGCAGATGTTAACCGCGAGCGCGCTTGCGCGACCAACAGACTGGAGAGGTGGCTTTTATACTTCTTTTCAGCCATCTCTGGAGCTGTCGTTATGGAAGCAAGCCCATCTTTTCCACCATGTTTCGGCTAGTTTCTTCTTGGAAACATGTAGCTAAAGGAAGATGTTTGCTAAGATGGCTTCATCTTGCTGTTGGTGCCTCTAAGTACGGACTATTCAGTAGTCGACACAGAAAAGGACGAAAATCTAGAAGCTGCAATCAAAGCACAAGCTGGAGAGGCTGCAATCAGAGAACACGCACTACCCAAGGGAAGCCGGAGCAGTCGCACTGCACCAAAAAAGGTCGGCGCAGCCGCCAAAGACGAGCGTCGACCTGTTTTGGTCTTCGACGAGAACATCGACAAAAGACTCGGTGCTGAATTTTCCGGCACTTTACCCGACGAAAGCAAAAAAGCCGACCTGTCAGTATGTTAAGGCAAGTTTTTCATCTTCTCGCCGGTCGTACGGGAGAACGAAGAACTATGGTTCATTATCTACTGTGGATCGTGATTCTGGGGAAAGCATACAGAGTGGAGAAATAAGTCACACGACAGGGTACCACTAGCTACCAACCGAAGTTACGACAGGGTGACACCGAGGGTCTAAGGATTGTTGCAGTCGCGAGTACCATTAGCGGAAAGTTGGGCTAGATCCGCTGTGTGGTCTGATCTAGCACCTGGAAGTCTATACGCCTTCCGGGTAAGCTCCCCGAAGCACATTGCCCTGGCTCACAGATTAATTGAGCTGCTCTCAGCGAAGAAGCGAGATGGCCTCACAAACCCGGCAGCTAGTTATGCCACAATCAGGCAGGAGGCTTTATCTAGGCTAGAATCGGATGTGGAGTTTTAGTTCTTAGCAACCCTGACTCTTCTCGTTACCTACTCGAGGACCGCTTGTTACATGTGATGCTTTAATTTGTGTGGATGAGGATCAAAAATGAGCAGCCTTTGCGCTATAACGAAAATGCGTCATCTGCTGGTCGTCTGTTTTCTAATCTAGCAACCACGATATTTTTGCGGTGGCATGTTGGTCGGGTGGCGGCTGTGTAGTGGAGAAAAAAATGACGTATAAGCAGTTCAGCGATCGATATCAGAACATCAGCTTAGGGACGCAGTCCTTGCAGCGTCGGAAAGCCTTTCAGGCGCCTGTGGGTAGACCTAATCAGCGGCGACTCGCTGCAGTCGACCTAGAGGACGAAGAAAAGAACCACGGAAGCACAAGAATAGCTGCGGAAAGAGAGGATGGAAGCACGCACTACAGAGAAAAGATAGTACAAGTGGATAATGGCGGAAGAAGTAGTACTACCACTGGAGGAAAACTTTTATCTTCAAGCATATCAGGAAGTCATAAGGACCATTTGGATACTAGTACCGAAACTACATTGTCGTTGTCCGCCTCAGAAGCTGCCTTTTGCAGGAATAAGTGGCATCACGATAGTACTGGAGATGCGGAAGAGACATCAAAGAGGTCATTGGTCGAAAAAACCGATTCTCAAGGCCCTGTTGTTCCCCCAGCGAAGCAAGCTGGGGCGGCGGGAACACCTGAAGAAGATGTTGGTAAAAATACCCCCGTCATCTCTGCTGGACAGGAGACGACGAAGAACAGCGATCATTCTGCGGGGAGTCTATGGCCTTCCGCAAATATGGAAGTCCTCCCTGCTTCAGCCGTAGAGAGCCCGTCGGGGAAGAAGATAATACCCGAGCCTCATGCTGACACGGCACGAAATTCACCTACATTTGGAGATGCGCCTAACTCAAGTTTGCAACCCACCTCTACTACGCGAGAGCAAGACCATCCTCCCGATGGTGTACACAACAGTGAAAATATAGTGAAAGAAGTCGAAGAGCTTAGTACTGTAACTGTAGGAGCTCCTGGACAAGTATCAGCAGGTATGATGTCAGAATTTTATGCTGCCGCCGTAAGGTCGCCGACCGATAAAATTACGAGCCATTCGTATCAAACTCTGTACGGAAAGTACCTTCCACGAAAAATTGACCAAGCTTCAAAACCCCTACTGGAGATTGGCCTCGGATGTGTGCCCTTCAGCGTTCCTGGCTCATCAGGCAAGATGTGGCGTCGCCTTGGCTTCCGAAGTGTGCACTTATGGATTTCGTCGATCATCAAGTAATATTTTTCTGAAAACCTATTGTTCGTGATTCGCACGTCGCCAGCTGTATTCTAGAAAGAAAGTAGTGATTCGTCTTCACCGCGAAAGGCGTGCGTACGGGTGTTGTTGTATAGCACTAACTAGAAGATTTCAGGTTGCTTCGTGTCGTTATTATGAACAATAATATCTTAGGTGTCACACGACCTTTCGTCGATAAACGGCAACAATGAATCCATCTTGTTAGCTGTAGGACCAATCCCAATCGCAATCGGAACCACGCTAATGTATATTCTGGAGTACAATGGTAACTGCGTTCGTGCTTACGCATCAGAGATAGAAGCTGATGGTTACAAGGTGTATATCGGAGACCAGTCCAACATGCTGCACCTCGAGAAAGTGAAGGATAATCTCAAGTAGTTATTCTGCTTTGTTCAAATCATTCTTGGGCTTTATTCTTGCTTGCCTTTGGAATCTTCGAACATGTACTTTCAACTGTAGCACGGAGAATGAACTACCATGTTAAAATACTAGAACGAATTTCACCTAATTTATTACACAGCTATGAAGCAGAGGTGATCGTAGACGACGGCGGCCACTGGAACTCACAAATCCTGGCGTCATTTTGGTCTCTGTGGCCTATTGTGCGAAACGGAGGACTATACTTCGTCGAAGACTTCGCAGAGAGCGCCTACATTGCGAAGTACGTCGACCAACCGGGACCTGTGGCAGCACCAGTTATGTCACGTGTATCTGAAACTGCATGAAGACAGAGACTTACCACATCATTGCTACTCTAACTTTATCTGGTTCTGGTTCTGCAGCCAGAGAACAGTATTATACATGAGACCAACTCTTCTAGCGCTGTACATGATCAGGTTTTCTTGTTACAGATTTCCTTCTCTAAATTTCGCGATGAGCACACGTACACCGCTCAATACGGGCTCGCAAGCCTGTTGCGAAACGTTTTCTGCGGGATTTTATCTTCGCCTTGTTACGGCGCTCTCGTTTTCGTGGAAGCCCAATTCAATATTATGATTTTCCAGAAGGGAGGAGGGGAAGGCGCGTAGAAATCAGATTGATTCAGATAGGATCAACCACTAACCTTATGCCTGTAGTTCATGAAATATATTTATGTAGTCAACAGAAGCAGGAATCGTGAGGGTTTGACCCGAGGATGTTTCCCTCTATCTTCCGAACTTTTTGGCTGAAGAGTAGTGATGTCGATGCGGACGCGACTTATCCTCTCACACTTAGGGACTCTTTGAGAAAGCGGCTTTTACGCTCGAAGACATACTTCTTAATTACTTAAGGGTCTGTGGTTTTAGGCAGCCTGCCAAGAACTACATGGACTCTGCGATGTCTTCTCCTATATTTGTTGAAGCATGATGAAAGATAGTGACGATTTGACATAATCTGAAATTTTACAAAGCGGCGCACTCCGAACAGCGTCTGAGCGATTTTTCTGACATTAGCAGGTTGGTCTTGCGAAGGACCCGTTAGCTTTCGAAGATGTCTACTATTTACCGCTTGAGACGTCTACTATCTGTCGCGTGTGATTTACGCTTTTCGGTATCTTTCGTCGGTGGTTCAAACTTCTTCTCGACAAGGCAAAGCTATTTTTTAAGATCACACATGAGCGCCTTTTTGAGGGAAGGAGCGACAAGACGGTGTCTAACGATGCGCCGACTCTCATACATAAGTACATAGATTATACTAGATTGGTCGTAATGTTGACAGGAGTTGTAGCAAGTTTCCGAGAGACGGAGAGTGGGAAAGCAGTAACTACACAGAATGAACAATTTGTCGGCGAGCGACATAAAAAACTCACTGCACCACCTCACGCTAGGCACATTCATTCATTCATTCACTCACTCATTCCTCTTCATCTGGCGTCAGTGGTCGGTAGATCTGAGAAGAAGCGCCGATGACTAGCTATTCCCAGTTTTTCTCTGCTTCAAAAAAGTATCAGGCTAAGAGATTGGAGAAAGCGAAAGGAACGCCTATCCAACTGCGAAGCGCATTGAGATTTTCCTTCCCGTCTCAAAATATCAAGGCTTCAAAGACAAATAGGACATGATCCATGCTTATAGAAGAAGATGGTCGCAGTACTTAGAGTAAAGCATAGCTGCTAGTGTGAAGTAATTTCTCTTCTATAAATCTTGCCATTTAATGTTTTCTGAGAGTGATTCCATTTTCTTTTTCAGTACATCCAGACAAATTTCACGTTGAGTACTCGCGGTAACGTTCCGTTGATTTTCAATACTCGCACAGCTACAAGGAAAATTCTACGTTCCATATTTCGTCTAGAACAAGAACATGGACAAAATTTCGCGTGGCTCCCACGTGGGGGAGATCCATAGTAAGGGGTTGCGGGTAGCACAGGATCGAAATCCGCATACTTCGAACCACCGTGGGACTCATGTTTCTACGCAAAGTACTATCAAATGTTATTTAGTTGGACTGATGTTTCTACGCAAAGCATCAGAGTTAAGTTTCTTGGGCTAATATGTGAGTTGGCATTTTCGTGACGAGAATTTTCGTGGCGTTAGTCTGATCTTGTTTATGTTCGATGATTATATTGCAGATGTACTTAGTTAGGCACCATTACTGTCGTCTAGGTATTCAACAAGAACAAACAAGAGAAGAACGGCTACAACATCAAAGAGTCATTCTTTAATTTGTTTTATGAGCAGGTTTTAAGCTAAATACGGCCGTGCCGGGCCACGCGAGAAAACGGGCTTCTGGGCAGCTGCAATTGCAGGGAAGTGCGAGTGAGTGGTTCAAGATTCATCAGGAGGGTCATCCAGCGAGCAGCAGCCACTTGGGTCAGAGTTTCGTGAACCGACACAGCACGCGGCCCATCCCCCCGAAGGCAGGAGTTATGGCAGCTACGCGTGCCTCGCCGCGGCCTTCCGGTCTGGCGGCAACGCATCTGGATGGCGGAGACCGGGAAGTGGTTCAACTCAAGAACGACAAGCAGGACCACGCGCACTTTGAAAGGTTCTCGCCACGGTTTTGGAAGCATTGCGCAGGAAACGGGCCAGCACCTCCAGCAAAACCAGTGCAATACGAGCCGAGGACATCAAATCGCGCTTCTGACTGGGCTCCAGGATCTTCTGGCACTTTCAATTAAGACTGCAGATTTTATTTTTTCGACTACTTAGAAGATGTCAGCAGGCGAACAACGTGAAGGTACAGTATTTAGAAGATTGATATGTTGCTGCCGTTTTGTTGAACACTAGAGACACTGGTTAATTATAGACGATCGAATGCGTGACGATGTACGAGATGACACGAGCTCCTTATCTTTTCCAGAAGCTATCACTAGGTAGCATCCTAATTTTGGTGAGGATATTTTATTACAGAAGTTTGAAGCGGCAAGCTCTAACCCTCTCCGCCAGAACGAACGACTGCTGCACCACGAAAATCTGACGCTGACAACAATGGCCAAGCTTTCGCGGCTAATAGACGGGCTGGCTCGAGCTATAGCGCACAGTTCCAATTTAGGGCAGACGACAATTGTAATTTGTCGTCTTCCGCTCTGAATGATTCCTCTTCAAATGAGGGCGCCCGACGTTCTCTTCTAAAAGTCCCGCTTTCTTTCAGCTTTGTGCTTTACTGAGAAAACGTAAAGAGGATGTATGCGTCGAGTAGAAGGTATTCAAAGGAGGAATTAACTTTGAGATCTCTAAGATATCCCCGCGCGGAGGACCTCTAGACAGGCCAGCAGTTGACGCCTCTGGTCCAGGAGAGGAAGAGACAACAAATCGATTTGCTCGTCGTTCCCTTGCAGAGCAGTCGCCGCGTTTCCCGCCAAACAAGCAGAGTTCTGGCAGTAGTCCTGCGAAACGCAGTCCTGAAAAACGTTCCTCCGCGATGCGACCGTCTTCTAGCAGTAGCAATTATACCACGTCTTTTCTCGCTAGCAGCGTCGGAGGTACTGCGAACAAGAGCGGAGCAGCCGGAGCGGCGCCGTCACATGAGACTTCTCGGAGAGGGTCCTCTGGGAACATTGCTGCTGCGAATGACGCACCTGCAGCGGGAGAGAGAGGAGGGCCACCTGCAGCGGGAGTCCGCACGTCCATGACAAGGGTGGACAGAAGTCCAACCTTCCGCAGTAGCGGAAACTGGATACATCACAGCGATGCCCCGCAAAAATCTCCGAGGTTAAGACACACCGACAACACTCGCAATAGTCGACCAGAGGCCAGAGCCACGGTTGTTCCCCCAGGCGGTCGGCATTTCGATCCTAATGAGGGAAGGCGAGTGGTACTATACATCATGACCAATGCTAGATACTACTCGCACTTTTTTTAGTTGTAGTGAGCATCATGGCTACTTCGAACTTGACGGAATTGGAAAATCATTACGGACAAACTTTTAGGTTGTATCACCGGCTAAAGCGAACAAGATGCAGAAAAATTTTGTGGGTGTGCAGGATAATCTGGAAAAAACGGGTAAGAAGTGCCTCTTTGAAAACCACGAAGCGCCGAAATTGCATGAGGTACAGAGCATGATCAAACGAGTCAGCAGTTCGTACCTGTCTGGTGGACCCCAGCCTCAGGCAGCTGACGTAAGTGCCCACCACCAAGAACGGTTGGCAAGACGGGAGCAGAAGTACCCAATGCGTTTTTGTTGTAATTACAGGCTTCACGTCTCGATCATAAATGAAAGTTAAAGTTTTAAATGAAGAAGATGAGAACTCGTGTGCGCTAGAGTCTGTCGCAACGTAGGAGAACTACTCAGCGGAGGCAATACCGTTTTTTTCTCTCTGGTGCTATGTCAACTTGAAAAATTTTTGTAACAATGTCTATCCAAACTAGGCATACTGATGCCGTCGCGTCTAGAATGGACAGGCACAGTCGTCACATGATGACCAGTGCAAGCGAAGGTGTTGTAGCCGCTGTTGGCCATTCCAGATTTTCGGACCATGCTCGTGCAACAGACATACACGGGGGCGACTTGTTCATCTATGACAGGTACTTACTTCTGTAAGTGTGATGTTAACGCTTATAGTGCTTAGACTTCGTTCAAAACGTAGTTCGATGAATATTTTTGAAAAGTACTTCGATGCACGACCAGCTCTGCTTCCATTCATTCTTTCATCAACCATGCTCTAGCAACACTCTCGCGAAGAGTGCAGGCCGACGTCGCGCCTCGCAGTGCGTCGTGCTAGCAGAGCAAGCGGGCCAATCGCCTAGGTTGAATCCGGCGGTTCAGGAGTCAAAATCGCGGTTACGTAATCCAGGGATGTTCCATCCGGAGCGGGGGAGCATGAGCACCAGTATATTTCCGTCTGTTCGGACCGTGGAGTCAGTTGGTGGTAAATAATTTCGCAGATGCTTCATGGTGGGACATATTATTTCTTTGTTTGCTTGAAAGACAGAGGACGGAGATATTTCGTTGTACAGAAACAGAATCGAAGCAGTTTTTAACAAGTTAATATATGCGAAAAATATTTCTGGCTATGTATAGTCTCGAGAGTGTGAGAAAATCAAATAACGAACCTAATGAGTACTACTAGGGATGTCAATGAATCAATGAAAATGCAAAGGCGTCCGTGCACGATAGCCGCGAGTTATGCTTATGTGTCATATTCAATTCACCAGAGAATACAGATTACTACCATACTAGAAATTTCGTGGGAGAGGTTGTTCGATATTATTGGAATGGAATAACTGTCAAGAAACTTTGAGTTGGGTATTTTTCACGTCATCCAAAAAAGATCGATTTTTTCTTGATCTTTTGATAACGCGACATCACTATCTCACGCTTACCATCTATCTTACACATTCATAGTGTTTCTTAATCTATCTTGCAACATATTCTAGCGCGCAAATTTTTCTTATCTTTCATTCTTGATTTTGATTCTTTGCAGTTGATCGAGTTAAACATGCCGCGAGCACGAAGGGCGATTCCGTCTTTCCTGTGCGTGAGAAGAGAAGCAATTTTGGTCTGAAGTCCACCTTTGCTACTTGAAGTCCACCTTTGCTACTTGAAGATGATCACCATTGCGGAGGTACTTGCTGATGAGACCTCACGCCTGCGCGGCGAGTTGCAAACAACGCCGCGTGTATGTGGATCATCCTTGGCGGGTGGAGCTCCAAAAGAAGTTTTATTCTGGATCATGCATGGCATTCGAGAAACAAGATTCCGATTTACTTGAGTGAAAAAATAGAGAAGAAATACGTCTTACTGCCACTCAGTGTAAGATGCACAAAAAGCGGGTTGTAGGGCCAAAGCTAATGAGGGAGTAAACGATTAATCAACAAACAATACTACCTAGCACATATTTGAGGCCTCACAGCCCCCAAAATAAGTGCAAAGACCAGAATGACGATCGTCGAGCATGAAGTCCAGAAGGGGAAATCCTCGATAGTGGACCACGGGGGGAGTTCTGCTCACAACACGATCACCGAGGAGAACTACAATGCTGAAATTGCGAAGCTGGAGCAGTTCAAACTGTTAGCATGGAGTAAAATCGAAGAACAGAATGCACTTTTTGGGGAAAAGGTGCGAAAAGTTGAAAACGAGCGCGACGATTTGCTCTACCAAGCGCTCGACAACGAAGAGAAAATGGGAAACCTGCAGTTAAGATTTCTTTGCATTAAGTACGTTGAGGTTTTGGTTTTCTTGGTACAACAATATTGGAGGTCTTCTTCTTGTACTAGAAGTCTCTGAGATTGAATTTTTTTCTGAATTTCTTAGGTCCCTGATGCAATGCGCACGTCAGTAATAGACAACGTCCTTGAAGCTGGGTACATCATCATCAACATCAAGTGCTCGATGTTGGAGACGAAGCGCTCTAATCCAGCGGCGTCTTGGAGACGCGATGAAGGAGCTGCAGGCATTAGCGGAGATCAGTCAAGAACAGGACAAAGCACTAGACTACCTGATAAAGTGGAAGAAACATGCAGAGGGGTTCTTGGAGTCTCTAGTAACATCTTCTGCTTCATCGAAGCAACAAGGAGATTCTCAGCAATCAATCTCCGCATCGGTTAGTACCAGTGCAATCAACGACTCTTCGTCAAAACCAACGAGGCTAACGCGGGAAGAGCTAGAGAAATTTACACGAGGAACGGCTGCGCTTCTGGGAAAGGAGCCAGTATTAGCGGACGAGACATCCGGAGCGCACGCATCGTCGTCCAGTGGAGCCTGATCAAGAATCGAGTGCGACCAAAAGGTGTACTTGGATAATTAGTGATGAATTATGAATGTTGCAATTGACCCGGTATTGACTTTAGGTCATCATCATCAAGCGTTTTGTCAGTGATTAAGTCGTAGTACGACGGACTGCTCTTGGATACCCAAAACCAAAAAGAGATTTGTATGTTTTAGTAAGGAAGTGATGTTTCTTTTCAGACCTGATTCTCGATTCTTCACGCAAGAGTCAGAGTTTAGCAAGAAGAAGGCAATTTTGACTCTCTTCTTGATTTGTGCGTGTGCGGACGATGGACAATGCGAGGCATGTGCGAGCGAAGGATTGAGGATAAAGAATATGAGAGGGCCATCAAGCGACATTCATTTGAGTGTGAGAAAAGAGTTACTAGGATTCTAGTTTTTTCAATGAAAATGAGGCTGGTGCACTGCGAATAAGAAAGAAGGCGTCTAAAAAGGCATCGCATAGCGGGTACTTCCTTGCACTTAGAAGTTGCAACTAGTGGATGGTGATATCTTGTAATCGTCATATGCAGTTTCCAGAAAAAGTAAAATATCGAAATCGCCAAGGTGAATGTTATATCCGCGGGGATGGACGTCTATAGTACTGCGATCTTTATTTCATCCCACCTGATCTGATAGGGAAAGGCTGGGTAGTACGTAATTGGAAAGTTGTTTTCGTGGCATGGATACTTCAGATAGTAAAGGGTCACATTAATTGTATAGTTGGGACCGTGTTCCCCTTTGATGACCCCTTTCTGCAAGCATACCTGCGAAGAACTGATTACAACTAAGTGCTAGCAATTTCGCATTGAAACAGGATTCGCGTCTATTTCAAAACAAGATTCAAAATTGACTGGTCTTGATCGAAAGCTTCCGCGGAACTCGTGATTCGGTTTCGGCGATTTATGTACGCAGGTGGAGGAGTGACAAAGACTCTGGGCAAGCAGAGCATCGCTTCGGAATGACATCCAAGACCCGTTCACGGGTTCCGCTTTCGGCATGATGTCGCGGAAAGACGGTCTATGCTAATTTTCACGAAGCAGTAGTCGTGGAGTGGAGGTGGACCACGAGTGGAGGATCTCAGGATACCTCCCAGGTTGGTGGTCGTCGCTTTGCCGCGCGTGCTGGCGACCCTTACTTAAGCGTGAGTAGGCCCGAAGATGCGGACTGTTACGTTGTGGCAAGATCGGATCCCCGAGAGGGACAAACATCCAAACAGCATATGGGCGCTGTCTTTTAAGCCAGATGGGAGTCAGATTATTTGTGCAGTCGGTAACCGGGTGTTGGTGTACGATACCTGCGATGGGGATCTCATTCATAGTCTCAATTATGGCACTTTTTTGACTGTTAGTTTGAACTTGTCTTCAGCTCGACGCGAGGCTCAAGCATGTACAGAGACCGACCTCGGCATGTGCAGAGACCGACCCTGCTGAATCGTGAAGTCCAATGCTGGCGATCAGTTGTTCATGTCGTTACTTGTTGAGTACTAGAGGGATGGCTATTTTCACGCCTTCAGTTCTTCTAGTTCTAATGTCGAGGCCACAAAGACGTAGTCTATTGCGTCGCATATGCGAAAAACGGTAAAAAGTTTGCGAGTGGTGGCGCAGATAAGCAAGTCATCATATGGACGCATAAAGCAGAAGGTAAGCATATGATGATGCATCAAGGATAGACATGTTTTTTGTTCTACTGAAAGTGGATGCTGCTTGCGTTGATTGTTGAGTCCGCAGTTCATTTGTGATAACACCGCGATGAACTTTTCCTTCGACTTCTGATGTTTTTCACGAAATTTCCAGCTTATACTTTTTATCGAATGCAGGTATCCTGAAATACAATCATAATGACGCCATTCAATGCCTCTCGTACAACCCGATCACGCAGCAGCTTGCATCGGGCACGGCGACAGATTTTGGGCTGTGGTCACCGGAGCAGAAGTCGGTAGTTTTTGCTTATCTATAGTGCTCAGTCCAACAGAGGATCTAAGTACGTAATTTCATCTTAATTTTCTTGTTGTCGTATCATGATTTGTCGGGGTACGCAAGAAACCGCAATGCCATTCAATACTGATGAAGCAAGTAATCATCTCTTCAGGTTAGCAAACACAAAGTACGTAGTAAGATTTTGTGTATGGCATGGACGTCGGACGGTCTGCATCTCGCTCTCGGTTTTTTCGATGGGCATATACACCTATGCGACAAAGCTGGCGCAGAGAAAGTTGTCATAATTATGCAAGACCATGGGCAACTACAAGTAGCTGTCAGCCACTGGCTTCAGGATGGATAGGACGTTGATAGACAACAGAGAAGGTTCCAACCTACGAGACTTGTTTGCTCTGGGTCGCAAGAGGATCATCCACGCTTCTCAGTAGACACCGGTTTTTAGCTAGTACTTTATCAGCGTCCACCACCAACTCTATGCATGGGAAACGACCTTCTATCGTCTAATCACTCCCGCAACGCTCCTGTTTGGACATTGCAATGGAGCAGTTCTGTTTCCGGTCGCAATGGGGCTGATGGTGGCGTCGACGTGCTGGTGGCTGGATGTTGGGACCAAACCTTGGGTTTCTACAAAATTGGCGGCCAAGAGCACCTGCCCGAACGCAAGTTAGGTTACGATCCAACCAGCATAGCGTTCCTGGGGAACGGCGAGTACTTTGTTGTCACGGGCAGCAGCGGAAAGATTCAACTCTTTACAAGGGACGGAGTCTTTCTGGGCGATTTGGTCAATCCGAACGCAACGGAGAAAAATGTACTTCAATGTTGGAGATGGAAACTCCTCTGGCAGTCGTTTTCAGTTTTCGTGTTTGCTTGCCGTCTATGCATTTGTTTTGGCAATCTACAGTGGACGCCTTTGATTTAGATGGAGCATAGGAGGATTCTTATAACAGTCATCACGTGATACACCCAATATGTTCATAATCAGGTACTGGATGCCTCAAAAGCTGGCGGCTCGGGCGAAGGCGAGGAGGGTGCACCGGACCCAGCAAATTGGAGTTGGGCTCTGGCGGTAAAGCCGAAGACAACGAGCTCCTTTACCCATAACTTTAACAATGGGTTTAATATCGTGCACGCGACGAACAGTGGGAACATCACCATGCACCAGTTAGTCCTGAGCACTATTCACGGGTTGTACCAGGAACGCTACGCTTTCCGTGAGATCTTGACTGATGTGATCATACAACACCTTGTCACTTCTCAGAAAGTGCGGATACGCTGTCGAGAGCACGTGAAGAAAATCGCGCTTTACAACGACCGACTCTTATGGGGGAGGATTGATGAATGAGCGAACACTTTTAGAAAGATTATACATTTTGATAGCTATCTGCCCGAATCGTGCACCTGGATACTACTAACTTGGAACTAGTCCTCTTTATTCTACCTGCTCGACCACTTTTCATAAACTGCAGTGCAGCTTCCAGATCGCGTGCTGATTTACGAGGCCGGGACGAATCAAGATCCAGCTGACATGCACTACAAGAACATCGAGAAGATAAAACAGCGGTTCGAGTGCTCCCTTCTAGTTGTAACCAAAGCTCACATAGTCCTCTGCCACGAACGCACGTTGCAGCTCATAGGCTTCACCGGCGTCCTCGAGCGGGAGTGGACACTCGAGGCATTGATCCGGTATATCAAGGTGATTGGTGGCCCACCGCGCAAGGAAGGGATTCTAGTCGGGTTGAAGAGCGGACACGTGCTAAAAATTTTCATAGATAACCCGTTTCCGGTATGCTTGGTGAAGCAAGCGACCGCAGTGCGGTGTCTCGATCTGAATTGTACACGGCAAAAGCTAGCAGTAGTGGACGAACAATCGAACTTGTTGGTGTACGACGTGTCCAAAACAAGCGCGCATGCTCTGAAAAATATTCAAGCGACGAGTGGCGGGGGCGATGAGTAGGATTATGTCATGTTGCTGGTTGTATAAAGTAAAACTTCAGGAATAGGCCAAGCTTATTTTATATGGGGCAGTCGTCTTCATCTCGTGTTCACACAGACAGAGCAAGGTCGTGCAATCAATCCTTAGAATCCCATCCACCACTAGGTCACCGAATAGTGAAGCTTCGGAATTGCTCTATACTGAGCCACATGCGAATAGCGTTGCGTGGAATACAGAAATGGCGGACATGTTGGCGTACTCAGGATCCAACAACTTGTGTATCAAAACGGGTTTCTTCCCACCGCACGTGCAGAAACTACCTGGATTCGTGGTGGGGTTCAAGGGGAGCAAGATATTCTGCCTCCACTACGTTAGCATGCAGACGGTGGATGTGCCGCAAAGCGCGTCGCTTTATCGCTACCTCGAGAAAAAACAGTTTGACACGGCGTATAAAGTAGCGTGTCTTGGTACCGTGTAGCTAATATCATTGGTTTTATATCGTAGTTGAAACCAGGTCCAGGACCGTTCTGACTCTCTCTCTCGAAACTTTGCCTTCATTGCTACAGCGACGGTATCTTTATCTTACCCGAGCTTTCTAAGTAGATGATAACGCTGATAATGCAACGACCTTCAGGGGTAACCGAATCAGACTGGCGCTCTTTTGCGCTCACGTGCTTGCAAAACTTAAAGTTCGATCTGGCTCGAAAAGCATTTATTAGGATACGGGATGTGAAATACATCGACCTTCTAAACCGGCTGAAGGGCCTTCTCCCCATCCGCTCCGAGGAAGACGAACACATGCTGAACGGGCACATTTGCGCATTCCAGAACCAGTTCCAAGAGGCTGCAGAGCATTACTTGAAAGCGCGACAACCGACAGTAGCGGTGGACATGTTCACAGACCTCAGGAGATGGGACGATGCTAGGTATCTATATTTTTTGCTGCACTCTATAATTTTTTCCTTCGAATAGTGTTGTAGTACGGAGTTGTAATTTTTTGAATACCAGCCAAGCGTTTCTACAACGAACTGGAACGTCTTTCTGACACATTGATTCCCACGTCGCTTTGCCTTTGTCAGGTATTATGCCGAAATAGTAGAAAAAGGAGGGGCAGCGATGCCAGCAGTGGTGGTGGCATCATCGCCAGAGCACATTAACGATGACCCATTGAATATGACAATAACGGGAGACTCCGACGGCGCTCTATCGGGTCGCAGCGGCAGAAGAAGTAATGAATGAATTGCAAGTTGTTGTCAGGGATTGACTTTTTCTACGTTTTTAGGCTGTCACCACCTTGAACGGAATCACTCGCAAATACAGCGGAATGGAAACTTTGACTTTCTCAAAAATGGCTGCCAGGTGGTGCCGGTTCTCCTTCGAGCCCTGGCCTAATGCAACCCGAGGCGAGCGGTGTGAGCACGAAGCTAATGCAACGACAGGCCGCAACAGCGGAGGAGGACGGCGATTTGCGACAGGCCGGTGAGATGTACGTCGAACTAGGCAAGTTCCGCCGAGCTGTCGAGATTTTTTGTAAGATTTCATGCCTAGACGCGTTGATTCAGACTGTACGGAAGCTTCTACCAGGGAAGAATGTGAGCGAGCGGGAACACAAGGAGCTTCTGCTGTTATCCATCCGCTGTTTTCGAAAGGAAAAACACCACTCATTCGCAAAAGAGGCAATATTGAAACTAGGAGATATACCGATGCTCATCGAGCTGCATATGAGCAATCACAAATGGGAGGAGGCTTTCATGGTATTCTTAATGATGTAGTATTCATGTAGCTGTCAACTGTACCCTCTTACGTGTCTCTGAGTATCTAGTGCATAATACGTGCCTGAGGGAGCAATAGATGCAACTTTCATTTCGCCCACCACACACTTCACCCACACACTTCGCCAGGTCTGCAGTGCCCATCCCGAGCACAGCGCGTTGTTGTATCTGCCCTACGCAGAGTGGCTTCGAGAGCAAGATCAGTACGCTGAGGCAATCGACAGTTATCGAGAAGCCGGTAGGTGTGACATGAGTCTTGCTATGCTCGCTGATCTGGCGGACAATGCGGTCACCGAGAGACGGTATAGGGATGTCGCAACGTTGTACTACAATTATGGAAAAAACTAAGCGCCCACCTGCTTAGTTTCAGCCGAAAGCAGAGGATTTTGGGTAGATGCCATAGTTGAGCTGCTCTGCTATACGATTTTCGTTTTCATCTTCGCTCTAATTCACAATGGCCACCGAGGTACTTCTTTGGCGTGATCTGTCATCCGCACCTCCATCGAGCATAGCTCCAAGCGGTGCGGCAGCTGCCGGTGGAGGCGGAGGCCACGGAGAGGACTCCAGCAGTCGCTCAAGTTCCTCTACACCACCACCTGCACCAAACCCAGACGTCGCAGAGGCTTGTAGACGCAGCTATATTCGAAGAGCGGAGATTTACTACCTGTATTCACTAGTCTGGGAATTTTCAGAGGCTCCATTCACGACCATGCTGCCGGAAAATGTTTTCAATGTTTGTGTCGCGCTCACAAACTTGTTAATGGACGTCGAAGCGCAGAGACTAGTACCCGAAAAGCGACCACAAGATCTACATCTCGACGACGCGGACCTCAAACTGCTTGCAGGTTATAATGCTTTTTCGCAGGGGCCCTACCCAACGAGGAGTGACCTAGTACAAAGAAACTAAAAGTCTACAGTTTGTCATCTCAACATTTTCACATTCAACACAGATTTTCTACGTTCTCCTAGCTTTCCTCACTGATTCCCCCAGGTGGCAGCGCAGGCGCTACTGCGGCTGCCCGTGCTGCAAATCCTCAGCTGGCAGCAGGCAATAAGCGTTTGCTGCTTTCTGAAGTCCCGCAGCATGTGTCCCGCGTTCACCTGATGTTCGTGCTATCAAAGCAAGCACAAGTGTTATGCCCATTATAGCTCGCTAGTTTTGGACGAATGTACAACAAATGATGTACAACAAACATTTGGCAGTCGCAAGCACTAAATATGTACTCAATAAATGCCTCTAGCTCTATATCCAAGTCAAGAATAATTAAGTACTTGCTTCGTTGCGGTTGAGGTTTTTTACTCCACGCCCGAACTACATCTCTTTTCTAATCTCGCTGAAGGCGTACAAGCTGGCGCGGACGTGCTTTGACCAGCTTCATCTGATGCGTGTATCAAATCCTCACTGGCAGCAGCAGATTGACCTAGGCAGCCTCCTGATCCGGAGTAAGCCGTTTTCAGACTCAGAAGACGTGCAGACAGTCTGTTATCGATGCATGACCACGAACCCCATGCTCCGGGCAGGGGATGCTTGCATCAGCTGCGGACACCCATTCATTCGCTGCTATTTGAGTACAGATTTTATGTACAGGATGTTGGGTCAAAAGTAGATGTTTGATGTCAGTATTGCCCGCAAGAGAGTAAGATTCCTCGAGCTACAATGTAGATCTAGACTTTGTGTCAGAAGCTTGCAAGCATAGCGGGTCGTCACTCGTATGCTAAATTGAATTTCAATTTCTTTCTAGCTTATCACAAGTGATGTTCTCATGTGAAACCTACTACAACAGCGCTGGATGTGCTTCCTCTTGTGGAATTTGCGCCCGAACCATCGGTGTCGGTGGAGGAAGCTAGGCGATTGATTCAGCGGGGTGGGAAAGTAGGAAAGGGCGGCGAGCAAGGCGACGGCTGGCAAGAAGGGATCACAAGTGGTGGCGCGAACACGTTGCAGCTAGGTGGTGGACCTACCGGAGGCGATCAGCAGGACCTGTTTATATGAAAATCGTTGCAAAGAAATGTTCATTCTCAACAACGTATGATCTCATTCTGATTATCAGAGCACTACTTCAACAATAATCTCAGTAGTATTCCGCTCTAATTCGTGTACAGCGCATGTTGGAAGCAGGAAACGTCTTCGTACCAGGCGACCCGTACCAACCTTTGCACGTCGACCGAGATGTTTTGCAGGATGTCGCTTCAGAGGAGGTCTTTGTTGTCGACTTGAGCCATCAAGAGGCAGCTTCTTCTGCGGCTGGTAAACTTACGCAAGAGGACGCTATGCATAATAGCAAGTGGATTTTATAATTCAAGCTTTTCAGAAGAAGTGAAAGTGTGAGGTGGCATTTAGCTTTGCGCACTTTACAACATTATCTCAGTTCATTGAAGTTGTCCTGCTTATCGCAACTTCTTCTAATGTTTCTTTCGCTCCGGTCTCCCCGTCGTCGTCGAGCGATTCCATCGGGCCAAAGTTTTTCAAGAACGTAATTCCGGAGATGCCGATCAGCATGTGCCCGTCATGCGGACACTTCTTCCATTCGCAAGCGTGGGAGAAGGAAACCTTGGCCAAGGGGAAGTGTCCCTTCTGCGGTTTCTCGGTGGACAAATTACCGACGAAATTTCAACCCGGGCAAAACGAACGAATATTCCAATTCATAAGGAATACGCCAGCAGAAAACACAGGCGGGCCATTCTTGGAACCGGATTAAGGGAGAGAACACTTTCGCGGGTGTACTTAGCGCCCTAGCATAACAACTAGTTGTTTCACTTTGATGATCTTCTTTTTGCGTCGTTGGAAGTTCGTTCTCTTATTCTGGTATACGCATCCAATTTTCTATATCACAACTACATATCTGGTATTAAGATCGACATGTTGCGAGGCCCGTATTGTTGCCTTCACTTATACGTTTATGCTGAATACTCTCTTCTATTTAGATAAGCAATCATTGCATCAAGTGGGCCATCCATCGTATTATTTGGAAAGCAAGGGTACTGTTTCTGTGAAAAGTCTGAGGAAATATTCGCGCAAATTTACAAAATCGCTAGTCTTTTTCTTATCTTTGGTCTTCAGTGTAAAGTATAGAGTCTTTTTTGTTGGCAGGGAAGGCGCATGTGGCGCGGTACTCGATGGCAAGTCCTGCATCACCGCGTGCGTGAACGCATTCGTAATTGGTTTTTCAGAGTGAGACTCAAGTAAATCTCAAGTTCTACTGTAGTCCGTCCCAAGTTAAAGGCGAGAGCGACACTTTCTTTATGTGTTGGCTCCAGATCTAAACGGGGACCACAATAATTCGACATGTCTCTCTTGATTCCTGCTCCGCGGGAGACAACGCGGTTCTTGCAGGCTAGCCATGAGACATACAAAGAAATGCTGTAAAGATGAACTTGGACTATGTTGTTGACACTCGTCTGTCGAAGCAATTCCTCGTTCTGTGCAAATGTTATATGTTATATGTTTTAGGGCTGGACGGTACCGCCCTCCCCTGTGGTCTGATCTGTGGTGGCGCGCGCGCGCATTTCCGCGGATTCTAGTGGTGGAAGGCGTCCAAACTTGGCGCGGGCCTCCCCTTGGGCCTCTCAGCGGGTTCCGCAGGGGCCTCCTGGCCTCTGCTGACCCTCGCAGGCGGGAGGTCTCCGGGGTATAAGGCCGCCGAGGGCGGCCACGGTCGCAAGAGCAAGCAAGCCAATGACCAAGGGCCTGGAGGGAACAGGCTGCGCGGCTCAGGGGGTCCAGCCTCTCGCCTTTTGCCGCGTTCGGAGGCGTTCCATAGCCGCCGCACTGCTGCGGCGGCGAAGCATATCGGAGGCACTTAGTGCGCAGGCAGGCACCTGGAAGGGGGCGCAGGCGGTCCCTTGGGCCCCTTTTGAAGTCTCCCACCTACATCGGAGGCCTGTAGGCAGCAGCCAGGCAGCGGGAAGGGAGCGGAGGAGGTCGCCTGGCCTCCTCTTGCGGCCTTCCTCCTACGTCGGAGGCCTCTAGGGGAGAACCAAGCACCTGGAAGGGAGCAAAGGAGGCCACTTGGCCCCCTTTTGAGGCCTTCCACCCCCCGGCAGACGCCTCCAAAAGGGCTCCGGGGCTGCCGGTGCCCCCCCTAGCGTAGGGGGGGGTACCGGCAGCCCCAAGCCTTGGATTACATATTTATAATTATTTTCTTTACCTACATCCTTCGGCAAATGAAGTGGTGCTGTGCCAGATGTTGAATGGCGTCCCTAGTTGCCTCGATTCATTCTGGTGTTTGTTGAAAAAGATGCTCGTCTTGAAGTGATCGCACGAGATGTTTGTCTGCTGGAAAGAGCCACGCATCAAGTATCCATTCTGCATTTGCAAAACATCTGTCGAGATGCGAGATCTTTTCCTTTGAGGATATAACAACGAGTGAATGATAATAGATATTGATTTTTAAACGATTCAGCTACAGTGTCTGACTGACTTCAACTTCTGACACTTCTCTGTGTGAAGTGGAAAAGGAGATGATTTCGTCTGTGCAGCGAGAAAATAACCAACGTTCTCACGACCTTAATGGAGTCATCACGTGTGATATACTAGGTTCTGTTCCTCATCGAGAAAAATCGTGCCTTGGGATAGCTTCTCCGTGAAGCTACCTGCGTGTTGTGAGGGATAAAGTAAGTCTCCTTGGAGTGGGTATCTGTTCTAGTGAAGAGTTCTGAGTAATCACGTATTGAGTCGGTGTTTATCTGAGAGCTCAAAGTAAGCATTCGCCTGACCATGAATACATTCCCCACCACATGATTCACTGCAACCCATAATCTTGAGCAGGCACGACACTTGTGAAGAGTGCACCCCACATCCCCACGTGGATAGGTAACGAGTCGACTGTAAGGTATGAAGTTCGAGTAGCTGTATTAGTATTGTACATTTCAATTTCATAGTAATTCTACTGATACCAGCTACAAGAGTCAAATATCTTCCAGCCAGAAATGAATAACAAGTGATGAGTAGCTAGAAATACGTAGTTGAGACTTACCCAACGTGTAATGTTGAAATTTGTTGTCCAGATTTGATTTCATTCTAGAGTTGAAACATTGTCTAGCAGTTCGAATATTTTTATTGCTGGTTGTAGATTTTTCCATTTGCGGTCATGTATATTATTCGTTCCCCCATAACCTAAGCCTGAGCATTAGCTATGTTTGTAGAAGCTGTCACTTCAAAAATATTGTAGAGAAGTTTTGGACTAAAAAGTAGTAAGTACTATATCTATAGATAGAGCATTGGCGAGCAGTGGTTGTTTTCGTAATCTAAAATATTTTCGTACATTGATTTCTTATAATATATCTATGAATACTCTTTCAGCCAATGTGAAGGATCCCCAACCTAACCTAACCTCAATCAACTACATTCTGGATACATAGACCATACAGCGATCGTTTCCCGGGAGCCAAGAAGCTACCAAGATCTACAGAAGCTGTGTAGGAATAGAAATATTGGTTTTGATAATTTTAATTCCTCGAAAGTGATAATTGATTTCTCGACGTACTAGAATCATGTCGTTGTAGTTACCAGTTGACATGTTGGTGAGCGCTGAATACTTAAGCCGTTGTTCGCGGGGTGTGAGTCTTGTAGACCCTGTCTTGAAGTCTCCTAAGTTCACTTCATCGAACCGCTAGAGAATTGTTCGAACCACTATCTTGGGGCATCGATCATGTTTTGACCCTTTGTCAGTTAGCAGTCAATCGTATTTTTGAATCTTTTTCCGGGGACGGGGGAGTCTCTTGATTTGATATACCAAGTGAGGTTCGTGTAAGAATATGCGCCCAGCATACGGATGGTGGTGCAGTCCCTCGCTCGATTGTCCCTCCAGTCGATCTTCTAGTCTTTTATACTCAGCTCTAATATGCAGAAACTGTGTATAAACTAAAACTATAGGTAAAAAAGTCATCGCAATAGCAAGAACAAAGTATGCTCTTCGTAGAAAGCATACGTTCGTAAAAGAATTTGCATCGTTCGACTTCGATTTACATCGTCCGATGGGCCTCAACCTTAGTCGAGTAAAGATTGATATTCAGCATAGGACGTCATCGTATCGCCCTTTTGATATGTGATGAAAACACATCATTTCTTCAGTTTCCACCCTCTTAAAGTTCTCTAGGACCTTCGCACTGTCTTGATCTCGACACCAGCTTCAAGAAGTGCCTTGTCAGTATGAGTAAGATAGATTGTCCTGTAATAATATTCAACAGGAGGTTGTATCATGAACTATGAACTACTGAGAAAGAACAAGAAGAAATTGAAGTACCCAGAATTTGTTGAAATGCTGTTACTGATGAATAAAATGTCCATTAGATGTTTGTCGATCATAAATGTGAGTAAGTACTTGTTATGTGGTGCTGTTCACTTGCTGTTGTATTGAAATAGAATTCAGTTGTGTGTATTGATTGTGGATGTGTATATTCAATATTACTGTGGATAAGTTCATGGAGAGTTACAGATAAGGGTAAGTACAGTAGGCTTTCTTCAAAGTTTAACTTATATATTGAGTGATTGATCTATAAGTATAAATATAATTCATTGTAGTTAAAGATACAAGAAGATTTCAAATGAAGTTGTAGTGCTGTGTCACTTACCAAGGTGTGTTTCTTCATGAGCACGGTAATAAATACTATTCACACTAGATGAATTGAACTGCTAACTTAGAAGGATTGGATGAGCGAATCCTTTAAGTCATTCTCTGAGAGTTGTAGTCCGATTTGTTTCTGACAGGAGCAAAAACTGGATCACTTCTGTGGCGTGCCCGAGGGCCAATCAGGCGAACCCTTTTGCTGGACAGGATTACAATTGGACGCCAACAAGATCAACATACGAGGACAGCAGCAGATTGCTTACTAAGTGAGGCGCCAAAGGAGCAGCCTATCCGAGAGCTTCGGTTCTCGTCACTGCGTGGCCAGATCTTTAGTCAGTACCCGACGAGGAGGATCTGCTTCTCTATCTCCACTTCTGAGCTTAGTTTTTAGGGGGCCGGAGCCGTGAGTGCTGGTGACCGAAGAAACTGCAGAGGATTCGGAGCTCTATTGGGCGTTTTTGGAACGAATACGAGCAGCTTCGGGGAAGTCGATTACCAAAGCAACTTTTTCTGAACGACTCTAAAAATCCGAAAGTGTATGATCAAGCAGACAAAGTTTTGTCATCGGAAAGTCTATAAGTCATCGTCAAATATCAGAAGAAGAATAGAACTGGAGACAAACATCAGGAACATCAACAACCACTTTGGAAAATCCTGGTGCGAGTCTGGAAGTAGTTATTCTCCAGTACAACGAACTGGAGGTAGTGCCGGAGACGTTCTCTTCTAGGACTGAAGAAAATTATCGTCCTGGTCGTCATCAAGTACATTGGATAAAATCTCGGAATCTTTGCGCCTGCCTTCGAGGGAGTAGTACCAGCAGTTCAGAAAACAACGAGACCACCGTGACCATGTTTCCTCAACAAGGAGGTGGAGGGAAGTACCCGGGTGGAAGCAAGGGGAGTACACCACGACGGTTTGATGATCCTCCACCACCCTTTCCGGGCCGCGGAGCATTTCCGCCGCCAGTGCCGGACTCACCTGTAGAACGCGAGGTTCAACAGTGGATGAATGAAATGGCTGCAGGTACAAATATTTGAATCAATCATGTAGTTCACATTCATCAAGTGAGTAATTCAACATGGATGATGATGAATGTTAGAAGTAACTACTTTTGTATGAAAATATGTATCTTGACGGAGTTCCTAGGGTCTGGGTCTGGTCTCAACCTTGATTTGGCAGGTCAAACCGGAGACAAATAATTCGCTGCTCAACTACAACTAGTATCACACACTAATAAATAGGTATGGGACCTGGAGCGGGTTCGCTCCTTAGCGATCCGCAGTTTTTGAGCTCGCTCTTGCCTGCTCTTCGTGGCGCAGACAGTCTTTATCAAGGCGGCGCGGGTGGCATAGGGCTGGGACAGCAGCCTGGTGGAGTGAGTGCTGGACTTGCAGGTAGCTATACCGGTCTCGGGCAGACAGCGCAGCTGCTCGGGCCGTGGGCGGGCGGACTAGGCGTTCAGGGTGGGCTCTCGCAGAACCCGTTTGCACAACAGAGTCCACAGCCGGGGTCCGCAGAAGAGGCAGCAGCCCTAACGACCTTGCTGCACCGCCATCAGCTGCTGCAGCAAATGGGCAACGCAGTATCAGGTGGGGGACTAAGCAACAGCCCAAGTGGCCGCCTTTTGCACCAGAACAACGACTTCCAGAACATGCAGGATGGCGGAAAGCATCGAGGAGGCTTCGGTCCTATGCAGCAGGGAAAAGGTACTACAACTAACTCGTGCATTTTCTCGGGACCACAAGAAACCAGAAACACGACTTGTGGTAATGATATGGAACTAGTGGCATTGCAAGGACTAAGCAATCTTGCTGGTAGGAGACTCTTCACTATTGATAAATGTTGACTTTCCTGCTCTCAACCCCAATCATGACCTGGACTAACTATCTTTATCCTGCTCACCTTCAGGCGGCGGCATGAAGGGCCGCGGAAAGGGAAAGGGGGATGGCAAACAGCAAAAGGGGAAGGGCTTTCATGACCGACCCGAGTCACCAACGATGGGGGGTAGGGGCAAGGGCGGAGGTAAGCAGGAAGACAGAGGGAAATTTGGTGGCAATATGAACAAAGGCGGAGGTGTCGGCAAACCTATGGGTTCGCCTTCGTCAAAAGGAAGCAACAAGGGCTTTGTCTCACAGTACGGCGGTGGAAAGGGCGGCGGAAAGGATCAAGGAGGTGGTGGTTACCAAGGACAAGGAGGAAAAGGCATGTCGCTCGACAGCCTACCACCAAACTGCTCTCAAACGCTCTACGAATTCAGGATGCGAGGTGTCAAAAAAGAGCTCCACGAAATACTTCCTCACTTAGAAGAGTTCTGCAGGGATCAGTACGGTTCAAGACTAATCCAGCAAAAGCTACAGGTAAGGCAATTTATAGTTTTTGTTTTCATTTCTACAACTTGTCCGTGCATATGCTGGTATTAACGAGGCTGTTCACCATCGGTGTCGATCAGACAGTCTGGAGAATGTTGATGTAGTGACTTCGCACGAGAATGAAACACTGCATGATCATGGTTCCTAGGAAAGATGCAAAAATACATCGTCTCTGTACAATCAAAGCCTTCCACAAACAAACGAATCCAAGGTTGCAGCTGCGCACGAGAAAAGCGCGTTTTTTGGGGCCTTAAAGCAGCACGTGAAGGAGCTTGTCCTTGACCCTTTTGCCAACTACGTGGTGCAAAAATTCTTCGAAAGAGGCAACCGCGAACAGCGCGAAGGCCTTGCGGTGGAGTTGAAGGGGAAAGTCTTGGAGCTCTCATACCACGTCTTTGGATGTTGGGTGATGCAGAGGCTACTAGAGTGTTTAGACACAAACCCGGAACTCCAGCTCGAATTAGCGCACGAACTAGAGCCGGAACTGCTCAAACTTGTCGTCAATCAAAACGGTATTGATTTCGATTTCGATTAATTGGTCAATTTTTTCGATCACAATCGATCGATATGAAAGAATGATCCATCATCGAAACGTCCACAACCTCCAAGTATCTACGTGAGTGATACAAAGGACCATCGTCCGCACTACGTGAATGATACAACCTATCAAATATCGACGCGGCCTGACAATGAAAAGCACAAACTAACATCTGAGTTCGAATTTCTCCACCCACGCTATGCTACTAGGCAACCACGTGATACAAGCGGCTGTGGAGAATATGCCTCCTGAAAATACGCAATTTATTGTTCGGGCATTAGTCGGACACGCTGGGGAAATGGCCAGACACACCTACGGCTGTCGAGTACTCCAGCGCATAGTGGAGCGGTGTAGCCCTCAAGATGTGGAGCCAATAATGGCTGAAATTATACCAGACTTGGAAGAGCTAGTTCGGGACGAGTACTTTTTGATTATCTACTGATAATCGACCGATAATAAGATTTCAATTTCCGTTGCCCTGTAATAGTTGTATTGACTCCATCGATCTCTCTACTGATCTATCTTTAGATATCTTGTTTCGCATCTTTTCCCCCAACAATCACAATGCTGCTCATTCTGGCATTTAGGGGATGTAATAGTTCCCATCGCTTGCATTTTTCAAATCTTTGACTTTCAATTACCACATAAGGTACGGGAATTACGTCGTGCAGTCTGTAGCGGAGAGAACAAGCGTTCCTAATCGAGCAGCAGTTATAGATTTCGTTTCCGAAAACCTAGTGAAACTAGCGACAAACAAGTATGCGTCCAACGTTTGCGAGAAAGCGCTGATGTTTTCCGGCGATGCCGACGTGGAGCGCCTCACTGGTATTGTTCTTAACTTCCACTACGTCAAGGAGAAGTACTATGTGTAGTTCAAGATTGATTGTATTGGTTGGTGAGGCCCATGCATCTACATGCTAAAAAGCAACGAACACGTTCTTATTCTTCATACGCTTGCTCAATGTGCTTCTATAACACAACCACTTTTCAGAAATAATACTCGGCTCGGACGAAGACCCGGAACCACCAATATTGATGATGGTGAGGCATCGATATGCAAATTATTGCGTGCAAAAGATGCTAGAAAAAATCCAAGTTGATAGCCCATTTGTGGAAAGATGTGCGAAGAGGTATACAAACTTACAACATAGTTTGTAATGAATTAGCTTCTAAGAAGTACTAGTTTTTGTTCTAGTTTTTGTTAAGTCAATACTATATATAAGGAGAGAGTCTGTCAACTACAGCTTCACCTTACAGAGTCGATTGTGAGTATCTCGTTCTCGTTCTTGTAGGATCCATCTGCTAGTCGCTACCTCCTTTATTTTTTCCACCGCTTTCTCTTTTCTAATGAGCAAGGTTGGAAAATTCATATTTCATCACCTCCAGGTTACGGAATCATATACCACAAATCCGCACCTATGTGTACGGGCGTCACATCTTGCAGAGTCTCGCGCGCCTGAACATCATCAGACCGGAAGAGATCGAAGGGCCGCGTGTTCGACAGCCGAGAGGCGCGGAGCACGTGCGCGGACCTCAACGGACACCACGGTAGTTGGCGTAAACAACTTTGTGGTGGGTGGAGGAGGAAATACTGACCTCACGTGTCGGTAAAACAAGCAAAAAGGTTGATGTAATAGCGGGTGTCTATGAAGAGCACACCTTTTCAGTTCTATTCGTAAAATACGTCGATTTTCATTGTATTATTGGACGATTACTGCTATTCAATGGTCTAGCTCTTCCTGCTTTCCTCTCTTGTTTATGTTCGCTGACGCGACTAGGTGGTACTTACGAATCTACGGATCATAAAAATGAACTCTACCAAATGGCGTCATGGAAATGAACCCCGCAAAATTTGGCAATATTTTGAGAAGAACACATTCCAGCGAAGTGTCGTATTCTGATTGTTGTAGTCGTATTCTGTACACTTGATATGAGACCCCATTCCCGCAGTAGAGTCACACCGAGCTCCACCTCTTGCACTGATTTGATAGATCCATTTTTGCCAAACCCTAAACGTCAGAACCCCATTCTAGCAGTCGTCTCGCTTTTTTCCTATGATGAACTCGAAGAGCAGATCAAGCAAGAGCAATTAATACTGTTAACAAGATGGAATTGCAGTTGTAGATCTCGCGAAAAACAGACAGATTAAACTACAGACAAGTTATGCTTTAAATATAGTTACTTCTTTGCTTATATTAGACCACTTAAGCGCCCGGGGGCAGCTCTCCCTCTTCTAGAATCCTCCACCTCCCTCAAGCACTTTCTCCGCCAGGGCGCGCCTCCTCCGCTCCTCTTCAGCTTGGTCGTGGTGGTTTCCTCGCGGAGTTGATCTTCCGAAGAGGAGGCGGAGCAGAGGCGCCGCGGAATTTCAGAGAGGAAAGCGCAAAGCCAGACATTTGGAGACTTGAAATTTTTGAAATATCTTTTGTTTCGCATAAAATTTGTTTTGAATTGAAGTTCTGTTTCGTGCTTGAGGCTTCAGGTGTGAAGTGTGTGAGTATACAGCTGGTAGTAGCGCGCTCTAGGTTTGAAGTAGCGCGCTCTAGTGGTTCAGGCGTTCCTGCGTTCGTGCGTTGTGTTTGTTAGTTCGTAGGTCAATAAGAAAAGAGAGCGGAAAAATTTGCTACAGGGGTCGCGTGTCTTTGGTTCAGGGGTTTTGGGTTCGAGGATTTTTTGTGCAAGTGTTTGTGTCCAAGTGTTTTCGGTTCAAGAGCTTTGGTCCAAGTGTTTTTGGTTCAAGTGCTTTTGGTTCAGGTGTTTTTGGTTCAAGTGCTTGGAGGTTGGTGGGGTAATTGTTGAAGTTTTATTTAGCTCTTTGATACTCGTATACTACCTGCTACTGCTACTTACCGATACAACTTTCTTCTATATTCACTGTGAAACAATAAAACGACTAGTTGCTACGTGACCAAGAAAAAATGAGGTTCGTTGTAGAGGCCAATTACATCAAATGAATTTTCTTGTCAATAGAGGAGATTTACTTGTCAGTATAAGAGGAGCATGGTCCTCGGAATCGAATGCTGTCGTTACGTCAATCGCGACGCAGCTCGCTCAACTTTCGAATCTTGCACATCAGGATGACTCTAGTGAATTCAATTTTTGTCCCTGGTTTGATGAACAGTATAAACTCAATTTCTTTATTACGGCTAACTTCATAGATATCTCCTTCTTTCGTGGTTTATTCCAGTACACGGCCACACACTAGTATGTGAAAGAATGTGAAAGATACAGATCGTTGGTTTCTGCTCGTAGGTGATGCGACTGCTCGGGCCATTCTTTATAGGCCCTACGATTGGGCGGGCCATGTGAGCCGCATTATCTTCTTCCAAGAATCATTCTTCCTTTTCTACTGGCAAGTCTGGAGTAACTGTGATGTACTTATTTGCATGAACCTTTGTTCTATATATAATGAGAAGATGATCGTCGCATTATCCTTGGCGAATGTTAAATCGCTGCGATGAATCTTGAATGTACAAGGTGAGCTTACTAGATTATGCCGTTTTGATTGAAGAGGGTGGCCGCGTCGTCTGTCCATCGAGACCCACGAATTTAGCCATGCAGCCCCGAGTCGTCGCGTAAGTTTTCCTCGTAAAGAAACTGTGGAGGATGAAGGAAGGGGCTAGAAAATGAACATCATTCAAGGATACTTCTTTGTGCTATATAGTGGGAACGGATACGCGTCGTGAAGGACGAGACTAAGAACAACTCTCAGAATTGTTGTGCTTATTCTCACACGAGGTGGGCGTTTCATTTTCAAGGTAAGTACTTAAGTAGAAAAATCTCCCTCTAGTATGGTGCATTTATGACAATTACAGCTATTTACGGTTAGGCAGAGGCCAGGCGCGAACGTCTCGTCTATCGATTGTGGCCTGTCAAGTCATAGCGGCATTCCTACTATTGTGAACTTTAGTACTAGTGCGTACCCAGCGTTCTTTTACCATCGGGACTCCTTGTTTTCAGGATGCTCCTTCGAGGTCACCTTTAAGATGGGGGGTCTAACGACTCTAAAACGAAGAACATGGCCCCTCAGGAGTAGAATATGCTCATTGCAGGGAGGTCTAGTACCGTCCCAGGTCTTTCTGTTTGTCTGTCGAAACATTCTGCAGTAGCCTCTCCGGTTCAGTCTGGTCTCTTGCTGCGCCTCTGCGCCCAAAAAATGAATCTGAGTGAAACGCCAGAAAGAACAGAACAACAACTTGCGAACTTGATTTGTTGAAAAAGAATTCGTGATATTGGGCTCAACATGCTCATAAAACTTTCTAGAGTGTTCTTTGTGTTCCCATAAAAAAGATGTAGAATTTCATAAAGACAAAATACACTTACACCAGTGTGATGGAACGGTGAGCCTCCTGCTCTGTCGTTAATCAGCGAAAGCGCCTGGAATACTGCACGTCATTGGATGATTGAACACGAGTTTCGCGCACGCGTCAACTTTCAACCACATATTTTGAATTTGAATTGAGTCTGGACGTTCAACAGCAAGAACAGTCTCTGCACAAAGAATACTCTCTCACTCGAGACGACTGCAATGTCTACTACTGATTGAAATTATGTTGTCGTTCACGCTGCTCTTTATAATTGGCTAACGCTAGCCTCCCAGAGCAGAATGCTGTGATTTTACAGTTTGGGAAGTATTAGCAGCATGAGCATGCTTCTACTTCACTTGTTTTGTGACAATTATTGATTCCCTGAAACAGGCTGAGGAGTGAAACTATTCAGTGCCAAAAATTTTTTTTACAACTTAATAGTCAACGATACATAGAAGTAGACGATAAAGCGCGATTCATGTTTTGATGTTGTGACATCTCGTAGAAGCATAGCGATAATTATGACGGCGAACTCGTTTGATGCAGCGACATAGGAAGAGAAGGAAATCAACTTTTTTGATAGTGCTAACTTGGATTTGAAAGGAGCGAAGTCTTGCGGTTGAGGCGACACAAAGCAGAGAGACGACTCTGAAGAATACAATTTTTCTCTGTGGACGATAAGAAAAGGAGCGACCTACAACGACTGCAACTTCCTCATCAAGAAGAAGTAGTAGATCATCAAGCAAGTAAGTTGGGGCTAGGAGAAGTTTTTTTCTGTTTTCGATTTCTTCCTTTTTTCCTTTCGGAGGTTCTTTCCCAGCGGGAAGGAGCTACTCCACCACTCGAAGTACAAAAATCTCCGAACTTAAACGCAGGCGGACGGACAATATGGCCGTCATTCCTAAGAGGATAGAGAAGGAGACGCAGAAGCTCCAGACGGAGCTCCCCACTGGGGTAACCTGCAAGCCAACAGAGGAAAACTACCGGTAGTACTCCTGTTACGCAAGTATTATAACTGTTGTGCGTTGACTTTCAACAACGGTAGATTTTCGGAATGGAAATTGCGTCGTACACACGAGATGCTGATTCTTTTCATCCTTTCCCCTCTGTTTTTCTTACAACTGCCGCTTTCAAATTCGAAGCACAATCTACTCAAAATTCGAACCTTCTCCTCCCACATTAAGGTACTTCAAAATCACGATGGCGGGTCCGCAACAGACGCCATATGAGAATGGAACCTACGCTTTGGAGCTTTTTTTGCCAGAGCAATATCCGATGGAGCCTCCAAAGGTTCGTTTTTTGACAAAAATTTATCATCCGAATATCGACAAGTTGGGACGAATCTGTCTCGATATTCTCAAAGACAAATGGACGCCTGCATTGCAAATCCGAACCGTGCTCATATCAATCCAAGCATTATGAAGATTTCTCGTTGTTGTTTGCATTGACACTATCTACTATGAATAAAACTGTCCGAATAGTTTGTTCTTGTGCCTCTGGATGAGGTTGAATGTACAAGGTCTTTTACAGATACCACGACACCCATGTGGTGCTGGGAGAGTGGGTACCAAGATTTGTTCCTATGAAAAGCCTTTCGAGGTCTTACAACTTCAACTTCGACTTCCTTGAATATTAACAAAAATTTACGGTCCGAATATTGCCTTTCATTTTTGCTGCTCTCGGCGCCTAACGCAGACGATCCGCTAGACCCTACGGTAGCCAAGCACTTCAAGGAAAATGCGAAGGAGGCGCTCCAACTAGCACGAAATTGGAACGACATGTACGCGATGCAGGAGGAAGCTGCTTAGACGGAACAAAAAGCACTTCAACTACTACATAGGGGGGTCATGTGACGAGGATTTGGAAGTAGAAATGCAGCTCCTGCTTTATCCTGGTGTTGAGAGCACGATATTATGCTGTCCTTCATGAGGTAGTATCTAATCAAAAGAAGATCTCTGGGGAGGTGATTCTGAATTTACTTGGAATCAAGGACGACCGGTTTGCTTGTAGTTGAGTGGTTGTTCGTTCACCCGGCTGCCCTAGTTGTGAATACATAGATGACAATATTGAGGTGGAAAATGGTAACCACCCCCTCCGATTATCCCGCAAGGGACGTATTTTTTGACTCGGAGGAGTGATGTTGAGGATCGACGATGATCGGGATGAAGTCTTGTAAGGTTGTTGTGGTTGCTGTTGTATTTTCACATGGATGCCTCGCTCGTCGAGAATAGGATCTGTTGTATTTTCACACGGCACAATGAACAAGAAGCATAGGATTGATGTCGCACCCACCCGACATCCGTAGAATATACCTCAATCCACGAAACCTTTACCCCAAGCATTGCTATCACGAATTTTCAAGAAGCAAAAGTGGAAATGCTTCTGCACCACCTTCTAAAGGAGGAGACTTCATTTAACACGGCCATGCATACGGCCTTTTTTTGCTGGAAGGCCGCAGATGAAAATCTGTTTGATCTTGAAAGACTAAGGCGGGGGGACAAACCAGATACAGCAAATTGAAGCAGATACGTCCACCTCTACCTCTCTACTATCATACGAGATCCATCTTGATGCTCAAAGAAACCTTATTCTCTCTGTCAGGATAGACCTAATCGCAGGGAAGAGATCTGACTCCCTTCAGTTCATGATCTAATTGGAAGAGATCTCGCAAGATCATGGTTGAAGACAGAAAATGATGATCTAAACACGATCAGTAAAACAGCGTCCGCGCCACGGCAACATGAAGATCTTGGTAGATGTGGGCTTATGCTTGAATATGCCCTTTTGTGATTATTCATAGGTTGCTTTTTCGTCCAGGCGGTGAATGTTTTTGTTTCTGAGACGAACGACGAATGATACAAAAAAGGTGATGTTGTATGTTTGATTGGCGCTTTTGTGCAGGACATTCTTTCACTTTCGTGGGCTTCTTTTCTGACACTCTTATTTGGTAACTTCATCTCATTGACGGAAGTTCCAGTCTACTTGTAAGTAACCTTATTTTCCTTGTTTCCATCATCCGAGCAGTGAAAATGGCAAAGAAACCGAAGGCAAAGCGTACGACGACCGAGGTCATCAAGGCTGACGGTAAGCTGAAAAACAGCGAGAAGAAGAAGCTGAACCGTCAAGCCGCAGCACCTTTGTCGAAGCAGCTTTTGGCAGACAAGAGCTTTGGCCAGAACTTCTTGAAAAATCCTGGTAAGAAACACATTAAAAATTTTTATGAGTGGATCAATTGATGATACCCATTTAATTGTCTTGTTGGATACATACTAAATCAATTATGTATATGTTGACGATTTCTTTTCTTGTCAAACCCAAAGAACCAGACGCTTATACTATTTTTTTTCAAATGAAACAGGTATTTTGGACAAGATTATGACTGCTGCCGATATCCAGGGTCACGAGATTGCGTTTGAAATTGGTCCTGGTACAGGAAATTTGACTTCGCGCTTATTGAAGAGTTCGAAAACCGTGATCGCGCAAGAGATCGATCCACGCATGGTTGCCGCCGTTCAGAAACGAGCACAGGCGGAAGGCACCTCTGCCCGCCTGACGCTCCGGCAAGGTGACTGTCTCAAAGCGGACTGGCCTCCATTTCACGTTTTAGTGGCAAACTTGCCTTACCAGATTTCATCGCCGTTCACGTTTAAACTCTTGGCACACAATAAGGGCAAGTGGCGAACTGCAGTAGTCATGTTTCAAAAAGAATTCGCAGAGCGATTAGTCGCCCAACCAGGAGAGCACTTCTACGGCAGACTGGCACTCAACTGCAGACTGTTCGCTAAGGTGCTTATCGAATATCATGATACGCTATCTACTTGTTAGAGCTCGTAATCACTTGTCTAAGAAGAGCAATCGACGATCGACATAATATTCTTGTCGTGTTGGAGAAGTTTATCTTGTGGTGCTAAAGAAAAACTGACTTGTAAGATTGAAGCAAGCTCCCCCTCCTGGACAGTCCCTTATCAATCTCCCCCACAATCAATGTATTATCACACGCAGGTTCAGCGCGTTTGCAAGGTCGACCGCAACTCGTTCACGCCTCCACCAAAGGTAGATAGTATGGTGGTTAAGTTTACGCCTGTCGACAGCCCTATTGATGTCGATTTTAAGGAGTGGGATGGCCTCATGCGGGTAGTTTTTTCGCGAAAACGCAAAACTCTTGCTGCTTCCTTCCGAAATAAGTGCATCCTGAAAATCTTGAAGCAGAATTTTCTGACCCATTTCCAGAATGCACGGGGTGTCAGCATCTTTGCAAGTTCAGCGAAAATCGAAGACAGCGCGCGTGAGAAGCTCCGGACTGAATTGCTGCAGCGATACGAGACCACTGGGGCTGCTTCGACCACTACAGACATGAACAAGAATGGGACTAGCTCAGGTAATCAGCCAAGTTGCTCGACCCCATCTTCTCTCTTCGGCGGTGCAAACCAGAGCGCGAACTCAACATCTGGGGGATTACAACTTTCCCTCGGAGGTAGTGGCAGCGGTTTGCAACTCTCGCTTGGTACTAGGGGTAGCGGATCGTCTTCCAGTTCTTCGACTAGGTTTGCCATGAGCACTGGAGCCGAAGATGCGACGGAAGATGCCAGTACGTCACCAAAAGGCGACTCGGTCACCATGTCGAGCAGACGCAGCATCACTTTGCGACGGGATGGTGATGATGACCAGGAGGAGGATGAAAGAAGAAGTAAGGGACCAAAAAAACTGCGAGGACGAGAGCGGGAGAAGAGACGAGAGCAGCGACACGACGACTCTACGGACGATGACGCGCCGGCGTGGAAGCAGAAGATAAAAAAGCCAAAGCGTGGAAATCCACTAGCAGGCAAAAGCATGGTGCAACAGATGTTTGCACAGCGTGCATCAACCAGTACGAGATTGGATGACGGCGCACTTTCTATGATGACAGACGACGTTAGCCCAACCCCAAGTAACAATGATGCTTCGACACCTGCGACAACTGCTAGTACAGTTAGCGCGACAGCCAGCCTGCGGTCAGAAACTGATTTCAACAAAATTTTTCTCGCTTATTGCGTGTCCATCCTAGAAGAAGTAGACGTCGCACAAAAGCGTGCCATTAGCATGGACCTCAACGAATTCCTAAAGCTGCTCCTTGCTTTCAACAGAAGAGGGATACACTTTTCGAACGTGACTGATGGCGCACCAGGTATTCCAGACGAAGACTGCGAAATGGGCGATGATGATTCAGACAACGACCTGTAGTCATGCTATTGATGTCCTAATCACGAGAGTCTTCGTTTATGAATACGCCCCCAATTGCAATTCCTGTAACTCTCTTGTGAATCAGTGCAATTAACGAATAAAGTAGAACGTACCATAGATGATCACAGCAAACAAGTCGTGTTGTTGACGCCTGACGGCATTATCTCTGCATTAAATCCGGTAAGTGTTCGATCAAAATTTTGTGAGCGTTCTGTATGAGAGCCGCTTCTTGCATGACGGGGTGAATCCTTTTTATTGAAGCTCTTCATTTTATCAACGAGCGGAAAACAACGAACTGTTGGGGAGAGACGCAACTCACACCGACTATGTTCTCTACAATGCAGTGAAACAGAATCTGTATTCGCCCAAACCCGGTCCTCTTTGAAGCCACAGCATTTAATGCTGGTGCTCTTTTCGATGCTATGCATTATTTTCTCTAATGTTAAAAGAAGAAGAACGGCACGACTCAATCAACGTTCGAAGGTGATGCTTATGCCTTTGTATTGTTGAGATTCAGTTGCGTTTTTCGATAGATATCAACGTTTTTGTTTCCTGTAAAGCTTATTGGATAGATTCAAAGTGATATTACATTGCAGCAAACCAGTGCTGGCTACTTCTTAGATAATCGAAGCCAATCTATTCACCCGGTCATGGCCAGTAGTTGCTCCTCGGCACCCGCGGGTGCCGAAAAACTGCGTGTGCTGTGCTTGCATGGTTTTCGAACAAATGCCGATATACTGGAGACGCAGCTGGAATTTTCCGTTCTAGGAAGTCCACAAGTCAAGGAGTTTGTGGATTTTCATTGCCTCAATGCTCCGCACAGATGTGAGAATATCCTGAAAGTGCCTGCGGCGGTTAGGGCTGCCTTCGGCTCGCAGAAGAACGTGGGTTATCGGGAGTGGTGGAACCGAGACGGCGAGACTGGAACTTTGCGAGGCAAGGAAGCAACTTTTAAGTATCTACGGCAGCACCTGGAAGCAAAGCGTAGAGAAATGCGTAGAAAGAGTGCTTCCCTAGAGGATTTCTACGACGGCATTCTGGGATTCAGCCAGGGAGGAGCAGTCTCTGCACTCTTTTTGCAGGATTTGTGGGAAGAGGGAGTAGCAGAAAGTGCGAGTTCATCTTCGCATGGTAATGCAAAATCGCTTCAAGAAAGGGGTCAAGGTAATTACACAGAGTCGTCACGTAGTAGTGTAAGTGTTTATACCGATGAAAATATGCCAGGCTCGTTTGAGCACGAAAGCGTAATGACAACTACTCCGATGTCGACCAGGGCATCTACGGGTGCAGACTCTCAGGAGAAGAGTGTAGATATATCGAGTGGCCAGGATGAATTTTCGAGTGCGACGACATCGATAGGATCCTCATCCGCTGCCTCATCCGCAAGCTCTTCCTCTTTAGCTGCCGACACCAGCGAAGATCTTGCTACGGCGAAAAAGACGATTACAAATACGGAAGAGGACTCGCGTGGTGCAACCTCCCCCGGTCCGTTTAGTCCTTCCGACAGGAGAAAGGATAACACTTCTACTGCGAAGACGACCGATGCAGTGGCAGGTGGTAGCACAGGTATAGATCAGAAGGATGAGTGCAAGGCCTGCAGACAATTACAAGAAAAGCTACCGCAGGAGCAGCGTGCAAAGCTATTAGAGCAGGAAGTAAAGGGTTGGGGCATGGCGCCTCGAGCGAACATACCGAAGTTCGCAGTCTTTCTTTCGACTTTCGCGCCGCAGGGTTTTCAGAAGACGGCGCCAGATCAGGCTTCTTCGCCTGAATATTACTACACCCCCGGTCCTCCGTCGGAAGCGGAGTCACCGCCTAGAGAAGATACCAGTTCTTTGAATTTTAGTAATGGAGTAATGCACACCAGCGGCTCTGCTCGACGAAGTGTATCTTCATCCTCCGAATCATCCTCCGAGCGCGAAGCGAACAGCAATGTGACAACTAATGGCACAATCGGAAAAACAACAAATATGCAAGAAGCTGGTCCCCCTGCTGTTCCTGGTTCTTCCAGCGTACCTGAGCACCATCATCAGCTAGAAGTTAATAAGCACTTTTTGACGACAATGCCGGCGCTTTTTATGGGTCAGGGAGATGATAATGATATCCCGCTATCCTGGACGCGGTTGCTGGCGCACTGTTTTCAACGTGGGACGATGGTGAGTAATCCGCAAGGGGGACACAAAATAGCAGCAAAGCACCAAATGCCGCAAGAAAATGTCGACGCCGTAGTGGATTTTTTTCGCAAAAGATGGCATGAGAAATTCGATAAGGGAATGAATAAGACGGGCGCTAAAACCTCCGATGCGCCAAATAAACTGTAAAGAAAGAAAAGCGGTCGGACGGTAAGAACACTTTTTTTCAACTTCATACGAAAACGAAATCGATACGATAATATCCGCGTATCTAGATCTACTTTGAAGACATTTGCGTACAAAGATTAGGTATGCAACGCGGTACTTCCTACTGCTTTCTATGGTCATGGTATTTCTATGCTAAAATCAATATGATGATTTGACCTTGTTCTTCTATGGCAGTAAGTGCTCACTCACTTTGGGAATCAAGACTGAGCGTTATATGTCCTCTTGCCACGTTTATACCAGAGTCTAACACGTCTTTCTCTTGAAGTTGGCGCGATGAGTCTTTCTCTCGTTTACGTTTTCTTTTTTTTCATTCGATAATGTTAATGTGATGATCGATGAGACGAAGAACAATGCTGCGATGTTTTCTTTAGACACGAAAATCGAGGATATTTCTTCGAATCAATTAAAGAACATGTCGCCTTCATGGCCACTGCTTTTTTTTGAGATGGTGTTCCAGGCTCAATGACTTGTTAATTCACTATCTATCCCGCCGTCATCCAGCGAAAGTGAGTCGGTCTTTTTTGAGAGAAATATGATAAAAGCGGCATGAAGCCGTGCGTTTGTCTATTTTAGCGAGAGAAAAGACCGAAGTTTGTGCAAAAAAATACTTTTCATTTTTTCAAAAAGAGGTGCTTGAAACGTCGGCATCTTGCTCATCGGCAAAACGCCTTGCTAGATAGACTTTTTGCGAAAAACGTCGTCTTTTTTCTGACCACACGTTTCTACTACCTGTTGATGTGCATTCAGTGGGTTTTTCAAAGTTTTCTTTCCCCCCAATCTTTAACATCCCAACGAATAATCTACAACTTCTCAATGATTCCCTGGTAACGAACGATTACAACTATAACATGCTTTATCTATAATTTTACATACTTACTTTATTGCAACTATTGTTACTGAAAAAGTAAAGAGCCGATTGGATCCGCGAATTTTCCAAGATGAGAGGCGGCGCGACGGACTACAAGGGGCAGGATGAGTACGCCGTTACTCTTCAAAACCTGCTTGCTACGGAAGCGGCAGAGAAGGAGATGTCGCAGGGAGAGCTCTTCAAGTATCTTGATTCAAGTAGTTCTAGTTTTTTAGGAGCACTACTGCAACTACAACTTCAACTACTACAAGTTTTTGATCTATCATCAATCTCGTTTCAGATTTTCAAAGAAAGGGACAAGTGGATCGTCTACTCGTTTAGTATTGCTTTTCTGATCGGTCTTGGTCTTTTTGATATAACTCAGGTGGAAGAAAGCGGTCGATGGTCATCGGCGGCAGCTCGTGTCACTTGTGCAGGATGGCACAGATCGGCACGGAGAGTCGGTTTGGTCTCGGCTCCAAGATGAAGTCCGAAAATTCGAGGAAGGTCTGCGAAAGCTACAAACAAAAGGTGCGGATATGGATGAAGGTATTATGAGAGGATACATAGGGTTTTCAATTTCAAAGAAAAAGAAGGTGTTGGACTTTTTTCTGCGAATATCTGAACGATCATAATGACACTCTTGCAAAAGAAAAAGTACTGATGTAGTTGTTTCCTCTTGCTTCGGCTTAATAAGTGTATGAGATTTCTGATGCACCGCAGGTGGCTCTCCCCGGCGTACCTACGATGTACTACGTGCGTCCCTGAACGAGACACAGCGGCGATGCGAGAGCCTCAATGCCGACCTGGCGTCCCAGCAAGAGGCGAACGCACAGCTGGTTTCGTCTTTGAATACCTGCAAAAACAACAATAAAGACCTCTTAGAGCAAATCCAACAGCAGACAGCAGACATCACGAGGATCACACAGGAGAGGATAGCGGACGAGCAGAAGCTCGACTTGATGCAACGACACCATCGGCAGGAAGAGCAGTCATGGAAAGCAGACGGCTTTCGAAGACTGCACGTGTTGAGAGACCAGGGGGATGAGAGGTTTCTTTTTCACTACTTCAGAAGCACGCTTTTCCATTAGTTTGTTCCTTCGTCATACATACCTACGATTAAGAAGTTGATCTTGTTCTTGTTGCTTTGCGGGTTTATATTCAAGCGCTAGTGGGTGTGGGGGCAATTGCATTGATCCTCGTAAGAGGAAGAACTTATGTGTAATGGATGCGACTCTGTTTTCCCAACATCAGGCACGCATGCACGCAGAACCATTTGACTTCAAAGTTGAAGTTTGTGCAAGCGCGGGCTGCAATACTGCGAGAGGAGACGGAGGGTCTTCGACAGCAGATGACAGACCAGAGAACACAGCTGGTTGGCATGACTGAGCAAATGTCGGGATCCTATCAGGCAGTAAATTCGCGCGTACTGCAAGAGATGGAGACAAAAGACAAGCACCACAGAGCCTCAAGAGACAAGCTCAAGGAGAAGATAAAAGACCTGGAGCTAAAGCTTATGGAGGTATACGAGATTAAGCGTTGTTTTCGAAGATAAATCAGTAGCGATTGTGATAATGCCTCTTCACTTTCTTTTTGCGTCAATAAATGGGGAATTTTCCGTATCGATGCACGTATTATTTTCGCAGAAGAATATGTTGATATCAAAGTCAACTCCACTTTCTGCAGGAGCACGAGTTTCATGGACACGAGGTGTCCTCATGGTCGCACCGGTATGTAGGAGTGCAAGCGGAAAAGGAGGATATTCAGGCTCGAATGGATCGAGAACTATCAATGTTGACTGCGCAGAAGCATGGCCTTGACAGAACTGTCAAAGCGGAACTGGCACTGTATGAGCAGGAGCTAAAGAAACTCAAAGGCACAATCCAGGATTGCCACGGCGCAAAGGGCGATTTAGAAAAAGTGCCACTGTTGAATACTTTGACTTTTCTTTCTAATAGTCAGCTCTTCTTTCATCCAAAATATCAGCTGTTCCTTTAACTTTTCTTATCTGCCGCGAGATGTACGATCATCGACTGAAGTGGCGGAAGTGCTATTTGGTTTTCTCGTTTTCAAAGATGGCTCTTATACTAGTACTGTCATTCATTGAGCAAGAGTCTCAACATTTTTGCTACAGCAACTGGACGATGCGAAGCGAGAAGTTTTCAGGCTTCAAAGTGTCTACGGTAGCGTGGAGACTGAGGCTCAGTGCAAGGAAACCGTCGTTGCTGATCTCAGGAAGCAGCTTCGAGAAGCTGACGACGCGCTCTCAGCCGCCGTTGCAGGTAATGAGCACCTCAAGTGCCAAATGGAGGAACAGAGACTGCGCTTCCAGGATATGAACGAGGTTGAGCTTGCACGACTGAGGAATAGCTACGAAGAAAAAGTGCAGAAGCTGGGGGAGCAACAACAAAATGAAACGCAACTGCTGGAGTTTCAGATCAAGTCCCTAGACGAGGTGTTGTCGGAGAAGGACCAGCAGAGGGAACGACTGGTGAGGATGATGGAAGGTCTGCAGAGCGAATGTGGAGCACTAGAAAGAGACGTGGCGGTTATGAAAGCGACCTTCGACCAAGATGTGCGAAACCGACACGACCTAGAGCGCGAATACGCACAGTGCAGACAAGAATGGTAAACGAACAGTTCTTCGTGTAGCATTATTTCCATCCATCCATCCATCATGGAATGAATGTGTGAGAAAACAAAAACTAAAACATTCTTTTACTCCAGTCTGCGTTTAGATGAATCTGGAGTGAACTGCATTCCATTCGTTGCATTGGGAAATAGTAAAAAATTATTCTTCAGGGCAAGACAAAAACTGACGGTTATCGAGACAACGGAGACGAATAGTTCGAAGAAAGCGACGCTGGAAACAGAATTGAAATTTTTGACCGATAGTTATGTCGATTACAAGCGCCAGGCTGCAAGCAAAGAGACAGAACTGCAAGGTACTACTTGTTAAAGAACTACAAATGTCAATATTATGTACGCCTTTTTTTAGAACCTCACCCATCAAGCCGATAACTGATGATGAAATTTTTCTCACAAAAAGTAGGTATTCTTAATAACTTTAACTCTGCACCATACAAATTTTACAGGTCGTATCAATTCCTTCGAAGACGTTCTCAAGACGACCCGGGCGCATCAAGTTGAAGCAGAGGCCTCATTACGGGAGGTTTTGGATGTCATCGCAAAGACGAAGCAAGACGCCAGCATGCAATTGCAAATATCAACAGAGACTTGCGCGCAACTTGAGCGTGACCTTGAACAGAAGAAGCTCGAGTGGGAAGAAGAACGAAGAAGGCTTGACGTCTGTCTCGAAAACGAGCGCAGGGATGCTGCAGATAGCAGAGAAAAGTACTTTTCCTATTCGAGGAGAAGATTTGATAAGGTCGTGATTAAGAAGTGACTGCAAGTAAAAATACCTCGTTGTTCCCGTGCAGTAGGCAACGTTGTAAGCTTTGATGAATACTAGAAGAAATGTTTCAATGTGTATGCAGTGATTGTGCTTGTTATCCATAGGTATGAGAAGTGGCGCGAGCAGCACGCGGTCGCCTTACGACAGGTCTCAGAGGAAAGCAGCAGCAAAATTCAAGCGCTGGAAGACGACAAGAACAAAAAGCATGAAGATTTTGACGGTCGGGAAAAACAGCTCCAGGTCGAGATTCAACAGAATAACGCGAAGACAGATCATCTGAAACAGGAAGCTGCGCGGTTGCGACACACGGTTCAGGATAGTAACAACCGCTTCACACAGCTCAAGCATGAGGTTGAGCGGGAGGAGCGGGAAATGAACTTTCAACATCAGCAGTACTACGAAGAGTTGAAGCAGCTCGCTGCCCAGGTAGAGGAGAGCAAGCGAAATGAGTCGACTATTATGAAGCATCTGGATTCAACGGCACTTAGAAACGAACTCGAAAACAAGCGATTATACAAAGAGCTCGAGGAGACGAGAGGTACTACAATATTTTGATGAAGTTGTTTATTGGGGCCGTTCATCTATACCAGAAATCCATGATAATTAAGGTTCCAAATTGATACAGAACAAGATTAAAAACCCAAAACTATGTAGCAGGTGGAACTATTGTTCCTACTGTCGATTCAAAAAATTTTCAGAAATCGGCGGCAACACGCTTCGCGATGCAGAAGGTAAGCTGAACAAATTCAAGGGTACCTATGCGGAGACTCTAGAGGGCACGTCGCAGAAATACTCTCACGAGTTGACAAAGGAACAACAACGACTGGAAACCGTTGCGCGCGAAAACGAGCAGCTAAAAACCTTTCTCCGTGAGGATATGGGAATCGCTGCTCCCTAAGTTGACATGTTGTACTTGTCAATACTTAGCTTTAGATAGTGCATTCCACTACTTAAATACAAATTTTCCCTACTTCTGATGGTTTAAACTTTCTCTGCGTTTTGTCAAGGGGCAGCTGCAGGAAGAGGACCACAAATCTAAATCAATTGATTCTCTTATGCACTGAATGAGGCTAATGCTTTCATCGGACAATGAGAGAGAAAACCGATAAAGTTGAATTTGACTGCGATTGCGAAGAAAAATAAATGTGACTTCACTAGACTTTCCATTTTCACTTTATAACTTCATTTATCCATCAATCATTATTCTCTTATTAGACAACAGCACGTGTTGTTGCTGCCGCTGCCGGATTTTTTTTTCAACATTACCTGTACCATTTTATCCGGAGGAGCAGCAACTCGTCGGTGCTTTCGACTTTCTAATAGTTAGATAGATCAGATGCCGCTTGATGGCGTCTGTTTCGTTCATTTTTTTCAGCCAACGAACGCATGTACAAAGCATACTTGGTTTAGAACTAGATGAAGAAGGACAAATAACACGGGTAATTGCGGTACACACGCACCAGCACGGGAGAGGGTACTACATGCAGGAACAGGATTACGCCACGGAAAAAATTAATACGCGCAAGAAAGAGAATCTAAATGAATCCCGATGGTGATATGCCGGTCAATCATGACTAGTACGACGCCCTCAAGACGAGGGCACTGGTGTTAACAATTTTCAAAACTTACTGTGAATGATACCGGCATCTCTTAATGCCAATTGTTTTTCAAGGAGTCTTTTCACTACAGAAATCTGGAGCAAAAAGTAAGTGGCCGAAAACTCCTTCGATGGTAAAGCGGATTCGAGTTGAGGGAGATACCAGAGCAAATGTCTATTGATCATCAAGGCACTATGCTTCAAAAAAACAACCGCCTAGTACATTAGTAATCTAGAAGTACAAATGTTTCTATTTTCTACTTTTCAATAACTCGTCGTCAATATCGACAGGAACTAATCAAGAATTCTCAGCACGACGGAGCACTACGCACTAGTACAACAACATATTACGACAACTTACTTCTACCAGTTTTACGCAATGGGGAACCAAATCTGGGTAATGGAGAAGGAGCTCGTCTTCGATGGCAAGTTCCATACAGTGGGCACACCTCGAGACTTCCTCGATATCGCCGTTATTCTTAAGAAAGGATCGCTTCGTACTATCCTGTGTTCGATATTTTGCAAATTGATAATTCATCCCTGCTCATCCAAGAACAGGAAAAAACCATGTGACTCAGGGGGACTCAACAAGGTCGAGAAGCGTAGCGTGACATTGACTTGTTGGATGAGGACATAGTGAAAACAAAGTACTACTTCTAAATTTCGCGATTCCTTTATGTATCTTCTTCCGGATGTGAACACAGGCGCACATCGTATCGAGAACCTGCCACCGGGCGGCTATGTTTACCAGCCCGCTCCAACCGACCAGGTTGTGAACGAACCAGGAAGTGCGCAGGTGGTTGGTATGATCTAATTACTTCATGTTTCTCTTTGTGGTTATAAGTGATTAATTTTTGTTGTGATTGAGATAACTCCTATCGCAAAAAATGAGATAGTCGCCCTTGTTGTACTAAAAGAAAGAGCTTTGCTGTATCCTTCGTTTTTCTGCGATTCCTTTTAGACTGGCGAAGCGTAACTCTAACATGAGTGCTCCATCATCCGGTGCTGAATCAGGCGGAGCGGAGAGTAATGCGAGGATCGAGTTCGAGCCAACAACAGGAGATGGTGAAGCATGGCGTCCTCTTGACTCATTTCAGATAGTCGCACAAAAAGGTGGCTATCCTCTGTACCAAATTGTCGATGTGGCAGTCACAGATACGGGATTCCGGTATCGTACAGTTATATGCCGCCAGTTAGTTGATCACGACGAGACCAGTGGCGAGGATCCTTTAGTGCACACACGTTTTCTTCTCGAATACTCGACTGATTACAGTTGCGAGTACCTCGGGGAAACAAATTATGAAAGTGTCTGTTGTGTAGTAGCTAGTTGTAATGGTAGTTGTGTACTTCTTTCGATGTTTAGTAGGAAGTAGGTAAGCGCTATCAAGGGCCTAACGTCGTTTGTCTTAGGACGAATAGCGTAAGTAATTTAGTACCATCACCCTCATTACAACCCGCTGATGGCGATCAGCCGCGCACTCTAAGTCTCTCAGACGCGAACCCATCGACGGGTTTTCAACTTTCGCCAGAGTGCGGAGACCGGCGTTGGCAAATGGTTTCCTATCTATCACCAAATGAAATACGCGCTCATTGTTGAAGAAAACATCAAGTGGAAGCAGCTCTGTGAACTCCTCGCAAAAAAGAAGCGAAGCCGGGTCGAGGGAGAAAATTTATGTACTCTGAGAGTCCTTAACCTTATAGATACCTGGGAGGCACTTAATACCCAGGCAGTAGATGATGTAGTAACACGAATGTAGTTTTATTCGTTGCTCTAATCCCAACAGCGGTAGACACTAGTGCCGGAGGCACGGGAGCTGGGAGCACGCAGCCACTGTCGGAGTCTGGTCTTTCCGCGCCGCCGCCAATAGTGCTGCCAGCGGGCGTCACTATTCAGCAAGAAATGGCGTCGTTGGGCGGCGAAAATGAGGAACGGGGTCAGTTGATTCGAATCTAACGAGGGGAAAAAGTCGGGATATTAGTGCTGATTCTGAAAAGTTATTGTACCTTTGCCAGGGCATTTCAGTGAGCGCTGTTTGAGACATTCTGGTGCATTTCTTGCCAAAGGGCAAGCAAACGCTTCTGTGATCTGAAGAACATCTCAATTTTGCCTATTTCGTGAAGTGGTCGAGCACTTGCGTGCTGTATGCTCTCTAAGCACAGGTTGTTGACGGCTGAGTATGCCTTGGCGGCATAACCATAGATTAGCATACTTTCCCCTCTGGGCGCATGGATGTAAAGCAGTTGATTGTTGTCGTGAGTATTGTTTTTTCATTGTCTAATTCCTACTATCTGTTTTGGTTTTCTCGGAATCAATTCCCAGAATAGCTATCGTCGATCCACGACTCTGTCAGAAAACGCAAAGGCCAGTCGTAGTGCATTGTTTTGGAAGTGGTACTGTTGTAGAAGGTAGAGCAGTGAAAGTTGTTTCCTTTTCTGCGATCTCGCTGCATGGCATGCTGACATGTACACTCGGCGTCTTCTGCGATCATTCACTGAAGCCGGCTTGAGGAAGGCCTAAGGCGATGCTGATCGTGGGTCAGGTGATTGTAGCCTCACTTTCGTGTGGTGCTCGCGTGGTCTGTCTGAGGTGTTGGATTTTTTAAAAGTCACCGTAATAGACCACACTAAGCCGGCCCAAATGTGATAAATAGACCATACTAAGCCTGCCCAAGCTTGCGGCTATCTTAGACCCTGCCCGTCTGTCCTATGAATGTGATGCCGCCGAGGTAACACCTACCAAGCCCGCACGAGAGAAGCAAGAGGATGGACATCATGCAGCTCGTTTTGCGTCTGTCTTGTGTTGTGCTTGTTCTGTCTTGGTCGTTCTTCGTTCTTGTGCTTACCTGTAAGTAGTTAGCTAGGTAGGACGCTGACGCTTCGGCACTCGATCAGCAGCCTCCGGATTTCCGTGGGGATAAGGATCAAGGTTCGCAATGGATCACAGTCACGCCCGTGGCTGTTTTAATATGTACAGCGGTCCCATATATTATAAATTGCCAATCAAGATCTGGCGTGGCGCAACAGATCATATGGCGTTCCGGCTGCTGTGGTTTTGGTTGTGTTAATGCTGTAGCTAATGCATCTTTGACTGCATCCTTGAAACGTATAAGGGAGTATTACAAGGGAATGCCCCCTCCTACTTTTCAATGATGCCCTTGAAAGATGAATTTCGGACAGTTCTAATAGAAATAGTGAGCACAGGTTTGTCATTTTCCCTTCTTGATTTGAAGGGGTGTTTGTGTATGCGGTGCTATTCGCTGCTGGCTTGGGATCCACACAAGATGCCGACTATGTGTGAAGCACTGCTACCGGAATCCTGGTTGGGATTCGATCAAGAAAAGCGTGCGGAAGTACTCAAGCGTGACCCAGTTGTATCACCACTAGGCGGTCCATGCATGGACCTTCTCTCCGAGTGCACTAAGAAGGCAAGCATCCTTGAAGCTAAGCACTTTCCTCTTACACAACTGCGTCTGGAAATCGTTGCTCCCAAAGTCGTTGATGTGTTGAATACGTTTTCCGAAATTGAAGTGCTTCCGCGGGAAATTTGTCCGATCTTGCGCCGGTTTCCGGTAGAGTATTTCGATCACGGCCCTGAGGCTATCAAGATCGAGCTTGTCCGAGGGTACCTATCGGTCAAGGCCGAGGAAAATGACGCATATGGAATGTCCGATCAGGCAAGCGCTGGCGTGCAAGAACGCTCTGTCGTTTATCGTGTTGCAGGAACGACAAGCGGGGACGCGGGTGCTCATGTTTTCTCAGGAACTATGTCATTTCTGTCATCGGCGGATCAGGAAAGGACGCCCGCGGCTGGATTAGCAGCCGCCGCGTCACGACGCACCAGCGAATTATTGGGCGGCGTGCCGATGGCGGCAGCCACGACCGATGTCGAAGGCGCTCCCAGACTTAGAACATCACCGACTGGGGACACCATCGGACGAATGCTTGCGCATGTAGGTCTGTTTTTGCAGAAGACTGCCCAAGCATTCGCTGACAAGGCTCAAGCGCCAGAGCTGCGTGCGATCCTACGGAAATTTAGAGAGAATATCGAGTTGCGCATGGAGTGCTGGGAAATGTGGCACCAAGTGTGCCTGGCCGATGACTATGTCAGGGCAGGTAGCCTAACGCCATCATATTCAGGGGAAAGATCATACTATTTGCGTCACCGATATCTGGCGGAACGTACATCTTCAGCCGGAGTGGATTACGTTCTGTTGTTGACACGACTTGGACTGCTGATGATGCAGTTGGTGGCTGTCAAGCTGATTTGGAACCAGCACAGCTTGCTTCTCAGCGAGAAGCGGATGCTATGAAACACGCCCGCAAGCTGCTGGGGGGCCCCAGGTACTCGACGCTCCACAGCTGGGCATTTCGTGATGAGGGTGAAGCACAGCCCCACGAGTACATGACGCTTCTCTGGGATTCCACTGTGAAATTGCAAGTCTCCACAGCACCAAACGAAGTTGGCACGATCGCGCAGGGCCACGTGGTATTCAAGACCTCCTTACCTGGCGCTCGGGTTCACGAAGCAGACAGTCAGCGTCCAGCCATTCGTTTAGCAGATCGGAATACCGAGACGCCTTTCGCCACTCAGTCGAATGATCTCAGTAGACAGAAGAGAACGAGCCGAATGCGCTTGTTGAACCGCGGTCGCAAGCTGTGGCTTCGCGTCCAACGTCCGCATGTGCGTGCCAGGTATGACAACGAGAAGAAGGGCTGGCGGACGAGGTCTACCGTGAGGCGATTTATGATTCTCTGGAAACAAGCGTGAGAAGGAGAAACAAAGATCGTCTTCAGAATTCGCAGCATGAACAACGCCGTCCAATTTTTTCTGTGCTGAGAGGAACAACGACCAGTGGCTGCGGGAGCGGACGGCGGTGCCCATCTCCGTCCTCGAGCGCATGGAGCCGGTGAGAAAAGCTCTGATCTGCGCACTTCTGCGCTTCCAGGCGTTTCTTCACTGCGTTTCGTAGACTGTGTTTCTAAGGTTGCATTGTTGACCGAATATGCGGAGGGAGTGACGCTACAAAAATGGATGCTCTCCTCCCAGTGGGACAACTTGACGTGCACTGTTGCGAAGAACTTGAACGACCTCTTCTCTTTGTGGTTGCATCACGCACTCCATGATCCAAGCCACACGTTTTTCCATGGCGATCCACACGCAGATAATATCAAGGTCCATGTTGGAGATGGGCTCTCGTCCTCGGCGTCTTCGACTACAAGTCCTGAAAGTGCTACTACCAACGCAGCTGCTTCATCCTCTGGCAGCGCTTCTTCGGGTCGCGCTGGGCCGTGCTTAAGCGGTCTTGTCCGCGGTATCGCACAGAGCTGCTCTCCAGCTGAGCATGGTAGGGCTACTCCAAGTGAGGGCCATCATCCAGCCACAACTTCGAACTCGAACCGATCTGTGGTGGATCTTGATGGTGCTTTGATGAACGAACTCCCGTATCGGGCAAGTGTGGAGACCTTGGAGGCGGAGATCAAATCCGTAGCGATCCCTAAAGATGTCGGACACTTGACGCTGATAGATTTCGGAATAATTTTCATGTCAGAGGAAAAGCAGCCACTGTTTGTAATATTTCGCAGGTTCACGGCAGCAGTCTATTTTGGCAGCATAATAGAGTTACGTCGTGCTTTCGGTGAGCTTCCTGCAGATGACCCGTTCATTCTTGCGTTCGAAGCGGAGTGGCCGCGTCTAGCGGCACTGCCCTTGGAACAGCGAATGCGTGCGGTTGCCACAGAATTGTTGATCCCGGAACTGCCGCGACTACCTGCACCGCAGGGCATGCACGAGTTTTTATTCGCTTTCAATCCGCTTACTGACGTTTTTGCAATGTTCGTCGAGCAAAAAGCGCCGGTTCTTGCAACCTGCGTACCGCAAAGCGACCATTTTTTTTCTGCAAGTTCTTTACCAATACCTCGGCCATCGTCCTCCTCCGCTGTCGACATGCTGTCGTCTTATGTTCGTCGCGGAACAACGCGTGGTGAGGAGCCAGAGCCAGGTTCTTTACTGAAAAGTCCACTTCGGGAGGTTCTCGAGGATGTAATTTCGGACTACACCTACGACGCCGTGGGCAACTTGATCTCTAGCACGAGGAAGAAACTGAGGATCTAAGCTCTGAAATAGGCACGATATTAGCTGTAATGAGCTGAAGACGCTGGCGCAGCATTGGCATTCTGATTCTCTTTCGCTATGATTTCAGTCTCAGTGGCTTGTTTCCTTAATTTGATTCTGAGTTCATTCGTAAGGAAAGGAATTAGAGAAGTCCTCCAAAGTTCGAAGGAAATGAGGAAACTACTAGGAGGTATAAATTATTACATTGTAAAAGCAGAGCGACTTCAATAATTATGAAGCACAACGAGATGTACACCAACAAGTCTGGACGTAAATGGTCAATCAAAGGCAAAGCGCGAACTTAATGATGTACGATTTAGTTTTCCTAATTTTGTTTTTCAGGATCACATGTGGCCCATAGGCGTGAACGGCAAGAGAGGAACTACAAGTTATGACAATGCTGATTCAAAATCAAACGTTGAGAACAACAAATCGCATTTCCTCGGATTTGTGGTGGTAGTGCTTTCTTGTACAGTCCCTCACGTAGAATAGGCTTCGTATGAAAATGATTCATATGATGGTTTTCATAATATGATGGGGGGATGAGTAGTTTCTGCAGCCTGACATTATAGGAAATTATGAATATATGTACCAGGGAGGGAGGCCCCCCCCCCTGTGGATGGATCGGGGGTGGACCACGCTGCCTTGTTGCATGTACCCTACAGACCTGGCAAAGGGGGCAAAGGCGGGAACCCACCCCCTTGGCGTAGGGTTGGGCACATGCAACACGCCAGAGGGGCCCAGCCTTGCCACCTTTGCCAGGTCTGTCGGGTACATGCAGCGCGCCAAGGGGGTGGGTCCCGCCTTGCCTCCTCTGCCAGCTCCGTCGGGCACACGCAACACGACAAGAGGGCCCAGCCTTTGCCACCTTTGCCAGGTCTGTAGCGTACATGCAAGAAGCGGGAAGGGGTCAGAATTGGGCGCTTTGAGGCCTTCCCCACCGGCAGCCCCTCGAAAAGAGGGGCCGGGGCGAGGAGGCCCCCCCCTTCAAAAAGTTAGATCGGGGGGGGGGGCCTCCGTAGGGTCGAGAAAGGGACCCTCTTGGCTTTACGGGATTTCTCGGGCGGGAAGACCAGAAATTGAATTGAGGGAAGACCAGAAATCTTGTGAAGTTGGGAGCTTTGTTGGGAGCTTTTGACGCGGCGGACAATGGGCAGCAGCGTTCCCCTTGTAGGTGAGTGCCAGTCTTAACCCCCAGAGGGACGCGGAAAATGTCCACAAGATGGCGAGGGGGAAAAGCTCCTTCGGCAGAAGTTCACAGAGCTTGGCAGAAAATGCGGCAGAAAGTCCAAGAGGAAGGGGCGGCAAAAGTGTTCTGGGTGGCAGAAAATGCGGCAGAAAGTCCAAGCGGGGGGCAGAGAATGTCCCCGATTTTCAGAAAATGCGGCAGGAAGTCCAAGGAAGAGGGGGGCGGAAAGTGTTCCCGGGTGGCAGAAAGTCATGGAGGGGGGTGGAAAATGTTCCCGGGCAAGCAGAAAACGCGGCAGAAAGTCACAGAGGAGGGCGGAAAATGTTCCCGGGTGGCAGAAAGTCACAGACGGGGGCGGAGAGTGTTCCCGGGTGGCAGAAACTTAACCAGGGGAGTGGGAAACGTTCCCGGGTAGGCAGAAAATGCGGCAGAAAGTCACAGAGGGGGGCGGAATATGTTCCCAGTTGACAGAAAATGCGGCAGAAAGTCAACCAGGGGGGCGGAGAATGTTCCGGAGGCGGCAAACCTGGCAGCAAATCAACGAAGGGAGCAAACCGGGCAGAGAATCAACCTAGGGGGCGGCCAAATGTTCCCCAGGCGGCAAACCTGGCAGAAATTTAACAAAGGGGCGCGGAAAATGTTCCCGAGGAGGTGGCAAACCTGGCAGAAAATCAACCTGGGGGGCGGAAAATGTTCCCCAGGCAGCAAACCTGGCAGAAAATCAACAAAGGGCGGCGGGAAAATGTTCCCGAGGCGGCAAAACCTGGCAGAAAATCACTCAGGGGGGTAGAAAGTGTTCCCGAGGCAGCAAACCTGGCAGAAAATCAACAAAAGGGCGGTGGGAAAATGTTCCCCAGGCGGCAAACCTGGAAGAAAGTCGACCAAGGGGGTGGAAAATGTTCCCCAGGCAGCAAGCCTGGCAGAAAGTCAACCAGGGGGGCGGAAAATGTTCCCGAAGCAGCAACCTGGCAGAAAATCAACCAAGGGGGGCGGAAAGTGTTCCCGAGGCGGCAACGTGGCTGAAAATCAACCCGGGGGAAACTGAAGCAGAAAAGGGACGGGGGTGGAAACTTTCCCCGGGGCAGAAATTAGAGCAGAAAAGGGACGGGGGTGGAAACTTTCCCCCGGGCAGAAATTGAAGCACAAAAGGGACGGGGGTGGAAACTTTCCCCCCGGGCAGAAATTGAAGCAGAAAAGGGACGGGGGTGGAAACTTTCCTTCCGGGCAGAAATTGAAGCAGAAAAGGGACGCGACGGGGGTGCTCGGAAGAAGGTTGTTCGGAAGAAGTTGCTGCGACAAGAAATTGTTGGTAGTGGGGGTTTTGTTTGTTTTGTTGTTTCCAATCTCGTTCCCAAATGCAAGTAAGTAGGCCATTAAGCCGCCCTCAAATCCGGTTTAGAAGGTTTCGAATCTTGCGCCAAAAGTGGCTCGCTATGAAAGGAGAAAGAGCGCTCAATAGGTTTTCACTTCTTGCACGTTTTCAAAATGTGCAAGGAGTGAAACGAAAAGAAGAAAAGAGGCAACATTAATTATTTTCGGAACCTAGTGCGGAGCAACGTGATCCGGCTTAGTTGTTTTGTTGGACTGTCGGGCTGAGATTTCAAATTGGTACCCATTTGCAATCCTAGGCTGAGAATCGGAAAAAATTCATTCAAGAACTTGACCAAACACACCTAAGGAGCCAACTAAATTAAGTCGGTTTTTGCTCTCCCTTCGAACCACTTGAGCCAGCCATCTTCCACAGGAACCACAAGAACCACAGGAACCACAGGAACCACAGGAACCACAGGAACCACAGGAACCACAGGAGGCCCCAGCAGGAGCAGGACCCGCCTGGCGATCGCTTGGCCCCCTTGGCCCCAGATCATATCCGCCCGAGGAATCCCGTAAAGCCCAGGGGGTCCCATTCTCGAGCTTAAGGGGGGCCTCCCGCCCTGAGCCCTGGAACATATATAAAGAATATACTTCCAGGGCAGTCGGACGAACTAGAGGCGCCTAGAATAAACGGATCCTAACATAGACGTGGCCACTATAGTTCTTTTTTAAAAAAATTGGACTCCTTGCTTTTTTTGTACTTATTTTTGTTTCCTAGTTAGACGTGCTCCACCGGTGTAATATATTTATAAAGAAAGGGAATATCTTGAAGAAAGATTCACATGTTCATAGAACTTCTTCATGCGCAATAGATATGCTCATGTTAGACGAGGAGTGTATGTTTTCAGCTTATCCTTGGACCGAGACTAGTAGGGAGAACAAAAACATTTGGCCCTCAGGCTCTATGATTATCTTCGAGTGTGTTCGGTTTTGTCCCGCCAACAATTGTGCGCGTTTATGTTAATTAGGGATGCAGCAATAATATTCATGATGTGTAAGGAGCAGGTTTTTTTTTCAGGCTGGTTATAACTAGGCATGTGTCCAATTGAAGAGGATGAGCAGCTGTTTCGAGTCCCAGGACAAATGTCCCACGTCTGTTCGCGTAGTTTTTCAACTGTATCCGAACCTGCGCATCACCGTATTGTTCTTCTTGGAAGGATGTTGCGTTTCAAAGACGGCGTTGTGTGTTGCACTACGTCGAAGCTTGGTGACACATGGTCTGCTCGTCATTCGGCCATAATTCAACTGATAATTGTGATTGCGACAAAAGATCATACTAAGTTCTGGATGTAGTTGCGCTGGTCTTGGTTGCGAGTACCGTTTTATCTCTTGCCCTTCTTGATCTGTAGGGGTGTGTGTGCGTGTGTTTTGATTGATAGTACTGTGCGGCAACTGTCAACGTTATCTTAGCAAACCTTAGGTCTTGCGCACCATGTGTCTGGGGCTACTGAACAAGACGATTACTACGTAGGTACAAACTAGTTTCGTGAATCATCTTCATACTTGACGTTTTCTACATCAAAGTAGTGATAATAGACATGGCCTTTTCTCTGTTTCACTCCAAAATGCAACCTGGCGTCTTCCTAAATAATACAACATTTGCTTATTATTTTCTTCGGGTAAAATGATTATCAAGTCACTTTTTCATCAAAAACTTAGGTCGCGCGAAAGAAAGCAGAGTGCTTCGCAGTCTTTGTATATAGAATCTGACATTTCGAATTCGAATTCGATGATCAAGAAACAAGATCGACATTTATTTTGATGAGACACCGAAATTCTGCAACTAAAGAGTTTAATCTAAGTCGATTGATGGAATAGATCCCAAAGCAAAATAAAGCAATGAGGCTCGGTTCCAGTGTATATCGCTGTCACCTCTTGGTGGCATTTTTTCTGATTTGCGGCCCGTCAGTTGCACTTGCTGCTGCCGCATCTGAAGCCGAAGTGACACTACCTGGCGGAGAACGTCATGGTGATTCGCCTGAATCTCACTCTGGCTCGTCGTCTTCTTCCCCAGCAGCCGCGGGTCCGGCTTTGGTGTCACCAAGGTCCCGGCCGAACGCGGTTCGGGACCAGGCCCTGGCGTTGGTCACCCGCGTTGCTATGAGCGAGATTGACTCCGTCTTGGCCAGCTTCGCGAGTGCCATCAAATGGAAAGAGGAGAACCCCGCTTATGACCTCGCAGAACCTTTGACCAATCTGCGGGAGGAGACGAGAAGCGTGCCGCGTGAGGAACACGATAACAATGCTGCTGGTGGTGCTGGGCCTCCCGCTGACAATGGAGAAGAGGAGATCACGGTGATGGATCGCACCTTTGTGGATCCGTATGAACGTGGCCTCAACCGCACGATGGCTGCGATTGAGGAGGCAGCCGCGGTGAGTCCTTACCTGAAAATACTTCGAATGAATTGTTTTTGAGTTTATTTTAATTTTTGTCCGTAATGTAGCTCATGATTATAGACGAAGCTGCCCGGTTGAAAATGTCACCTGAGAACTCCTGTCTAACTATAGAATTGATACTAGGTTGCGGTTATTGTAATAAGTTATTCCGATGCGCATTTTTCGCCTTCCATGGAGTATTTACATGGTAAGAAATTTCTATGTCTTTTTCTCAGATTCGTACGCGTAAGTGGCCTGTCCGTTTCGGGCGCTTGCTAGAGGCCGGAGTACACGGAGCAAAAGCTGTCCTATTGGTTAAGGGTTATCAGTTGACCTATTCTCTCCTTCATCAATCCTATCCATGTTTGTATGACTTTTCGACGATCATGAAAGGGACGATGCATATCAATTTTGAGTACCTTGGCTACTTAGAAGACTACTAGAGACCCCATCCCCAACATGATGGCCTTACTAGGACTACTAGAGACTCCATGAAGATGGTGACCGACATAGATAAGTAGTTGGTAAAGATCTAGAAGTCTCTAAGCTGACCAACAGTATGGCTCGGGACTTTCTGCTACGAATCCGGCCAGGGTCCATGGACGCGCTCCCGGGAGTGGCTCGAAGTAACGTTTACGCGATGGGCAGATTTGCTCATGAGGTCTCCGCAAACAACCCTCATTACGATGTGCTCGTTGCCATCCAAAAAGGCCTCCGAGAACTTCAGAGTTTGCCGAGCGGCTCTGGCGAGCTGGAGCTGCACGCTCGTCTGTTTCTCGCTCGAGCGCTTTATCGCATCAGGGCCTTAGTCGACCCGGAGTTGATTAATTGTGCCGAAGGAGCTTTACCGCCTCTCACGTCCGAAACCGCCGTCTCGTTCGAAGGTACTTAAGCAGACCTCTCAAGTTTTTGTCTCCTCGAAAACGAATACCAGGAATCTGAGTCCGAAGCTGAATCAGGAAGCATCATAAACCTGAATCAGTGTAATTGACCATACTAAGCCGGCCCAAGCTTGAGGCTATCCCCGACCCTCTTGGTATGTCTCCCGCGATGTCACCAAGGTAACGCCTGCCGGACCTGCGTGAGGGCAGGGAGTTGACAGCGTGCATGCTCTTGCTACGTCGGTCTAGTGTTGTGATGTATGTTCTGTCTTGGTCGTGCGTCGTTCTTGTGTTGCTTATGTATTTAGCTAAGTAGGACGCTGACGCTGCGCAACTGGATCAGAAGACTCCGGGCCTCATGGGGGAAATGTGTCAAGGCCCGCAATGGATCACAATCAAGAACAAAAAACTCCCGAAACCTCAAGAATCTGAACCTGAACTAGGAAGAGGCGGAACTTCCTTGCCAGTTCCTTGTTTTTGATTCTAAAGGCCTACGAGGCCATTACTTTTTACGGATGGAGCTTGTGCGGCTTTCCATATGTGTGAAATTGAAATTTCTCTTACACCCGTCATTCTCTGACGGGGTGTCTATCATCATATATCATGAACCACAAATACAGATGTCGAAGCGATTCCATTGGCGCCTGACGGAGCGTATCTGCCTGACGCGGAACTGGGTATAGAAATGTGTCCCTCTGGGCGGCTCACTCCGCGAATCCTGGAACTGAACCAGGCACAGCGAGAGGGTATTTTGGTTAAGGGCAGAAGTACATGAGGATGAGGAAACAAAATCAAATCTATCTCTTTTTTTTACTTTTTGTTATCAAGTTGCTATGGTAATCGATGACAGGTACATGATCAGACGGATAAGGAACACGTTGGCAACATATTGTCAGAAGTTCTGAATGAATTTCCCTCCCGAGAAAAAATCGATGAATGGACTCAACATTCTATAAGAGAAATTCACTCGTCAGCAGATCCATGCAAGGATGAAAATATGAAAAATTTAGTTCTTACGTACTTTTACCTCTAAAGTACGTACATTGCGTTATATGTTTGGCGACCAGATTTTAGGATACCTTCGGATTTGGTTGCAGCAAGGACAGGAAGGCCGTGATTTATTAGCGAAAGCTCTTTCAGAACAGGACTCCACAGTAGAACTACGCGCCGAAAAGTGGACCGGTCAGAGGATTTTTGAAGTTTTTCGACATTTCGTGCGCGCGTTAACCCGTCTCCTGGTGTTGGGAGGTGGCGTTGCGCCCAGGCTCAAACAGCACGAAGACGACCCGACATTCATCACCTGGGACTTCAACGCTGTTGATGGAGGAGATTTTGGCACCGCGGGACGTGCTGCCTTCTGGAATTCGTTGACGCCGCAACTGCAGGTCGCGTGGACCGCGTTCACCGCGGGTACTGCTAATGACTGGGACGCGCTTGTATGGGCTCGTCATGGCCCTATTGCTGCGTCCATGGTGCAATCTATGGTCCAGATCTACGTCCGAGTGGCTACGGTTGTTTGGACACTAGCTGGTGACGGATTTGAAAATTTTGTGCGGCAGGACGTGCTGCAGCGTCCAGATCAGCTGCTGCTCTTGCTGCAATCTCCTACCTTGATGACGCAATTTAATGCCGTTCGGGCTCTCGCAGCGAAACTGTTTTAAGGCATGATAGTCTCTCTCATTCTAGAAAGATTTAGATTCTGAATTTTTGTGTATCTTCACCAAAGGACTTCCTGAAGCAGGTACTAGGGCGCTGAAATTGAGTATGGCTTTTCTTGAAGTTCGTTTTCAACTGCATGTTATGTGCCATATAGATGATACAACGCTAATCATTCGTGGACCTTCAGCGACTTTCGGGGGTTCCGATTCCACCTCAGATGCTACCGGAACCCGTCCGGGGCCTGCTGATTCCATACATAGCACCCGGAGAGATCATCTCATCCTTCACCGTACCTCTCAACGTTATGAGTAGGAGAATGCTTGGGAGATGTCATTTTCGGTCTTGTTAGTTTTGCATAACTACAGTTCTTTTTGCTGAACATCGATCAGTACAACTACTAGATCTAGGTACTAGTAGAAGATGACGGGAGACCACTGCAATGGGATACTTTAACAAGGGGGGATGGAGCTTCTTTGTCTTTCGTGGAGGCTTCTACTCAAGGAGGGCCTACTTTGAACTTTCTCGAATCGTCCTGTGTCACTTGTCACAGACGGGGCCTCAAGAGAGGATGGTGCGCACAAGGCGTGACTCTCAGGTCAACTCCACAGAGACACTCGTCACCTAGCTGTTCTGCGCAGTAAAGCGTCGAGTATGTTTAGAAACTGCCTCCTCTAACCGCGACGCGCAATTGCTGCAGGCTCGCGCGTATTTGTTCTGGTCTGGTACGGTGCCGAAGGTCTGGATGGAAATAGCAAAGAAAATTATGCTCGATTAGAAGGATGACATCATAAATCAATGAATCAGAACATTATCTAGGGAACTTTTGCTCGATGTTGAATATAGGCTCTAACTCGAAGCAGTTTATTTGAGTCCTGCATTGCATGAATCGCCTGTAGTTACATGGATCTGCAGGAACGCTTTTTGCGTTATCTGTACGCCACTCGTTTAGTATGCACTCACTGCGAGTCCATGTACTTTGTGCGCTATGCGTGCTACAATCTATAATCGTGAATGATAAAACACCTCCACTGATCGTTTGAAGATACTTATAGCAGCCGTTTTTTCTAATATTGTCCTTGAGGTTGATCCATATGGAATGATGCTGGATCTGATGTGCAGCCGCGGAATGTGGAAAATGATCCTCAGAACTTTCAGCTCGCTGTGGAACGAGAGACGTTTCATGATGTTGCCTCATCTGGTGTATCGTGGCATCGTACACACGATTTTGGCGTTTGCCGCTACTGCGAGGAAGGACCTCTTCTTGCGCTCCGAAAGCATCAACGCATTTCCCAGTGCGCACACCGCCTTCCGGTTTTTGGCAACCAAGTACGATTGGTCAGGATGGTTAAAGCGCTTCTTGGACCCTGCGCAAGTGAAAATATCGCTCATACTGGCACCACTGGTCGCAGTCATCAACTACTTTCTCAGCGGACGCGGACTTGCGGATATGGAGAGGCAAGGCATTCCGGATGGACGAGGCAGTGCCGCCGACTTAGGAATGCGGGATTGGCCGCAGAAGTATCGCGCTCTGGTGGCTAGTTGGCGCGCTCAGAAATTATCAGAGCCATCGCAACTCGAGATGGACCTTCTCCAAATCCAAATCCAAATTCTTCAGGATGTCTTCGGGGACTTCGTTCATCTGAAATTGCCGAGCGATGGGCTTATCCGGTATCTTTTTCACGCCGTAACTTTCCTGATCAAAGTTTACGTGCCTTCGGGTACCGCGATTGTGGATACAATCTTCGATTCGAATACTTTTGCAGACATTCGAAGGTACCATATTTCTTCAACATTTTTGCAAAAGACGAAAACGAATGCACTTAACACATAAAGAAAAGAACCGGCTACAATTTTTCCCTCGTCTTACGCCCTCTTCCATCTGATGAGTAGAAATTAATGCGGGGTCGTATTCTAACGGAAACAGTCATCCACTTAGCTTTAGACGTGTTTGATGTCAGGTAGCGCACTATGATCGACTCTTGTTGTTCTCTCATGATTTCAAGTCATTCACTCCTCATTATTGACAGCGCCGTTGTCAATGGTCTGCTGACCGAAGGATGGCGCAAAGGTGCCTGGGCAGTGCAATTATTTTACGGACGTCGGCCTTCGGATATGACAGGAGGAAAATCCCTACTCATGCAGCTCGTGAAAGAGTTCTTACTAGGCTGATTATGTACGTTGTCTTTGAAAGTAGCCTTGCTGCACTTTCGGACACAGTCTCTATGGGCATCATGAAAGATGTTAAGAAACTTACTAGCTAGGCCTCGAAGATTCTTGAGCATGAGCACGTCGAGTAGGCATTCTCCTGTCATATCGCAATCAGCTGTGACATTCAATGAAGAGCAAGTGGCGCAGGAAGTTTGGGACGGTTTTGTGCATCTATGGGACGAAGTACTGGACAAGAGAACGCTCGCCGACATAGCCGCGCCACTGAGCCTCTTATTAAGGCGCAACATTAAACTCGACTGAAAATCCATGGTCGGAAGATGTTTTACTAATCCATGGTCGTCATCCGGATCAAGAATTCAGTGCTAGAAAAATGCAAAAATCTGTAGATTATAACCATGAGGTAAGTGATCTTCGAGCTTGATGTTTGCGGACCAAGTGGAAATTGCACTAGCAGAGACATAAGCATTTCTCTGACTAAAACTATGCTTTTGTTTTCGTTTCCCGTTTTTCTTTTTCCTCAGGAATTACGCTGGCATATCTCTAATTGTCGATGCCGACGTGGCATCACCGGATCAGGTCAAGCACACATGGCGCAAGAAGATTGAGTTGCTGTGTGGGGGAGTTGTCAGTGGCATGCTCGCGAGAACAGAAGGGCGACTCAATTTTCGACAGATTTTAGGGCAACTTCGATCCGATCGCGTTGGCCGCCACGACCGCATAGACAGCGTAGAGAAACTTTTTTCCATGGTGGCGCGCGGTTTCTCTTCCCAGGACCCGGCCGGCTCCTCACTAAGCGTGATCGCCAATTAAGGCTCGTGAAGATGTCTCGCAGCGCATTTGTTCACTGCGTACTCCTGTACTAGTAAACTATAAGATAAAGATTAGCTGTCTAGATCCTTGTTGGAAAAGTAGCTGGGCGAAGTAATTGATGTATATATAAGTTTCGCTTTGACGCAGTTCTAAGTTTAAGTGATGCTACTCCGGAATCTGCGTGCCTTGGATCTGCCTACACTCTTTCCTCACGAGAAAGAGAGTGACGGAGGCGTGCTCCTAAGCGAGTTGAGAGCGCTTGTCGAGGTCAATGCGATATTCTTAGACAAAATCTATGTAGGGTCGCAGGCTGCACAGGCAGAGCGTGATGTCCCTGAGATTCGCAAATTGGATCACTTTTTGCAGAAGTACATTGCCGACAAGCTTTGAGTTAGCGGCGTGCAGACTATACGCGGGGTGATTGACGGCTTGGAGAAGTTACTAGTCGAGCAGTGGCTCGGGCATCTCGTGGCTACGACGGTGCACCCAATTAGCGAGGTTTTTGCAAAGCGGGTGCGACAGTGGACTGATGAATACATACGAGAAAATCCACACCTCGGTGGGGGCCGCAACCTCCTTTTATGACTCGAGAGTGAATGGCTCATAAAAATTGTCTATCTAAATCTATCCGCTTCAATCGTCTAGGTATGATTTCCTTACATGTCATCTCATGCCTGTACCTATGTAGAAATATCGGAGCAGAACCATTCTTAATCTGGATAGTCTGGCATCCTCGTCTCCTAGTAGTAATGGTTGCTTTGGAACGAAGGCGAACAATGGCTGCTGATAGAGTGAGTAAAGCGAATCATCTGTCGGGAAAAAATGTAGAGTTTGACTTTTAGATTTTTTTATTATAACGTAGGATTTGGAATAAGAAATGACAACATCATGTTGATGCCACAAAGTTGCAAGACTCTTGACTACAAGTCGTTGGGTTAACTCACGCAGATACCACTAGAGAGACCGTGATCATCGTGTTACTAAAAGACACCTCTAACCTTTAATGGAGAGGGCAAAATCGCATGGAGTGAGGTCCGGACAGTTATCCAACAGGAGATCGGGCTGCTGGACTCAGAAACGGCTCTGCAGACGCGTGTAGCCCTTGCAGCGCGCGGGGATCCGCATAATATGCCGACCGTGTGCGAGGCGCTGCTGCCGGAATCCTGGTTGCGATTCGATGAAGAAATGCGTGCGGAAGTACTCAAGCGTGAGCCAGTATCCCGGCTAGGCGGTTCACGCATAGACCTTTATGAGTGCCGCCTGGTTATCAGTAACATAGATGTACAAATAGCTAGCTACTCGAAATGCGTCGCTCATACTTGTAGGAGATTTATACTTCACTCGATTTGATGCCAAACTCAAAAAAATTTACTTAAGTAGATAACTTCATACCACTCGAAGATGTGATGTTTGATCTTCGGAACGAGTGATTCCACCTCACAATGGGAGAAAGTTCTAATGTGTTTTGCCCAAATGCATTCAGCGGGCAATCATCCTTGAAGCTAGGCACTTCCTTCTTAGAGAAGTGCGTCTGGAAATCGTTGCTCCTAAAGTCCTTGACTTGTTGAATACGTTTTCCGAAATTGAAGAGCTTCCGCGCGAAATCCGTCCGATCATGCGCCGGTTTCCTGTGGAGTATTTCGATCACGGTCCCGAGGCGATCAAGCTCGAGCTTATACGAGCGTACTTATCGATCAAGGCCGAAGAAACCGACTCATCTGTATCTGAAATGTCGATGGCTGCAGCCACGACCGGTTTCGAAGGATCTTCAGGGCTCACATCACCCAGTGGGGACACCATTGGACGCATGCTTGCTCACGTGGGTCCGTTTCTGCAGAAGACGGCTCAAGTTTTCGCTGACAAGGCTCAAGCGCCAGAGCTGCGTGCGATATTACGCAGGTTCAGAGAGAATATCGATCTCCCGATGGAGTGGTGGGAAATGTGGGACCAAGTATGCGTGGCCGACGGCGGTGGTTTCGAGCTTTCATGGCGTCCAGCCTACGCACAGTCGACAGGATTCAGGTTCGAATCAGCGATATCCGGCGGAAGCTACTCTAGGCCTGTCAAGTAATTCGCGTAGTAGATTTTATAATTGGTTGAGGACAACGTAATATTCTAATCAAATAGTACATCGATTTTCATCTCTGCTTACTGGTCCTAAAAACGGAGTAAGTGAATCCGTAGCAAAGACGACGTAGGTACAACTTCGAGGAATGATTGAATGCTGAGTGACCATGTACTAGGTCGGAACTATTGTCGAGCGCTCTAAGTATTCTGTTAGCCCCAGTGGGTTACGTCCTGCTGACACGACTACTCGGACCGCTGAAGATAATGAAACTAGTGGTGGAGTTGATTTGGATCCACTTGTTTCTCAGCTAGAAAAGAATGCTATGCAACACGCCCGCGACTTGCTGCGGGGGCGAACGTACTCGACGCTGCACAGCTCCGCATTTCGTGATGAGGGTGAAGCACAGCCCCACGAGTACATGACATTGCTCTGGGACTCCCCTAGCCGTGTGAAATTGCAAGTCTCCACAACCCCCGACGCGGTTGGCACGATGGCACAGGGCCACGTTGTGTTCAAGACTTCGTTACCCGGCGCTCGGGAGGACGAAGCGGACAGGCAGCGACGGGACATTCGTGAAGACGAGCGGGAAGCGGCTACTACGGCGACTTCTGCTTCGAATGCGGCGACTTCTGTCCGCGGCATGCGCCCTCAAGAAGTCGTCGCGAGCATACGTAATGCATGGTTGCGTCTGGGTACGAGAGCAGAAGCGAACCCTGTTGGAGCAGCAGGATCGAATACCGATCAATCTTTTGCCACTCGATTGAGGGATCTCAGGAGACAGAAGAGAACGAGCCGTATGCGCTTGCTGAACCGTAGTCCCAAGTTGTGGCTTCGTGTGCAGCGGCCGCACTTGCGTGCCAGGTATGACAACGAGAAGGACGCTCTGCGACGCATTGTCGGCTCCATGGATTCAGACGATAGTGCTGTCGCCCGCATCGCCGGGATAGCCGAATCGACGACAAGGATCGATCAGGAACTCGACATGGACCGCGAGCGCCGTGGCCTGGAGCTGGCGGACGAGTTCTACAATGAGGCCTTCTACGATTCTCTGGAAACAAGCGTGAGGAAGAGAAATGACGATCTTCTTCAGAATTCGCAGCAAGAACAACGTCGTCCAATGTTTTCTGTACTCAGTGGACGCACGACGAGTGCTGGTTCGAACAGAGGTGCTAGTCCTCTTCCTGGAGCTGCTGTTGAAGAAAGTCCTGGTGAGCGCACTTGGCTTCCAGGCGTTTCAGCAGTACGCTTCGTAGACCGTCTTTCCAATTTTGCATTGTTGACCGAATATGCGGAGGGAGTGACGCTGCAAAAATGGATGCTCTCCTCCCAGTGGGACCACTTGGCGTGCACTGTTACGAAGAACTTGAACGACCTCTTCCGTCTGTGGTTGCATCACGCGCTCCATGATCCAAGCCACACGTTTTTCCATGGTGATCCACACGCAGGCAACATCATGGTGCATATCGGGAACGGTCTTTCGTCGTCGGCGTCTTCGACTACAAAGCCGGATGAGCGTGGATCTACTCGTACCTCTACCACCGCAAGAGGCTCATCTTCATCTGGCAGCGCTTCTTCTAGTCTTGGGCCGTGCGTCAGCAGTGTGGTGCGCGGCATCGCACAGAGCTGCTCCCCTCCTGAACAAGCTGAAGGATCTCGAGGTGGTGGAGATCATACAGGCACAGCTTCGGAATCGACCCGAGCTGTGGTGGATCATGGTACCTTGATGAACGAGCTCCCATACCAGCCGAATGTTGAACCATTGGATTCAGAAATCAAGTCGGTTGCTATCCCCAAAGATGTCGGACACTTGACGCTGGTTGATTTCGGAATAACCTTCATGTCTGAGGAGAAGCAGCCACTGCTTGCAACATTTCGCAAGTTTGCGGCAGCAGTCTATTTCGGCAGCACAGCAGATTTGCGTTGTGCTTTCGATGATCTTCCGGATGAGGACCCGTTCATTCTGGCGTTCGAAGCGGAATGGCCGCGTCTAGCAGCATTGCCCTTGGAAAAGCGAATGCGTGCGGTTGCTACAGAACTGTTGATTCCGGAACTGCCGCGACTACCTGCGCCGCAGGGCATGCACGAGTTCTTATTGGCTTTGAATCTTTTCACCGATGTTTTTGAAATGTTCGGCAAGCAAAAAGCGTCGGTTCTCGCAACCTGCGTCCCGCAAAACGACCAGGCGTCATTGTCCTCTTCCGCTGTCAGTAAGCTGTCGTCCTATGTTCTTCGGGGAATGACGCGCGGCGTGGACGAGCCAGGGACAAGATCTTTGCTGAAAAATCCGCTTCTTGAGGTTCTGCAGGACATCGTCACAGACTACGCGCATGATGCGACGGGAAACTTGATCTCTGGCGTGAGGAAGAAGCTTAGGATCTAAGCTGAAGCTGTGAAAAAAAAACGAAGGAGACAAGGAAGTATACCTATAGAGCAAGTCAGACTCGATGAAACCTAAAGCGTTATAGCTTGATGATTTGCTGGGATGCAGTTCTCGTAAGTAGTGTTGGTTTTTTGTTTCTCAAATTTTGCCCGCAAGATTGTGAGAGGCAAGGGTCGAAATACAAGTTGTAACGTTGAAAATTCACAATAAATCGCATTTCGGATTTTGGGTGAATTTTGCAATCTTTCACGTACTCGGCTGGAATTAGCACCATAACAAAGCGACTCATATGATGGTTTTCGTGCATGTGGGTAATGGGGAGTCTGTCTAGGTTGAAGATGGTAGGAAATGACAGGAAGGAATAGAATTTTAGGAAAGACCTGGGTAGTACACAGTTAATAATGATGGCCAAAAACGCACGTTTTCATGAAATCATATAAATATTTTCAGAAGTGGAGTGTAAAAACTTTTATACGTTTTTATTTTTTATTCTTGGAAGGACGGAGAATACTAGAACGAGAAACAACAGGGACCGAGATAATGAATGAATGAATGAAACAGGAAGGACCGTTCCTTAGGTTCTATAATCATTTTCGAGTTTGTAAATTAAAATTTTCCTTGTCCAAACGGGCTTGTGGTAAATATTCATGTTTCGCATTGAAGAAGAAGGGCAGCGGTTTCGAGTACGCTTCTAAATGTACAACAACGTCTAAAAACGCCATAGTTTTCCAAGAATGGTACTAGTTACTTCCATGCACTCCTTCGGTAAGGGGTTCGCGGGTGTAAATTTTTCTTCAGAGTCATCAAATGTATGTACCATAAATGGGAACACTCAATATCTACGCAACTTCGAATTTTGAGCATCTTACTGCTTGCGCGGCCCAGCGACTTAAACTCGATGCAAGCAAACAGTTTTCCTACAGGAGGAATTCTTAAGTTACTTGACTTTGGGTGTCTTGAAGAAGTAATGATTTAGGCAGGCTGTTTCGCAGACAAATGTGCGGATGATATTGTCAGTTTCCTATTCGTTGCGAGATTTAAGGTAGTCCAATGCAAATTTCTTTGTGGTTTTTGAATTTGAATCCAGTATCTATATCCTACAGGGAAATGGTAAGCATGTCGCCGAATAGATTCAGATCGTCATCTACATCATACGCATCTTATCTTTACCTACCTTTGGGGATCAATGTCTACAGCGAAGCTCTTCACGCGGATGGAGTCGAAGATGCGGGGACTCTAATGTACTTGCAACGTGTGAAGAGGGTAGATAATCTGAACCTGCATTTCATTTCTTTTCTCATCTATTCGGGGATTTTTAAAAGCGGCCGAATGTTGTGAATTGCTTCAAAAGCCGCCTCCTCATTTCGTTGCAACTTCACTTTATCGAGTATTTCTTGGTGTTCACGGAAATCTCCGAGCTATGCTAGCGTGTGTTGATGCTACTGTCGCGATCATACATTGGCTTCCGCACTTAGGGGAGCGCGAAGGAACAATTTCATCCAGAAAAGATCGCAGGACCAGCTCCCTCCTGATGTGAAGATCCAAGTTCTGTCCGGTCTTGATTTTTGGTTCTCTTAGGATGTAGGGAAAATTTTGTCAGGCGGATGATGCCGCTAGGCGCTGACGAAAATCACCAATTATTGGCGGTTGTGGTACTTCTTGGCGACAGGACGCGGTGACCAAGGCCGCGTATGAATTTAAGAAACTCCATGAGATTGCTGTCACTGTCAGAAGGAACCACTCTCACACTAAATCATATGACTACAACGTGGCATACATGAACCCGATGTGGATTTGAAAAAGTCTATGTAAGTGCCAGGTCGTTGGCTTATCTAACCTACCTATCTTTGCTCCATTTTGTGTCTCTCGTTTTGCCCTTTTTTCTCTCTATGGCATTGGCAAAACTTCCAAAGATTTAGCCCACTTGCTGGAGCCGACGCAGATCTTGCGCGAGTAATGAATGAATGCGCTTGCCGTTCTTGTTAAAGTCAAATTAATAAATATAGCAGCTCGCAGTCATAGCTCCCATAGCGCGTTGTATGATTTATGTTTTTCGACATCTGATACTGATTCTGCCTTGCTAAGAAGGTTATAATAGAGAACGATACCAGAGTTAGTACTTTTAACCCTTTGTCTTGTTAGCACGCACAACATGTTGTCAACACTCCGCGGATCAAGCATGCGCAGCATCGCGCGAACAGCTGGTATTATAATTCATGTGGTTTGCTTGTTTTTTTGAACCCGTCCTTAGATGGAGAGGTTGATCAACAAGATAGGCCTTGTTCTTGTTGCAGTCTCTCAACTGTTCCCTTTCCAATCAACGACAGTTTGTTAACCTCAAATTCATCCCAGTCCCATCAAATAGGTCGTGGCCGCAAGGAGGTCCTCAGTCACCTGAGGACTGCGCTTGTCGGCAGCTCGTGTGCGGGGTGCAGCGGTTGCGCTTCTTGCTTGAGCGCCGCACGCGCATTTTCTTCCGCTGCAGCTAAGAAGCTTCAAACGGGCTTGGCACAGGAAATCCAACACGAGAAAGACAATTACGAAAAGCCGAAAGAACTCTCAAAAGTGCCAGCTGGTTGGTCGTTCCACGATGAGGCTGGAAATGTTAACATGCGCCTCGAAAAGGAATTAGGTATATACAATTGCTAAACCTGCCCAATAACTGTTTATTTTGACTTCATGATTTTAGTTTTTGTCAGCAACAGAGAAGAATTGGGACATCAGGAACAACTACCGGGATTCTTTGGAGCTGTCTCTCACCACTTCTTGGTTGGCCGTCCAATTCACCATCCAATCCGCCTGACAACTCCCAAAATACGTCAAAACAATCACAGCTAACGGTAAAACGTGCAAGGTTGAATGGCAACTCGTTTCGCCACCAATGGCATATGAGGAGGATATGGAGAACGAAGAGACGCCTGAGCAGGAGCCGACGGAAGTTGAGCTCACTGTAACAGTTGAGACGAAGGATAAAAGCGAAGGTATTTATACATAGAACTTCTTGTGTGCAAGTGCAGGTGATAGCATATTGATTATTAGGATTTCTGTAGGCCGATCTAGAAGCAGTGCATGCCAGTGTCAGTTGAGTGAAGATTCCCGACTGAGTTTTTGCATTGGTGTATGACAAGACACGCGGTTTTTGATATGCTCAGAAAGGGGAGTAAGGTAAAATCGTAGTTAGGATGATTTCGCTGGGACAAGGTGCGTCCGCTGGCACAGAATTATTTTTTCAATTCCTAGGTAGTCTTAGTACATGTACTTCCTCAGCTGTCCTCTCTATCTTTTTTTCCCAAAAGTTAATTTTATCTGCAATGATTCTTGTTCTCAACATCTCAAGATGCCACCACTGTTTACACGACTACAGGTTTGACGTACTATTGTTCGGCGTCCAGTATGGAGGGCGCAAAAGAAGGTCCGAAGAGCTCGCTTGCTATCGGCAACGTCAAAACCTGGAGCTCAGTGGAGGAGCGTGATAATGCAGCGAGTTACAACGGACCGGAGTTCGACGACCTCGATGACCGTCTCCAGGAAGCGATGGAGGAATACTTGGGTACTTTCACTTACTGAATTTACTGAATACTTTGTCGTGGAGCGAGTTGTCTAAGATGATGTAGGAGGAAGAAGAATATTACCTGAATATCGATCTTATGACCATTGATGCATCTCATTATCTATCATGGTACAGCAGGCAGTATGTATTCACCTGGAAAAGAAAACTCATTTTGGTCTTACACCAAAGGGAATTGGAAAATCCCCACATTTTTTCGCTCACGAGAAGATCCAAAGTAGAGACTCGAAAGTTCGCAACCTACGGTGGTATGAATGCTGACTGCTTGTATCTCTTTCACATCAATAGTGAAAATTTCAAAACACGACCACAGCCGAGATCGGTGTTAACGAGGAAGTGCAGGAGTTTATTAGTGCTTCGGCGGCGGATAAGGAGCAACGCGAGTACATGCGGTGGATGGAAAACTTGAACCGAATGGTGAAAGCGTAACCTTGCGTCAATTGCTGCCTCGACGTACCGCTAGCACAGGGTTGACCTCCACATGATATGGCGCAATGATAGTGGCGGCTCCACATTTTATCGATCATAGCCTCGCCACAAGCACACGACATGACTGATTTTCTTTGTAGTTTCCTGTCACAGTCGTGGCAATTTTCCAATACAATCGAATAACATATCTATGTCATGATGATCGACCTGGTATCACTCAGCACTACAGCTTGTGTGTTTGTTAGCATGAAAACATGGCATGGAAATGTATGATTTCTTGTTCTCCGACGCCACAATTTTATCAAACGAATTGTTACAACTGTATCTAATAATAACATACTGAATCCTACAATAAAGATCTTGACCATCTCAACGATCTTTTCAGATGTTTATTTTTTGTTCTTGAGAATACTAAATACTGAATCTTAATGTTGGTTGAGGACATGGACCGATCGGGATATGGTTTTTGGGAGTGGATAAGATGTGCTTTATCAGCACGAAATTTTCAGAGGCCAAGGCGTGACGGATGCTGATACGCGCAAGACCATGAAGAGCGCCTTCCGTAAGCCGGCAACACGTTTCTGACGCGGACACGGATTCGACTATTACACCTGCTTTCTTGCTGCGACTGTTGTGGGTAGAAAAGTTGCAGAGTAGTTGGAGGCAAGAGAAAGAAAGAGGTGGTCTTTTTACTTGAGAGATGCTCTGTGAGAGAAGGAGAAAAGTACGAGTCGAGCGTGTGGAAACGAGATACTGAGTGACGAGAAAAAGAAGCGCGTGATGGACATCTAAAATTTGTATTGTCGTAGTTTTGAGTTAGACTTGTGGATTGCTATGTGAATAGAGCCTATTTATAAGATATGTAGCATCTCTCGTCTCTGACCAACGTAAATCAAAAAGTACATGTCGTTGTTCCGTTCCTTGCGATCGACAGAGGGCGCGGACGCGAAAAGCTAGGAGTTGAGAGCCTCAAGCGCGGCTCGGGTCTCGAGGGAACGCAGATCGCATTGTTCGGACACATTGATCGTACGGAATAGTGACCCGAGGCTGATCATCCCAGAACTTGCGTCTGTGGTTGGTCACCACCACAGCAGAAATCCACTTTCCCCGTGTGTCGGGCACGCGCACAAACGTGTACCCACACCAAGAAGCAGAGGCCCTCAACTACCGTGCCCCTCACGCCACACATCGATTTTCCTTCTTGCGGTCAAGAAGTGGACAGTTCGGCGACCTCCACGCAGAGTTTCATCAAACCCGGAGAACCAACAAGATGATAGCCGTATCTAGACTAGCACGCGGCATCAGATCACCTTCAGGAGGATTTCTGAACATGGGAAGACTTAACTTTTCATGGGACCGATGTAAGCAATCTTTCGAGGAGTTCAAGGAGAGGTGGTCGTGGTACCGGTTTTTCATGGTCAGGTACTTCTACTTATGATATCGTCGAATCACTAGGGCTCCAATTTTGCAACAAATTGCTGGAAAGGATGATCATGGTACGGTGTTTGGTATAGATTAAAGTGCTGAGAGTCAGAGTAGCACTACTTACAGTTGTCCAATCGTTGCTGCTTGCAAGAACTAATATTCGCTTTCAGGAAATAAATCATAATCGTGTGGCTTCCTGATGCAGTTACTTGGTTACACTTACGTTACTTTTCTTGTGTGTAATCTTCTATCTACAACTACAAAACACAACAGAGAAAAAATCTACGACTACATAATGTATGCTTTTGTTGGCTTTGCGATCGGTGGAAGTGCGCTGTCAGCCTTCGAAAGGTAATCCCGTTTTGTATTTTTATGGGCAGACAAGCTTCTTCTTGGTTTGCATCTGCTAATCGTTCTTGTTCTTGAAATAGGCGGTAAGTATGTGGTGCTGAAACGGCGGCTGAAGCATTTGCATACTCTCATATTGAAAAGAAAACTCTCGTCAAGGAGGATCATGGATATGGAAATACTGAGTCACGATAACACCAGCTTGCGAATGCAGCGTAATTCGATTCAGAGAATGTGGAACGGTTATGTGAGGAAGGAACGGGAGAGGGCAGAGCTGATGGATATCATCAAGCAAGCGCGTGCAGCAGGCTTAATCGAACAAACTGACAATCAAATGCATTGAAGGATGAAGAACGAGTGACTTCTAGTTTGTTTCTCAAGAAGGAGGAAATATTGAAATTCTGGTTCGTTTGACTGTTGACGAAATCCGTCTAGATAACGAGCAGGAGCCGCTCCGACCACCTCCAGTATCGACGCGGCTACGGACAGTGTGTGATTGCTCATTCTTGCGCGGGCCGAAGTTCTCGGGGCGACAGGCAGATTTACTGTGGGTTTGTGACCTGGTATTCGTGAGCGCATGACAAACGGCGTCGAAGTAGCTAGTACGCCTCGCAACGCTTCCGCCACTTGCCCTTCTTCGGAAGCAACATTAGATTACCCGAAAATGGTGGCGACGCGGACGACTCAGGGGCATGGTTTTGGAACCTTTTATGCTCGAAGATGATGAGCCAATTCACCGCTGTGGTGGGGAAAAAGACTCTCATGGTGCGAGAAGGAGAATGTGAATAATTCAGACCAATGACCTTATTTGTGAACAGTTTAAGAAGCCGTTACGCCATGAAGAACACTCTACAATCGAAGGCGCGACGAGGACGGGCGCGCGGGTCTGTGCAGCCACACTTTTCCGACACAACAGAAATCAACCGGATTAAAATGGCGCAGGCATAGAAACAGAAGTCCCTAGAACGCCTGGTTTGTAGCACTCCTGATCAATTGGAAAAAGATCGTGATTTCCCACTGACACACGAAAAAAAATAGCAGAACTGTGTCCGAAACAAAAGATGGTCAGATGCGCCTCGAGCTTGATGAAGTGCTGGCAGCATAATTTTGCGTACTTGAATTAATTACAACATGTCTTGAGCTCGATCTCGCGGACCTCTCCCTGTAGGACGCGATATTACGAAACCTCGTTTGGCCGACGCGAATGCACAGTTGAGGTAGTTCGTCCAGCTCTCGAAACTGCGATATGTTGAGCTGAAAATGGCGGCGTTACGGTTTTGTTTTGTGCCGATTAAAAAGGGTCACCGTTCTCCGAGGAGGGAGCGCAGTTGCAAAAATTTTAATTTCTTGATTCATTCACGGCATCTTTGTTCGAACACATCGAGAACAAGTTCGGATTGTCGATGGAGGACGGAACACCAGATAACTCGAGCAGCATCAGGAAAGCGTCATGCAGGAGACTGCGCCCTCAATAAAGTAAAAGCGGATGTTGAAGTTGAAGGAAGCAAACCAGAACCACTCACGAAGCTCATGCGAATAAAGGCAGGGCTCCGAAGGTTTGGTGAAGTAATCTTCACATGCTTTACAAAAAGATTCGGGCGGCAAGAACGTAGGAGCCGAATATGTGTGCGAATATGGCTCTGCAAACTATTGCTGTTGCTCTACCTGCTAGGCAGAGTTTGTAACGCAATTCCGGATAATCGCCTTGGCTTTCGTGTCTTCCAGCTCTCCGAAAACCTGTACGGCAACTACCATCTCCTACGTCCGCAGGGAATTGAACAGCTAGAGCTGTTGAGGACAGAGCTTCGAAATGGCGCTGAACTTTGCACGAGTCGGGCTAGCTACGTGGAGGTTATTAATTTAAGGAAATACGAACATGGATGGCGCTTTGTGTACGAAAACAGCAACCTGCGGGCTGCATGGTCTGAAGACAAAAAGTGCTTCCTAGAAAAATGGAATACGTGTCTGGAAACAACGGTCGGAACTTTACAAGCCTGCGGTGATTCGAAGAGCATGGACGTATTCAGCAACGGCCAGGCGGATGAAGAGTACTTACCTATAAGTAATATCCGATGCAGACACGGAAACTCTAACGAAAACGTCATTTATTATGCGAGTACAGAGTGACGGATATGATATTTTTGGAGGTGTTCATCTTCGTGTTTAACTAGACAACTTATTAGATGGGTGTAGCTGTAGTGACTACAACGAATCGTGAACAAAACCAGCTTCCATTACGGAGACTATCCTTATCGTCGCGAAATCAAGCAAGAAGCTCGCTATGCACCCCCGCCGCAGCATTGCAACGGTACCGAACTTCTTCTGAGGACGGAGGAGACGTATTTCACGGTGCAGGAACAAGTGTCGTGGCGCACATTCCTCCAAAGCGATAACCCTGGGGCAGAGCCAACAGCAGAGAAAGTTGAAACTGCGACAGAACAGATCCTATCTCTAGTGGATCGCGTCATGATTATGGCGTTTCCTATGTTAGACAAGAGATTGATTAGAAAGTGGTTGCGCACAAAAGTGATCGGGGTTTTACTGACTTAGGTCGTGGTCGAGCTTCTTGGGAAATATAAATGAATAGAGTCTAACAGCCGCAATCTCCTGGTTGTTCGCGACGAGATCCTGCTACCTCGGGTTGGACGCCTTGAAGATTTCGTACAGAATACCGCAACGTTTGATAGCGCCGAAATTCGGCAAAAGTTGGACAGATTTGTTGGAATCGTGAAGAGTACCCTGTCCGCCGGTGGCGCATCGTCAGGCAGTCAAACGGACGCGAAGACTCTGATGTGCACTGGTACGGATTGGGCTGCTCAGTTGACCTCACTTTATACGAACTTTGACCAGCTAATCGTGAAAGGCGCTGGCGCGACCTTCGTGGGGCTTAGCCGGATTTACTTCCATCACGGAAAACACGCAGACTTGTTGGAAGCTATACTGACGAGCAGTGCACTATTTTTGGCGGCGTCGAGTTATGCTAGCTATTTCCGCTTGGAGTGCGCTTTTGTCCAGGAAAATGCTGCGACGGCGGATCCAAACGCCGTCTTCGACCAGAATCTTGTCACGTACTTTGCTTGTCTCGAATTCGATCTTCCCAGGTTTTCACTGCAGCACAGTGTCCATACCAGAATACTTGATGTCTGAAAGTGGAATGTCCTCCTTGTTGAAGTGCGAGAGAAATTTTTGCATCCACTTGCTTCTGAGTTTCGTAGGTAGTCACACTGATAATCTTCGCAATCACTCCCATCCAATAATTGCAGGTACGTGCAAGAAGTGCAGGGACTGGTGAATGATTTCGCGGTGACCCGGTTGCAGGTCACCACTGAAGACAGTTTGAATGGCGTTGCCGCCGCGCGACTACGACGGTGCTGGCATGAGCGACTCGCGCACCTCGCGGGCACGCTTTCTCAGTGGGTCGCAAAGGCCGCGCTAGGCACCGAGCACGCATCGTTTTTCGAAAGCGACAGCACGCTCATGGCGATGGATCACTGCTATCATTTGTACGGTGCTTTGGGTGGAGGTGGCGCGTCCATTCACTTGGACACAATAAGCGACGTGGGCAGTCCTGGCGCAGCAAGCTTGCCACTGGGCGGCGGCTCTGCGCGAGTAGGAATGAACTTTGCCTTCGGCACGGGTGAAGCGCCTGCGTCAGTGACAGATCTCTTTCGTTCCGGAAACAAGGCGTTGGAAGTGACTCTGCCCTTAAAGGAGGCCTTGTTGCGGTCCAAGAAAGCAGCCTTACCGGATAATTACGTCCAAATATCACTATACGAAAACTGTCCACCTCTTGCGGACATCATCAATCGGGAGACGCGTGCTGGGATACACACGGGGAGCAGCACAAGGGGCAAGTGGCATCATGACAACTGGGAGTGGCTCAAAGACGACGCTTTCGATTTCTGTGATTTAGGGTACTTACTTAGAAAGCGGATGATTCACTTCACCGATTCTTGTGTGAACGCACAAGTTTGCAGAGAAGCCAAAAGTTTTTCTTTGTATCCAATGCTAATATTCTTAGGTACTTCGAGGGATGGTCCCGAAATTGGGCTCGTGATATCAATCCATTATGCACGGGGCCGCAGCAGTCGTGGTGCGAGTTAGACAATGACGGAAAGTGTGGCTACGGCAATACTTATCAGCTGGCGCTAGAGTCACTGGATTTCGGCCTCTGGGATTGGGTGAACGACCACTGGCACCGCATTGTTCGTGGCGTGGGCCACAACTTCACCGTAGAGCGTGGCAACATGCGGTTCGGGCATCACCAGAATCCGAATCCCGGCTGGCATTTCTACTCGCTGCCGGAGCACCCAGCGAGCCAAGCGTGCAAGAATAACACTCCCGTGCGCTACGACCCGGCAGCGGAGAACGGGTGCGGCATGCCGGACTCGTATCGGACAGCCTGTGCCGCTACGGAGGGCTGCTACGTGAAGCCCTTCACGAAGGGGTGGCCTTCTGCGCCGGAGAATGAAGACCAGCGGTACGCCCACCTTGTGCAGCACGCGTGGTATTGCAAGGACCCTCAGAATAACGCAGAGGCGGCGACCTGTGAAGCGGCGCCACCAGGTCAGTACGCAGACGCAAACGGTCTCGCGGCGTGTCCAATCGCGGGTGCTTTCCTCAAACACGATTTTTGGGGAGCGAAAAGCAGCGAAGAAGCATGCAAGGTACGTCAAACAGTCTCCTGCGTCTCTGAAATAATTTTGATTATTATCGTCTCTCAAGTACGTCTACGTTTTCGTTGTCTCCCTATCAAAATTTCTTTGATTTTTTGCAAGTAGAAGTACATACGACGATATGAATTTAACACACAGAGCAAACACGTGACGACAGCAAGGCACTACTGCGAGAATCCAAGTGACTGTGCAGCCGCGAAAAGCCTCGAGCCTGGCTGGTATTCGGACGTCTGCATGAACGAGAAGTTCAGGTGCAGATTCGTGGACAAGTCCGCTGCCTTGTGGAGGTTCACAACCAATTCCGAGAGTGGAACCGAGGATGGCTGCGCTGTAGGGTGGATTTTCGTCGGGGCAGTGGTGATCACGGATCAGCAGTTGTCAACAGCGCGGCGTCTAGAAGATTCCTCGTCTGCAGAAGGCGATGGGACCGTTTTCCGTGCAGGTGTTGAAAGAGCAGGATCATTGGAGAAGGATGAAAAGCCAGACGGAAGTAGTACTCTGCGAAAAGCAAGTCAAGGAGAAGACCGTGGCAAAGCTCACGAGCCGAAGGTAGCAGCTCCTCGTGAAGCGGAGACCGCGACAAAGAAAAGTGACACAACTGTTGTAAACAAGGGAGGGGAAAAAACAGGCGGAAGAGAACCAAGAGAGAAGGACAACGTCAAGATGAATGTTGTTAAAGCTTCGGCTCAAACGGAACGGTTTCTTTCCATGATCGTATCCGGATCAGCAAACGCATCATCGACGCTGAGTGTGAGTGATATAGGCGGAGTAGATCTTGCTGAAGAACGAGAAGGAGATGCTAGAAGTGGAGGAGACCATGCTACGCGACGTCGCTTGTCGTGGAAGGACGGCGGACGGCAAAGTGGCGATTTGTGTGGAGTAGGTGCCATCTATATACCGGATCACCGGTGGCCGAACCCGGACATGGACACCCGAAGGCAGGATCTCACGGGCGGTAAGCATCGTAGCTTTTACGATTACGATCCAGATAGTGGAGTTTCTTTTAAGGCCTCCGGACGAAGCCCACCATCTCCAAGAGGGTATACATCTTGAGTGAAAAGGATTGCTACATTGCATTGAATAATGGGGAAAGAAGCCACTAGCCACCATGATATCCGCAAGATGCTCAACTTCATGAAGATGGCTCTGGAGCTTGTTGGTGTCGTCGTCTAAGGCTTACTGCACTGGGCGCTTGTCAGATCACT